GTGTATTTGGAGCTCTGCACACTAGGCCTTTATCACAAAAAACATGACACACAAACATCAGACAGACAGCGTTGGATAGGACGGAGGTATCCTGAATCCGCCCAAATCCTTCAAAACGGGTGTGGATTTTGATGGATTCAGGTACCGGTACGTTAGGGTTAATGGATGTACCGTATGTACATCAGTTAATCTGAAGACCTGCTGTGGAATGAAAAATGACAGATCTACATGTACATTTTTGTATGTGCTTGCTCACAGTCACATGCAATAAAGTTGTATATGTGCTGTGCATGTAGTGGTAATGAGCCACTGACTGTTTTCTTTATGAATTTATGTTTTTGTGTACTAAGGACCTTTTAAACAAGATTGGAAACTTTGTACGTTGGTAGTATACAAGTGAGGTTTGCGGTAACACCATGTGGAATAAAGCTCTTTTGAGAAGAAGTGTGAATCTGAAACGTGGAGTTTCACAACCAACCGGTTCTTTTCACAACCACACTTCTTCTCAAAAGAGATTATTCCACATGGTGTTACCGCAAATCTCACTAGTAAGGAGCTGTTTGTCAGAGTTGTTCATGTACAAGTTTATAATCTGTTCAAAAGGTGTGAAAATAGTATGGATTGAATCCCCCGGGAAGGGTGTTAACAGTAATTGTGAAAGTATGGTCACAGCTACATGTAGTTGCTTTATGTAGTTGAATACTTGCATGCACAGTCACTCTGTAAGCATGTGTGGTATGCCAGATAACAAAAGAATTTACATCAAATTCATCAAAGCATGCAGAAATGCTTTGAATGAATGATACCACGTGTGTGTTGGCCTGGGAAAAACTGTCGTTTTAAAATCATTTCTGATTCTATGTAACTTGGTTCTATTTAGAATGGTCTCTGACAATATCCCTGCTCAAAAGGGGGAAATTAAACCTCAATATTGAAATCCATATCACTCTATTAAACATGATTCTTTACTTTATAAAATTGGTTACTAGTAGGTCATGTACATACATACATGTATAGTTTGCTCTGTGGCTACTCCAGAGAGTCATTTCCTCAAACAGGAAGTTATAGTTTTACAGTCAATTGAGATATTTATTCTGTTTGGTGCAATCTCCAAATATGCACATACATGTATACAAGTACTACTACATAAGGCCAGATATTTGAAGACTTTGAGTCCTCTAGCTCTTTGTCAAATTGTGTTTCATTTAATTTTTAACATGCAGTGCAGCTTAAATGCCAATCATTTACAAATTCTCTCTGCCTGCTGGCCTGTATTATATTTTATATTTTCATTAGACTAGCCACTTGATTAATTGTTGCGGTCAAATATTAACAGTGTACCGGTACATGTTGTTAACAAGAAAGGTGTGGCGAATATATCGTATATTCCAATATTGGATTGCAACGGAATATCCAAATTTTTACGATTCAAAATATTTTTGTGAGTGGTCTCGAGGAGATGTTAAAAAAAGTCCCTGAGGTTAAGTTAATCATATGAGTTTCTTAGTTGTATTATTTGTCAAGTGCCAAACTTTTGTCAAAAGCCACTTTACTTACATGATTTGAGAGCTTGCGTCAGTTGCGTAAGGAAAGTTAGCTCCGATTTTTCTTTCAGTAAAATCAAATATCAGGCATTCTAAATTATTTCTAACAGCCTTATTGATTAGAAGATAAATTTCACAGCAATATTAAATTAATAAGAATGACAAAGCTCATTTGCAGTGTTTTTTTCTCTAATTTTCACAGCAGTTTATATTAGCCTGGCAAACTGAGTTCAGCACGGCACTGTGCTTTCACTCGATCGACAGGGATCTGCCGTGCTGCTACTGCTGTTCTGAACAGCAGTGCCGTATGAGTGTTCAACTGCTGTACCACTGCCAGGCTCATCTCATTTCAACTTTAAGTTAGCAAATTACTTTACAAAGTTTCAGACATTTGGTGAAGTCCATCAGACCGGAAATTACTGTAGGGAGAATTTGAAAATGATCAGTTTTTGCCATTTTTCAATTACAATGTCTCATCATTCTGTAAAGAAATATGTAGCCAGCATGATAATTAAAAAAGAAAAAGACAGAACATGTACCGGTACACAAACATTTTAAAAAGATTTCCGCAGGAGATACACGTACATGTAGCCAGGGTTGACATGCACATTACATGTACACCTCTATACGTGTGTCATTCTATAAAGGGTCCACTTCTTGTCTTGTCCCTTTTACTGTACAACTGTACATCTGACATCTATGAATGATTTTAGAATATGATGCAGATCCTTAAGGCAGTGGTTCTCCAAGTACCAAGGTAACAGGGACTTTGGACCCTTAATTAAAACCCTAACCCCCTAGGCCCTTGTTGCTTACAACCATCCTCAATCCTCCAAAATCCTCCAAAATTTTTCAACTCCGCCTAAATTTTTCAAAATTGACAGACAGTCCTGCCTCAAAATGCATTCATCCTCAATCCTCCAAAATCCTCCTCATCCCAAAACTTTGCACTCGTGTTTAAATGAAGGATAACCAACGCCAAATCCTTCAAAATCATCAGACAGTCCTGCCTCAAAATGCATTCATCCTCAATCCTCCAAAATCCTCTTGTGCTTCATTCACCATTCATCCTCAATCCTCCAAAATCCTCATGTGCTTCAATCACCATTCATCCTCAATCCTCCAGAATCCTCATTTGATTCAATCACCATTCATCCTCAATCCTCTAGAATCCTCCAAAACCGCCAGGAGGATTTTGGAGGAGTGAGGTGGGTTAGGGTTAATGTTTAAAATGACCCATATTGATTTCATTTTGTGAAATGTGCACAGATATAAACTTAATTGAACCTGGTGATGTAATTAGTGTATAATTTATGTACATGTGTACATGTGTACATGTACAGGTGTATTTTTTAATGCATCAGGACTGCACAGTGAGTGATTTCTGTGAACTTGTCTGGTCAACTTTTGCATAATCCTGTACATGTACATGTACATACAGCTTTTGTGTAGCTGTTGGAGAGATCAGTCAATACATCCTATACAATCATAAAGTTGTTAAATTCCTTTATGTTATTGTATAACAAGGTATCAGGTGCTCTATGCCAGTTATATATTTCAGCACTTGTGAAATGACAGCTCCTCGTAATGAGCTTCCCACCTCCCTGTGGAAATTCCTTCAGTTTGGGTCAATATATCTGTGTGGGAATACATGATGCTTACAAGTTTTCACATATACTTTCTTGTGTTTATGTAATATTTAATGCCATTATAGGTAGAATTTAAGGGTGAATAAGAAACCATGGCAAGCCTAATCCTTCCTAATGTGGTTTTAACTGAAAAATGTGACTACATGTAGGGTTTCATCTAGGATTTCAAAAGTGCCCATCCTTTTTTTTTTGGGGGGGGGGGGGTGAGGAGAGAGGGGCTAAAGTTCCTAAATTTATTCTCAAATTGCCTTAGAATGAAGTTGAAAGCATACATGTAGTAGATTTCAAAATTTTCCCAGGCGGAAAGCTCCCGGACACCACCCCCCCCCCTGTAGGAAGGCGTGCCTTGGTCACGACTTCACTCAACCCCCCATCATTATCAACCCCTGTTTCCTGAAAGCTAGATCCGCCCCTGATCACATGATACATGTACAATGAAACTTCCATTGGTGAAAACCCATCATTTTATTAACAGTCCCAATAAGGTAAATATTGTAGGTATAGCCACATGAACACTATGTGCTCAGGACCCCTATTATGATCTTTTCAATTTTTAATAATTTCACATGACGTTTGAACAATATTCCTTTTCATGCATACTGTGAGGAAAGTATTTTTGCACAAAAAAAGAAAGAATGTTTGTTATTAGACCAAAATGCATACTCCCCATAAACACAATAATCTAATATTAAACACTGCCAGTAAGGTTGGGATGTCATGACCTCAGTATTGTGATGCATGAACCTTCATATCTTGTTGTGAAAGACAGTTACATGTATTGTAACACATGTACATGTACATTGTAGACACAGTAGGGACAATCATGCCAGTTCCTTGTAGCGTCATACATGTATGATGTCTTGACCTTAGACTCTTTACTTTTGAACTCTATTTCAAAACAGTCTTTCTGTTTGTAACATTATGGTGTAGGATTCTTTAACGAAGCTGCTCATTGCAACATAACTGATGCCCAATTTGTAACATGCATTAATTGTGACAGTTTTTCATTAATTGCTGTATAAATTCTGACAAATATTAGCAGTTGCATGTGAAGGATCTGGAGACAAACATTCAAATTTGATTCGCCCAAATCCATGTACCTGTACATGTAACTAGATATGTCACAAATAGGTGACAACTTACATGTACATGTACATACACATTCATGTACATTGTATGATACATGTGTGTATGCTGCAAATTATTTATCAGTGGGTGAAAATGGTGCACTACATTTGACAGATGTCAGACATTTCTGTTTCCATTAACATTATTTGCTTTTCTAAATTTAGGATACCCTCAAAAATCAATTGACCTAAAATCTATAAGAAGCACTTGCAAGTATTGAATGGACTAATTTGTTGATTGATGGCAATCAATCTGCCCTACCATAGATGTAGAGGTGGGAGAATATCCCTGAAACTTAGGGGAGTGCTACACATAAGGTCTTTGCCCTGGGCGATGCCAGGTTGCATACTAGTGATGTCACTTGAAATTCCCACCCCACATCACTCCCAGAATGCTGTCACCCTGGAGTGAGCTCAACCCTGCTCTGGAGTAAAACAAGGTTGACCTCGTCCCAATTAATGTGGTATATTGTGTGCCTCTTAGTTCGTTTTGTTTCTTGCATTTTGGCCAGTGCACGTCTGGGCTAAAGACGTCTTAAAATCAACTTTAGTAGGCCTGTAGCAAGGGCTCTGCTGGATATTAGAATATTCGATCAATTATCGTACATTTATATGCTTTCCTGATGTATCTTAGCCTTGTTTCAATTTTCTAATTTTGTTTTTTAATTTTTAATTTTTAGCTTTGCAGTGTTGGAATGTAGAAGATTCTGCTATTGGGTATGATAGTGCACTACAAGCCGCAGCAGCAGCTGATGTCAACAAGGTTGGGCTTGGTAAGATCAGTTTGACATTCATTGGTTCACTGTAGCATTAACTATTTGATTTGAATCGGACTTGGACTTAGATTCAGATTAAAAAAACGAGCACCCATCAGATTTGTACAGTCAAAATATTAAGAAATTGCCCACTTGATTGTAAGTAAATAATAGTATGAAAAACTATGAAACATTTGTGGGTATGTTGATTATTTCACAAGTTCTTCTCTTTATTCAGTGAATAACTTTTCTGTGCTATCATTCCAAATCAATTGATTTCCACCATTTTACTTATTTTTCTTTTATAGTTCACAGAAGCTTGGCCCATAGTGGTGGAAATGTTGGTGTGGTCATATTGATCAATCCCACACACACTGAGGTGACTGCAGAACTCCGTAACCTCCTTATCCATCCTGCGTCTAACAAGCATCTCATCTTTGGTGGTCATTGGCTTGAAGGATGTGGAGACTGGGTACTACACAATGACACCTTCACGCTGCATGACATCGCCAACATCTTCAATGAGCCAGAGGTTGATGCATCTGTCCTGAAGGCCTCACAGGAAGAGCGACACACCCTGGTTGTGTCAGGATGCCACTGGCAGACTGCTGCAGTGACCAAACAGACATTTACCAAGAGTCTCAATCTCACAATCAATCCCCAAGAGGTCAAGAATGCAGTGGCAGGCGTGTCCCTAGTAATCCAGACTATTCGCAACAACATCCATATCCCTTCACCCTTTGAGCTTCTGGAGCCACCCACCATGGGCGTTGGTGTCAAGTGTAAGATCACCAAACCAACTGTGCTTATATTTCCAGCAGGAAAAGGTGACTGCGCCTTCTTTGCTGTCACTGACTTTAGCATCTTTCTTGGTGGTGGCTACTGCGCCAAGAGTTGCTTTTGGAAGTTTGCCAAGCATCTGCATAGAATTGATGCAATCATGGCCCCACACATGCAGCCAGATTCTCTGATGGGTTTCAACAGTCTCCTCCGAAGGAAGATAGCAGAGCAGCAACTGACAGAACCTGAAAAAGGATCAGAGGCATATGAGGATTGGTTGATAAAATGCAACTCGCCTGAGGTGGGAGTCGTCTACCTGAATGCCCCTGAAAACAAGAAATCACCGATGAGTCTTCAGCTGAAGACAGTCAACCAAGGGAACCTTACTCAGCAGCTGCTTCAAGAATTAGACATCAAGCCGTTTTCTTGCACTGCCAATATTGGCAAAGTCATTGAGCCTGTCACACTCTATCAGAAGGTTGGTATAGGTCGTCTGGATATGTTCATTTTAACCCCTGTCCATGATAGTAAGGAGTTAAAAGATTTCATGCAGCAGTGGAATGGCAATAAAGCATTCTCCAAAGTAAAAACAGGCTTGAAAGTGAATGGGAAAGAGAGTGAGTGTCCCATTTCTAGTGCTGTGTCCATTTGTGCTTTGATTGTCTGGCAGCCAGCCAACCCCCATGAAGATATTGTTAAAGTCTTATTTCCAGGAAATGCCACACAAGGTAAAATACTTGAAGGTCTAGACAGAATCAAGCACCTGGATTACCTGAAATACTCTGATGCTACAGCTGCAAAGTTATCTAAAGGCAGTGCTCCTTTGAAGAAGAAGCCTCACACTTCTGGAAAAGTCCCAGTAAAAGCCAATGGTCCAACATCAGTTAGAGTTACGTCTGATAATGCATCTTGTAGTGAGGGCATCCGAGATGAATGCAAAGATGCAAAGCGCCCTAGCACGCCACCTCCTTGTTGTGATGGCATCCATTGTGGGACTCCACCGCCAGATGGAAAATGTGATGACGATCTCAACTGCAATACACCCCCTCCAGAACCTGAGTGCAACAATGAAGGTGTAAGCATTGACGGAAAGTGCTGTGATGGCATCCATTGTGGTACTCCACCGCCAGATGGAAAATGTGATGACGATCTCAACTGCAATACACCCCCTCCAGAACCTGAGTGCAACAATGAAGGTGTAAGCATTGATGGAAAGTGCTGTGATGGAGAACATTGTGGTACTCCGCCTCCTGAAGATGAATATAGTGAGGATGCTTGCAGCAAATTTGTACCTATTGAACCATACACATGCACTGATGGTGCAGGCTGCAACACCCCACCCCCAGAGGGTGATGTCATGTATGCTGATGGTACTCACTGTAACACACCACCACCGGAAGAGGAAGGAGTGATGGACACACAAGAGTCTCCGGTTGATAATGAACCACAGGCTACCGTTCAGGGTGATATATGTGGCAACTTGATGGATAGCAATTTGCCAGAGAGCCAGCAGGATATGGGTGCTTTTATGTACAGTGGCACACCTGATGCATTTGGCAACAAACCCACTGATGCACCTGAGAGGTTGGCTTCTGGAGAGATCACTCCAAGTGACCAGGTAGAATATGGTGATGACTCTCAAAACGTTGGTTCTTTTGTTTTTGATGCAGAAGCTAGCTCTGAGCAACCAGCTCCAGTACCTACAGGCTTTGGAGACTATGCTGAGGAGGATCATGTTTCAGCTGTTCCCGCAGGTGATGTTGATACTCAATTTGAGAAGAGTGGTCTCTCTGATGATGGTGATTCACCTATAAATGACAACCAAGGCATCTCTAGTGAAGCTTTTGGTGAGGAGTCTCTCTCATCAAATGGGGGTCCACATCCTTGGGAACCTCGAATTGAATTCTCTTCACCAGACCAAGAGCCAGACAATGGCTATTTAGTTGAAGAACCTCGCCCTGAGGCAGATTTCCATGATGAGCAGCATGAGCCAACATCTTTCTCTGAGATTCCACCCCCTGTGGTCCCTTCTGATGAAATAATTGTGGAACAAGAGAGGGAAGCTGAGCCAAACCAACAAGTGTTGGCTCAGGATGTCCTATTTGAGCAGCAAGAAGACATAGTAGAGGAAGAAGAGGACTCGTCAGAGGAGTCACAGGCATCTGAGATAGAAATCAAACCTGATCAGCAGCTTATTAGGGATGAAAGCCAAATGTTACACAAGGAGCAGACTCAGGTTTCTCAAGTGATGCTCGAAAGCAGCCAAAATTCTGAGGGTATCAAATGTAAAGAGGAAGAGCAAAATCCAGATGTGGAGGGAGATGATGAGGAGGAAATGGAAATTAAAGATCAAGAACTTTCAGAGAAACTTGATATCATGTCAGATGAACATAGATCAGCTCAAGATGACCTTCAAGCGACAACAGAGCAAGAAGTTGTTACTGATGAATGTGAGCAACTTGCAGCAGAAATAAAGGGTGGACAAATTACTCAAATGCAATTATTGGAAGGACAGGAAGAAGAGGTGGCTGTTGAAGATGAAGAGCAAGTGGAGATGGAAACTAGAGGTGCAGATAGTGTGGAATCGCCAGCCCCAGAAGAAGATCAGGATCAAGTTGTACCAGATGGCAACTTTGACAACCAGGTAGCACTTCCAGAGGTTCCTGAAGTAGAAGCCTGGAGTCATGAAGGCCAAGAAGAGATCAACCAGGATTTCATGATATCCAATGGGGTTTCAGCTGCTATGGTACAAGAAAGCCCTCAGCAAGAAGAGAAAAGTCCACAGCCTGAAGCAGATATAAACGATAATAGACAAATGGTAATAGATGAGGGAATGCCGCTGGAAGAACAACTTTCTCATCCAGAAGCTGAGGCCGAATTAGAGAGAGCAGAGAGAAAGCCAGAGGACTTTGAACAGTTTGCAGATGAGCCCTTAGAAAGTGAGCCTGTTAGTCAATTCCATGCAGAGGACATGGCGCAAGAGGTGCAAGACACCCAGGACATATCAGACCAACCTGAAGTCATGCAGGTAGAACCAGGGGAAAGTCCTGAGGCAGTTGGGGAATATTCGTCTCATTTTGAAGCACAACATGTGTCAAGCACAGCAATTTCTGAGCCAGTGTTAGATACATATACTCAGCCATCCTCATCAGAGCCAGAGCCCGAAGCACAGCAAGAGATCATAGTAGAGCCTGTTCCTGAATATGAATTTCAGGCGTCTGATGAGCAAGAAATCATACATGAGGAGAAGTTAGTTCCAGATCAACAGTCGTCATCTGAGCCTCTTTTGGATTCACTTTCTGAGCCCCAGTCAGATAAGGAGCCAGACTCGCTTTCTGAACCCCATATTGATGCAGAATTTGAAGTAGATGCTGCACCTGAAATAGATGTTAGGCCTGTAGAGATGTCACCACCTGCATTTGCCCAGGAACCCTCTCCCCAGCCTAGTCCAGAACCAGAACCAGAATCTATGAAGGCACCTTTTCAACAATCTAGTCCAGAACCCCAAGATGAACCTATTCTTGAACCCTCTGCACAACCTAGTCTAGAATCCCAACTTGAGCCACAACCTTTGGCTGAAGCCACTAAGCAGTCTCCTGAGCCTAAACAAGAACCCAAGCCTGATACAGTCCCAAAAATTACTGCTAAGGCAGCCTCGTCAGTGAGTGCTAAGACTACCACTAAGACATTAAGCACAGTGTCCACTACTACCAAGAAACCTGCGGACAAGGTAGCCAAAACCAAAAGTACCAAAAGCACCACAAGGGACATCAAGAGTTCCACAAAAACCAAGACAAGTGCAGTATCAGAGAAGAAATCTACCACAAAGACACAGACAACTGGAACCAAGAAACCTGAGCTCACAGGAGCTTCTAAGAAGCGGACTGAGCCAAAAAATGTTTCAGAGAAGAAGACCCTATCTGAAAAGAAAATGCCAACAGAGAAAAAAGCCCTAGAGAGGAAGTCCCTAGCTGAGAGAAAAACAGAAGCAGTGGAGAAGAAAAGTCGACTCTCAGCAACAAAGACCCCAGCTGGAACCGGACGGCCTCAGGCAACAAATCGAGACAAGTCCCCTGTCAAGCTGTGGGAAAAACAGACTGCTGCATCGGCTTCTAGGAGCAGTAGCAGCAACAACAGCCGAACAAAAACCAATGGTAGTGGAGACACCAAGTCAGCATCATCTAAGAAACCAGTACCCAGTAAAGCCACAGCCAAGACCCCATCCAAGGCTGGGACACAGAGACCAACAGGCTCTAAAGCTCCTGGCAGTGCCAGAAAATCCACAGAATCTACCAAGAAAGAGTCGGATAGATTGACTAGGTCAGCTCCAAGCAAGACAGGAGACTCAAAGAAATCAGAGAGTAGCAAGAGACCAATTTCATCCAAGACAAGCGCTGGCATGTCAAAAACACAGCCTATCCCTATCAGTGGCCCACCGGTCTACATAGATCTCACTTATATCCCAAATCATGCGAGTGACGACTCGGTCAACATGGAGTTTTTCCGGCGCATCAGATCTAAGAATTATGTCATCAGTGCCAATGACAAAGGCCGCAACCAGCCTAGCATGAATGTCATGGATTCCCTACTTGAAGGTAAATCTAAGTGGGATAACCCTGAGGCAGAGGTCACGATCATCCCAACCTACGACATTGACACTCTGCAAGAGTGGGAGCAGAAGAACCTACAGCAGCTGAGCAACTCCAAGATCACCATCTCACAGCCTGCCAGCCGCAGTATTGTACAGATGAAAGATGAAAACTTCTTCATGTACAAGGTGGAGTTCTGATGTGGGCTGGGAATTCATGTACTGTAAAAGCAGCCACATGTGTAGTTCAATTTCTTAAATTGCCAATCATTTACATTCACATGTATGTTACTGGAAGACATACAAGTGTTTCAATACAAGTAACACTGTGTCAGAAACTGGAATCGAAATACATGTATAAGGTAAAGGTTTGAATAGCCACCAATTTACATGTAATAAAATGGCCAATGCATAGGCTTGGTCTAATATTTTGTTTATTGACAGTTCAGATAATGTTGAACTTGCTGTCTGATGTTGCATGCTTTTGAGCCAGAAATCAATGTTAACATTTCCTATTTACATTTATGTCTATTTTATTAACTTTCACTTGAATTTACTTGACAACTCTTTGTAAGATGTTACTCATTGCCTACATATCAACTCAAAATGAAATGAAATGCCAAATGGAATGAAATCAAATAGTTGATCTTGCCAGGATAGTGCAACCTAGATTAGTTCCATTGTAACGTATGTGTAGATTAGTGGAATTTGCAATACATGTAGGAGTTTGAATTAAAACTCTTTTTTTGGGTGCACTTAGTTAGAACATGTTACAAAGTATATGTATCATACAATTTTGATATTTTGTGTGATGGACGCTAAATTTGTGGCACACTTGCATTGCTTATAATAACGTGAATAAGTGTAGACTAGAGTCAGCAGTTATGGTAGGTGATGTACTATCACAGACCAAAACCTCCTGGTTTTCATATGACATGTCTCTTCCAATGTTGGAGTTGTTCATATCGAGTAGACCCTATTATGTCTTAATTACATTATGGAAAGTATTTGGTTATGTGTACATGTAAATCAACAATGAACAGCAACAGTGTAAGGGTGTCAAAAGCTGTCCAGACCATTTAGATGTTGCAGACATGTTAGGAGTTTGACATGTACATGTAGCTTGAAACAGCAATAGTGCAGTGAATTGTTACAGATAACCTTTTCTCACAACACATGAAAAATAGCAAGTTTGCCTTGCAAGTAAAGGCATTTTTTCCCTGGTACCTTTTAGCATCCCTTTTAAATTTTTTTAGTGATGTACGTGTAAATGGTGCATTAGATAATTTTTCCTTGGATATATAACTACGTCTAAATTTCAATTTACATGTATGCTGGATTTTGTGTTAGATTCTTGGCTAATTTATGTCTGAAATGCCTGCCACAGATTTCTGAATGCTACAAGAACGATTAAAATAATGGCACAAGAAGGATTAAAATAAGAACACCTCTTGCTTAAGCACAAGAAAGCAAAACTCTTGTGGTATGGCTGAACAAAAAAAAAGGGGGGGGGAGGGAAAAAAGAAAAAAATACACACCAAAAAATGTACTTGCCTGAGTTATCCACAATATGTAGTGTCTGCAATGACTTCTTAGCCAACACTAATTTGCTCCAAACTTGCTTGGCAAGGCATTCACATCTGCTTTTTATCTCGGTGAAATCAAGGCAAGGCTGATGTGTCATTTCAAGTGCATGTTGAGCAAATCAGTATTGTCCAGTTGGGGGGGGGGGTTCTAGATCTGTGGTGGAGCTTTGCCCATAGAAAGCCAGATATGCAGGTTACATTTATGTCTCAAAGAGAAAAATGAACCAGCCAACATACAAATGGTTAACGCTTATGAAAAAATATACATGTAATTTATGAAGTAATTTGTAGTATTATGAATATGCATGTGTTACAGTTAATTGCTGTGTTTGGATTGATATTGAAGCTGGTGAATGTTATGCAATGTGTATTTCACGTGCCTTTAAAAAAATCATTGTACATGTATAATATATATCAGCGTAGCCCCCATAATATGTGCTATTTTGTGAATTTTTTCCCCTTTATTTGTGGGATCAGAAAAAAACAATGTCCAAAGAATGCCAAAGGTAATGTATGTGGTCTTATATAGTGTGCATGTGTGACTTAAAAAAGGCAATGTTTTTAGGATATAAATATGAAATTGAAAAAAAAAAAGTTTTATTTTGTTTGTAGTTGGGCAGTTTAGTTTCAGTTTATACCTGTAATGGAATTTAAAAAAATGTAAACAAATGTTTGACTTGTTTACAAAATAGAGAAAAGGACGGAATAAAAATGTAACATGGTACATTTAGCTGATTGTTTTACCGGATGCATTTCAGGAGTGGACAAATTTAAATCCAATGAATGCATGTGGTTTCAGTACTTTGTAAAATGTTGGAGAAATTATCATGATTGTTGGTATTTTGGCTGTAAAAAATTATCTTATAACTTCAGTCTGTGAATCTTTCTGTGATGAAATCAGAGCAGGGTAAGCTTATGACATTGATTTATTTGGGGAACATAAAAACAATACATCCCAATTGAAGTAGTGGCCGCACCGTGGTGATAGTGTTATGTAAGAGATTAGAATAAGAAATGTTTGTGCAAAATATACATGTATGCAATATTAGTATAATTTTGGCCTACATGTAGAGAAGACTTAATTGGTTTAGATTTAGAGGATGCTTGTACATGTACATGACTTACATATAATAAATGCCACTGAAAATGTGCATCATTTAACCTTTAGAAAGTAGAAGTGCATAGTCATGATGCGTGTACAGTAGGTAGGAAAGCCTTCTCATGCTTGAAGTGTTTGCAAAATAAAAGTAGTGTTGCCTTAATGCATATTATATTCACATAAACATGATTCTAGCATAATTTGAACAAATGCAAACTTTTTCTTTAACATAATTCTTTAAAATCAGATTTCAGTAAATAGTCTTTAAACTTCTCTTATGTAACAATGTCACATTAAGCTATTACAAAATATTGATTGTGTTCTTTTCCATTTCAAGAAATTAGGAGACTGATGAATGGATGAATACATCAATTTGCAAGCTGTTAACAGAAATATTTTTGAATAATTTGTCATGCTGCATGTATTTACAATTGATAAAAGGTATTTCTTAATTTGGCATTTTCTTGTAGTGAAACATTTGCAATAAATTGTTTCATTAACAAGAAAACCACCTGGGTATTGCTATTTGTAGCTTTGACATGCATGTAACTCCCAGGTGTAAATCATTCCTCTTCAAGCCAGGGAAGATAGCAGCTACATAACATCTGGTTACCCATAGTTAGTTGGTCTCATTCCTCAAGGACAAATGCTGTCAAATATGCCGAGTCTCTTGGCCCAAATCCATATGCTAATGCTGCTCTTTTGTGCAAAGCAAGGTGTTTATTCAGCTTAAATGCCTTATAATTTTTGGATCCAGTTGTTTAAGTAGCATGGTAATTACATGTAATGCCATCCATTTTTAATGAGAATCTTTGAGAGAATATTTGTAGTAAACACGTTTGATTACCCTAAACTCCTTGGGTAAGTGAAAACTCAAGGATTTACATGTAGGACCGTTACTGATGCAGATGAGCAGTGGATGTGCCATATAAATAATGCTTTAATATTAACTCGACTCTAAAACATTGTCTGCAGGTGTACTTTCATCATTTTTGATTTCATTGCGGCTCTTTAAAAATTCTTAAGATTGCTCTTTACTCGGATTCAACCTTCCTGAGGGTGCCAGCTAGCTCCTCAGGTATTTCCACATAATACAGTAGTATTCCTGCAATGTGGTTCCTGCAGTGTAATTTCCACAATTGTTTTAATACTTTTCATGTGTGGTCACAGTGTATACTCAGTGGTGGTTATTGTAAGTTTTACAGTTGTTTTCCAACTTCTAGCTATGTTGTCCCATCCTTGAATTTGCATAATTGTTGTCTGTTGTGTGCTAGCAATTTAAAAAAATATATATTAAGCTGCCTATTTTTTTCTATTTTGTCAGGCATTGTGATCCCTTGGTGGTGTGTATGTGGGATGTCATTGTACGTTTTGGTCCATTGCCTGAACTGTGGATATTTCATGCTTATCCCAAACAAGTTGTTTTCCTTTGCTTAGTACATGTAAATGAATCCTGAAGGGCTACTTTGTGTGTCATTTGCTAGACTGATGATGATAGTTCAGTATTATGCTGCTACCAAATCTGAGACAGATATGATTAGTTCTTGGCATTGTTCAGAATTTGGTGATGTGTGTCTGCTTTCTGTTGTCATGTTGCTACCACTCTGCATATCATATATCTGGCCAGACAATACTTTCCATTCATGTAATGAGAAAGGCAATCAGGCTGTGACGTGACAGCTGCATGGGACGGCCAGGTGGGATGTTACTTACAGCTTGAATGAAGCAATACAGTCTACAATTGTTTATTGAGGCACTTCAATGTTGTATGCTGAATAATGTAAACAATATTAGAATCATTGAGGTAATTATTCAAACTGCTTTCTGCTTAAATTCAAAATTAATATGGCTTTAGTACACAATAGCCAGAGAGCCGGCACTACATGACCAATGGGCCATTGCATTATGAAATGACAAGCTAAGTAGATTATAGCATGGAGGTAGTAGTAAATTTGGTGCAATTGCTATTTCAAATGAGATATTTTAATTGAGTACTTAATAGTGCATATACTTAATTCTTGTTGAATCAAGTCATTTATGAATAACTGTGTCCAAAGCTTGAATGTGTCTCAGATGTGGTATATGAAAATGACTGTGTATGTTACATTTTTCACATTGAAATGATTTTGAGGGAGTTGTTGGTAAAATGAATATGCAATATTTGATATGAGATCAGTATAAGGTATAAATAAAGTATATTTTTTCTTGTGATTGCAGTTACTCAAGTTTCAGAATATTGGCATTGTTATAGAGGTTGGGCATTAGATAACCAAGATTAAAAAGTGTAATGTAGCCCGATAGTCATGCCTGTATGCTTCAACAAAACATTAAGACTGGTTTGTGTTTGGGTTGCAGTCTGAATGTCATGTGAACAACGTCACTTTCTTCATTTCTGAGCTTTGAAATGATGAAGTGAGTTGTGTGTATCTGTTCCAAAATGTGCATTTGTATCCATCCGCTGACATATAGTGTGACAAATCCAACTTGAACTAAAAATAGGATTAGGGTTGAGATGATTATCATTGACAAGATCCTTACTATTGTACAATGCAGCAGTAAATAAATTATGTGAAAAATGTTGATATAACATACAATAAATACAATCCCACCTGTGCTAGCAGTCATTACAGGGTAGGCCTATAGTTTCGAAAGGAAACATTTTCTCTTTTTACTCACTTCTCTTCAACAAGGATATGCTTCTGGCTTTAAACATTCAAATGGTACTTTTCTTTTATTAGTTTGCTTCCAAAATACATGTACTTTATGAAACACTTAGGTTTTCTTTTGTGTGTGCTTAGATTCTTGCCAATTTTTTTTTTTTATAACCTTTGCCTTTTGTGTATTGTTTGTCCAACAGAAAATTCCATGCAATATGAAATTTGTAAATATTCAGTTTGGTAATTTTTTTTCTTAAATATGTTGGATTTTGTATTTTTTGGGTTATTTTTGTTACCTTCCCAGCTCTGTGTGAGTTTGAAATCATGCTCTAGGTAGTCTTTATACATGTACATGTATTTGAACTTTTCGTGGTTCCACAATCATTATTCACAAGCGGTGAATGGAAGTTTTATTTTTAAAAAAAGTTGAAATTGATCAAACATAATGAACGCTCACATTTGTGTTGGGTGGCCATAATCATGAGCATTTGTTTCTGTTAAAGTTTGCAGTAAGTTTTTTTTTGTTTTCTTCAGAATACATGAATATATAATAATCTCTCTTCAAGAGTGTTACCTTATCAATGTGGGGAATTTGATCTTGCATTAATTGCCTACTTTGTGTGTCATGTTGTTATCCAAAGATGCTTCTCTAGCATGTTACAAAATACAAAGAACAAGTAGAGCTAGTAATGATAATAGGTAACAAAAATACTGGTTCTAAATGTCAATTAAATGCTGATGTATGTCTATGGCTTTGTGCTGCTCTGCTTATAGCACTTGGACTTCTAGTATTGTTATTTCTTGTTCTTCATTAGAGAAACACAAGTCTGCAAACAAAGAACAATCAATTGGTAATCAACCATTTTTTATCAATGGAAAAAACACAATTACAGTTAAATGGTTTTTATAATTATTTGGGTATTTGCAATATTTAAAATTAAATATAAAAGAAAACTCTCTGTGAAAATCAACTAATGAGTATACTGTACATCTAAGGATGGTAGATATACCATGGTTCATGCAGTAAATGGCATTGAAGTACATGTATCATAACTCTACATAATCAGGATTTGTGTATACATACGTGTAGGTTCTCCATACAAACACACCTGATACACCCCTACCAATCAAGAATGTTCAGTCAAACTAACCATGTAATGGACCCATTGGGTGCTTGAGTCAAAAATGCTGGATTCTATATGTTTACTAAATAATTCTTTGTCAATGAATGTTAATTGAGCCAATCGTTTACAAAAGCAAGTTTTATAATATCGTCTGTATTACAGTTTTTCTCTGAGCAACTCTTGTATGCATATTATTGCTTATCTAGCATGTCTGCTTATCAGTAATGTAAAGCGCAATGCATGTCATGGCAGTAATAAAGTTAAATGCAAAATATCCTTGGAGTGACTTGCTGTTGATTAATAGTTTTGTCCAGGACTGTGGCTATTGTATCCAATTGTTCAAAAGACATGAATCTGGGACTGAGAATGTTTCCAATTTTGTTGGAAAATAGTTTTAAAATGCACCCGACTCTCCATAGACTTTGTACACAACCAACGAAGTGTTGTCTGGATGCTACATTCTTACCCTCGACATGAACACATATTCATACATACCTGAGACAGACTGCCCATTCCTATTGGCCGAGAGCCTGTCACGTGGGCGGTTTTAAATGGTTAATAAAACACCCACTGCCTGGTTTTAAACACTTTTTCGGTGTCGCATGAAATTTGGACTCTTTTATTGGTTGAATGTTCACAATCTTCACTTTGGCAAGCGCAATACACTACCAATAATTGCAGAATACCCCGCCACTCAATCTATGCACCTCGTAGCCGGCTATGGAGTCACGGTTGATTGCCCTCAATAAACCTCAGCGCTACTTGTATGTACTATGTGTCATGCTCCATTGCACTCCCACTCCGTATCCGCGTAGCCGCCAACGGGGTAGTTGGTTTGGACTTTAAAAAAATTTCAGCAACTCAACTCCCATTCCTTTTGTGTTGCTTCGTTCTCAAATAATGGACCCCCACTCAGTATCCGCGTAGCTGGCATGGACTTGAATTGTTTCTTTTCCAGTGATTCCTCGTAGCCAGAGAATTTAGGGGTGTATTTCCGAGTGGCGGGGTATTCTGCAATTACTCCTCCGTATTTTATCAGAGTCCTCAATTCACACTACACCAGCACATATCGCGCAGTATGCGCCACGCGTGCACCAATCTCCAAGTGAGTTTATAGTACTACTCGCGCCGAGAGGCACATACCATAACAAATGATATCTAGAGGGGTGTTTAAAATCGGGAATTTATCATTATTGACTGAAAGGTATTTATGAATGGGAATATAGGTGTATGTGCTTGGCCGGTATTAAACATATTTAAAACTGGCTTGGGGCCTGGTCACCCATAATGGCCCGAGCCAAACGTCCAGGCCCCAAGCCGGTTTGAAATGTACTTGTTTAAAATGAGCCAAGCACACAATGTATTCCCTTATTTGATATCGAACATTCCCATCAAAATCTTAGCTGTGGACTCGGTGCAAAAGTTCAAGGGAGAGTTTTTGGGGAGTCCACAGGGAGGGGCATTGCAATGCATTGACAATGGTGCCTGATGTTCGTAGGAAGATACCATTGTTTTTTGTAGATTCAGAATCCAATGAGTTGTGCATCCTTTGTACTGTGAACCAGGGTGCACATGCAGTGTGTCCCTCACACTGCAGCTCTCCAAACTGCTCTCATAGTGCTATCTGTTCATGCTGGAAGTCCATACAAGTTGAAATGAGTTCAACTGTTAGTAAACTTCAGCTTGAATACCAGCTGATGCATCCTTAATTTATGGCTGCATCAATCAATTCTCCAATCACGAACCGGCCTCAATACTACAACAAATGACAAGGTTGGACACGTTCAATGTTCAAGTTCAATGCAGATTTTTTTGTTAATCACGGTGATGCAATACAAGGCTTTCTACAACTACAGACAATCGACTTCAAACGGTGCGCTTCAGTAGTGGAACAAAAAAGTAAGCTACTTTTGCATTTTGATCTTGAAAACAGTATTTATGCAAGTAAAGATAAAAGCTGGGCCCAATTTCATGGCGCTGCTTAACAGTAATAGCAGAAAATTTGTGCTTACTACAGCAGAAAATGGTGCTCCTGTGTAAGCACTATTTCATGGCGTGGATGTGATAACAGTCGCGTGTGCATGGAGACTTCTATTGTTAATACATCACAGATTTAAACAACTTAGCATATTTTCACTGTGCTTACTGCTTAAAGATCTTTATGATAGAGGCACAGTTAGCATAAAATCAGCTGTTAAGCAGCGCTATGAAAATGGGCCCAAGTTTGAAAATAAAGAGTTCACTGAACTCAAATGACTTCATATTTTCAACCTAAATTTGCTTCATTTCTCAGTTATAAAAGAGTTACTAAACCACACTTTTGCAATAATTTCATGACATTTGCAAATGACAACATTAATCAGAACATTCCATACGCATGTTCCAGTTCTATGGAAGCTTGCAAAACCCCAAAACAATCAGAACAAAACTAACTTCCTTTTAGAATGTGCAAGTCAAAAAAAAAAAAAAAACTACAGAATGCTGAATTGAGTGAGATAGTAAGAATCAATATTTCATGAATTACATTTTAAGATCTACATACCATCCTGTTTCACAATTATTAAAAAATGGCCTTCTTTCACAGACAGTGGCTATCTGAATAGTGTAGGTGAAGTTATAAACCCTTGTTATATTCTCTACTGTAATAAGGTCTAGGCTATCATTTGACATTAAACTGAACAACTGATAGAGTACAGAATAGACCTAAAACATTTTATGGGTAAGGGAGGGAAAACTGTTGAGGAATATTTTTGGGGTGGCGCGGCGCAGAATGTTCCTGAATTGAGACTTAGTTTGAAGCTGGGGACAATTTCTTGGAGGGGGGGGGGGGCTGATGATGGAAGTACCAAGCTTGGCTCCTCTGGTTTTCAATGTAAAAACCAGAATCACACGTACATGTAAGATTTGATGCTAACGTTTGCTTCACAACCCTGTATGAGCTGCTCTCATTCACAAACTGTACACGATTGTTCATAACAGCAAACCTTTGGCCAACTCATTTCAAAAGCTTAATTTTTATTTTATTTTAAAAACTTGTAGTTCGGCAATATTGTTTGCTTGGCAACCTTACATGCATATAAATTGGTCATTTTCCCAATCTTTTCCCCCGAAATACGACCTGATTCCTATCAAATTACAAGGAAGTACATGATTACTTCATTTCTCATCTTTAAATTAGAAAGTAAAGAAATAAGTGCAAAAAACCTAAAACACTCTATCATTGGTGCAACACATGATAAACATGTTGTTCCGGTACGTTATCTGCTACGAGTGCAGAGATTATAGTCACTCTATGCAGCCTGCGGGGAAATTACATGAATGGCATGAAATACATCATATTGCATTTGCATGATAGGATTTTCCTGTGGTTCACTTCGGCCATCTTGACAATATTGCTAATCCAATAGTCTACTCTACTGAAATATCACCAGACAAACTCTTTTTGCCAAATACATTAAATCAACATGCTTTGCTATGCTACTTAGTGAATTCATACAACAAAGTGAAATGTTGCCATACTGATGGTCCAAAGATGACAACTTTGTTACAACACATCGTGCCTAGAACTCACTGGAATCACTGGTAAGGTCCACGTCATTCTGGTCTGAGCCTGGTATGTAGTCAAACTCGATACCTTCCATCTCCACATTGGGTATCTACATGCAAACACACAAACATCAAATGTAACTGAAGCTTTTCTCTTGTAAATCCTGCACCACATTAACACTTTTGATTTTGTTTGTGTGACATCTCAATGCATGCAATGGTTCTATCCTGACACCTTAAAGGGCAATGAATTTTTTTAAGGGACACATTTTGTGCAACTTTCAACTCTTAAATGTATGAAAACTCTTTGACATCCCTTTTTTGGTTAATTTGATTGAAAAGTGCACTTCTTTAAACATTTAAAATTTCCCATGCTTTTCTGGACAACTGAAGGCGCTGATGCAGTGATATCATTTCAGGAAGACACTGTTCAGTTTAGGGCTTTTCTGTTCAAATTGTGAACCCAAAATTTGCTCATTGAAAACATTTGTGGGAAAGGTTGCTGATTGGCTTTACTGGCAGTGTACTGACACAGCAACGAATCACCAAAGAAAAGAACAGTTATGACAGCAAAATATCCAAAATTCGAGCAACTTTTTGTGCTGAAATAGCTGTAACATTGAGGTTTCTGCCTGAAATGACATCATAATTTTGTTCATGAATATGGACACCATTAGCATAGAAACCTAAAAGCCATCAAAGTACCCTTCAAAATGGCAAACCAAGAATTGAAAATGAGGTTAAAGGGCACACTAAGGTGCATTTTCAAGGATGGCATTAAACCAATTACATTGCACGAGCCCTATAAGTCTGATACTGATGATGTCAAGGAAGGTATTGCATCATATTGTTGCAATACTACTGTTCAAGTTTTATTTCAGTTTGGTCAAGGTGACTGATCCAATTAAGCTATTAAGCAGCAGTGTGCTGATCAGACCGCTGCTGTAGATGGATGAGCAGATGAGATGAAGTGACTGATACTAGATAAAGCCAACTCTTACCTCATTGGGAGTCTGTGAGAAAAGGATAAAGAAAGGGGGGAAAAAGGACAAAAAAGGGGCTTAGCACACACTGCATAATGTAGGGATGGGACTTCATCTGCGCAATGGGCATGAAAAGCAATGTTGTAAACCACACCATTCAGTACAAACAGAAGGAATGTATGGCTACTGAGGTAAGAGTTGCATCATTTCATTAATTCATTATTGTTTGACCACCCACAAACAGTGCACAAGGACTATTATGTCTTTAAACACAGATGAGAGTTGAAACGCCAATGTTTAAAACTGGTCATGAGAACCCTGCGCTCAGCACGACATGCTCGCAACACACGTCCCACGCACAGACTGCAACAGGATGCTTGAATACCACTGATATGATCTCCATATAAGGAAATTCTGAGCACGCGTACCGTAGGTACATGTGCCCGATGGAAGCGTTGAAATAGCCTGAACACAAAGTAAAATGGTAGAACAAATCGGTGGAAGTTTTCAATTTTTTATGGATTTTGACAGAAAAAGTATTTATGAATGGGGATAATGTAATGGAGGAGTTATAAACGTCATGTTTAATACCGGTTTGGGGCCTCAAGCCGTTATAGGCAGCCAGATCCCAGTTTAAAACCTCACATTTATAAATGCTCCATCACACTATTATCTCCTTAATAAAAAAAGATTCAAAGTAATGCAAATCTACGGCTGAACTTTAAGCACATGAATAGCAAGAATAGCAATGAATTAAGCCCAAACTTGCCACACAGAAATGAAGGTGTACACACACACTTGGGTATGCTTTGCAGATGAATGAAGTAGCAAAAGTGCAGAGTTATTCTCAGCAACATGACATTATGCTTGAAATGGGTTGCGAAAAAAAAAAGATTCTTTGAGGGAAAACCCAGGAAGAAAGGTTTCTATTCATTAGTTCTGCTAGACAGAAACCAGGAGTTTTGTTTTCACAAAGTTGAGCAGATAATGTGTAGAGTACAGTCTTAGCAAGCTAGCCAGTCAAGAAGCTAGCCAGCAAGATAACCAGCACAACTGTCATCTCTGCTAATGTACACATTCTTCAAAGACTGCCAACTTACCAGCCACTGCACGGGTGAGGAATTGATGACATAATTAGCCACTTGCATACTGACATGGGACAGATTGTTGAGCTGTTCCCGGCAGGTAGTCAGCAGGCTGGAGGAGATGTCACTGAAGTAGTGAGCCTGCAAGAATAACAAAGACATTTACATTCTCCAAACTCAAACTGTCATCACTTAAACCCTGCTCACAACTCACTTCAGCACAGAGTACCCTTCTGATATAAACCATACATACCATTAGCTTTGGTTAACTCTGGTTTCAACCTATGACTTCAACTTAACACACAATGCCATCTGAGGTTTCTAAAATTCATATAATGTACATGGCATGGTACCCTGTCAAATCTTTCCACAGGTCATTGTTAGAAAACTGGTAGAAAAAGGTATCTTTTCTTTGTGATGAAACTCAAATATAGCCGGTGAATGCAACTTTAACCCTAACTGAACCCAACCCATCAAATCCCAACAGTAGGTTTTGTTTAAATCTTTTGGGATAGGTACAGTACCCCTGAACTGATGGTCTTTTACATTGGGTTTGGCATACCTCCAGAAACTAAGTCCAACAGTGTGTGTGTACAATTTCCCATGTGGGTGTTGGAATTTGTCTGAATGGGTACGGTTCCTAGTAAATTATGCTAGGGAGTTAGGGTTAATGTCCCATCCAAACACTGACTTTTAATGATGATAACAGTTTCGTCCTTATGTCCCAGGAAGCTATGAGTCCTGAAACCAACAGGCTTTGTGTATGGGCTCCGTGCAGAAGTACCCCCTCAACGGTAAGAACAGGAGAGTTGGGGAGACCACCGGGAAAGACATTCAAATGCATTCTGACGAGCCCGACGCTCACGCAAAGAATAATTTGGTGCATACTTCGCGCAATATATGCGCGGACCAGTACACACACACACACACCCTTAAAAGTGGTAAAAAAAACGTCCAATCTTGTTCGCAAACGGAGCCCATAATCCCCATGCCCATTACTTCTCAAAATGCTTATGGTCAATCATAGACATCACTATTTGCAAGCTCTATACTCTCGGTATCTCATTATGAGTTGCTGTACCTCTTCAAATGAGTGGTAGATGTTATCAGCCATGGTTCGGGCTTCCTCCACTTTGCCATGGATGTGCTGAGGCAAGATGGCCACAGAGCTGGCAATATTCTGAGTCAGTCCACGCAGACGTCCTGCCAGCGCACGTGCAATAGCCAGCGTCTTCTGTTCTCCTTCCTGACAAGAAATAAAAAACAATATGGTTGCTAACGTGTTATTAATTTTGCCAGCATCAAGGTGCTACATTTTCTGTCCAGATTATTGGTCATTTTTGATACACAATATTCCGAGTTTGAGGAGAAAGTAATAACCAAGACCCAGGGCTTATTGTCTAGCTACCTTGTCTGTCACCTCCGAATGCTCAGTCTCCTTCTCCTTTCCTTCCTCAGTGGTGGTCCAATCATTCCAGGTGTTCCATAGCTTCTCCTGGGCTGCTTCTGCATTAGTACGGATTGTCTGATTGGCTCCATCAATGCTCTCTTTGGCATAGTCAATCTGTACATTGCAATTTTCAAGAGCAAAATCAAGACAGGGATTAGGTGAAAAATATGAACAGGTAGAAGCAATGCATGGTAGTAAACAACTAGTAGACAAATAGCAATCGAGTTCTCACAAATAAAATAAGCTTGGTTCAGACTCACACTGTCCAAATAAGTGAACCAGAGAAACCTGCTAAGACATCCAGCATTAAACTCTACAAACTACATCAAATTTTAAATATTATACAAGATTAGAAGAACTGCTTGAAACTGTCACCACCCCAAAAGTCATGCGATATGCATTGCTTTTGACCGATTCTCAACATTTTTTTAAAACTTAGCACATGTGTTTGCCAATTTAAGGTTTCTGCTGAAACCATGATTGGAATGCTAGATTTATGTTGTATGGTACCTGATGTCCTATGCGATGCACCCTTAACAGTGGTCAGTTTGTGAGATCCATGTTGCTCTAGCAATGAACCCCCAAATGTCTCTATAGATCCATTTTGGATAAACTGTCTGAAGTTGATGTAATTACACCTGTTCATTGGTAGAGCATCAACTGTACAAACCTATGCCCCTTACATGAATGTATTTGCAAACATTTTCCCAACAGGACTTAAGACCTTTTTGTGTTTGTTGTGATCTTGCTGGTTGAATGTACATGTATGTACCAATCTATTAAACCCATTGTGTTCTGAACAATGACAGCTGTGACTTATGTCCGACATACGTGCACAACAGTCCGACATGCCTGAACACGTGTATGACGTGCACATTGGAGAGCAGCACGTGTTAATTGCCTACATGCGTAGTGGGCGGGATCAGTCTACTCGGCAGACTTGTATGACTCGGGACTTCAACTCAAGTCTTACTCGAGTCCCATTTTCCATGACTCGGACTTGAGTCACAATGACAAATGACTCAGACTCAACCCTGGACTTGGACTCGGACTCGACCTGTGTGACTCAGGACTCGACCAAAACTACCACAAATCACTTATTTTTTTTTTTCAAGAGTAAAATTACAAATTAGTTTGAAGGCGATTCTTGGACTCGGACTCGACCTTTGTGACTCGTGACTCGGACTTGGCCTCGCCCTGCACATGACTCGGGACTTGGACTCAGGAGAGGTGACTCGGACTTGGACTCATTGTTTGGTAACTCAAATTCAAGTCTTACTGGAACACAGTGCTTACCAGATCAACAGTAAAGTGCAGCTTTTGAATGGTTTCCTGGCTGCGTTTCTGGGCATAGCGGATGTTCATCAAGGCCTTTTTGTGCAGACGACGACGTACTTTTTTGCTCAAAGTATTGACACGTTGGACAGAGCTGGGTGATTCCTTCTCCATCTCTGTCTCCTTCTCATCATAGTCATCTTTCATCTCTTGCTTCTTCTCTAAAAACACATGAAAGACAATACATTGTACTGTTATGTGGCAATGTTCTCAGTCAAGATGCACCTCTTTGAGAAAATCAAATGACACAAGTGGAAGAAATCTCAGGAAAACCAGCAAGAAACAAACCAACACAATCAGTAAGGGCATTGGAAACCTGCCAATGAAAGCCTTGTACAACATTCTTTATGACTGAATTAAATCACTGTTGGGCTAAAGAGCTCACTTTTATAGAGATAACTAATGATATCAAAATTATTTACTTATTATGCTGTAAATAATCTACAAAGCGATGAGATTTTTTTACTGTGCGCTCTATTTCATACAAAATATAGGCCAAACACAGTCCAGTTAGGTTTATGGTGATTGATGGCTAGTAAACGCATCCCATTTGAGTGTAAATATTTTACGTTACATACTCTTTAAGGTGAAACCTTGATATTTCTTAAGTTACTTTATGGCAAAATTGAAGATTCGCACAAGCTACATTCATCAAAACATGATACTGCAATTAGCCTTTAACCCTAACGTACCTGAATCCATCAAAATCCACCCCCCTGTTTCGGGGGATTTCGGCGGATTCAGGATACCTCCATATTACACAAACTGGAGGATTTTGACGGATTCAGGATTGTAAGCCTGGCGGAACTGCAGGATTTTAATGGATTCAGGATACCTCTATATTGGGCTGTTGGGGGACTTTGGCGGATTCAGGATCTCAACAGATTTACTCCCGCCTAACTGGTGGATTCTGATGGACTCACTGGCCACCAACATTTTTTTTGCAAGGCAAAATTGATGGATTTTGGCGGATTCAGGATACTTTCTAGTAAAAGAGCCCAAGGGGTTACGGTTAAGGGCCATTAACAGCAGTATAATTTTTGTTTCAAAAGAAACCCCCAAAAGTTGAATTTAGGTGACTTACTGACTCTGTGCCTTTCACAACACCTCCCCCCCCCAAAAAAAAAACCTACCCTATGACACTCAAATTACATCATTTCAACTGTGCTGCTACAAATTATGTATGTAAAGCAATACAGAGAAAGACGTGCATAAATCTGTGGCAAGATGAACCAGGAAGTTCTGTACAATTCCTACAAACTTTGTGACAGTGAACCTTAACCCACTTTGCTCAGACTTACACCCACATGTATGATGAAACAAATGGGAAAGATTGTTTCATTTTCAATAACCATTTGACAAATCATGAGTCATAATGTCATTACTGACAAAGTCAACAGTGCATTTTGATAAACTATTCATCGCTGACACAAAAGATTTTTCCTAGGATCCCCCCCCCTCGGAATAAAAAGCCCCACCCCAAATTATATCAAACAACTCTCCCTTCCAAAAATAGATTGAATCTGTCAATTCTGCACCTTGGTTAGTTGGGAGAGAACACCTGATCTACCCATGCAACAAACTACAACTTCTCTATTTTTTTTAAGAATGAAAATATATCAAGGACTCCTTTCCACCGGGTGAAGTTGGTCTTTAATGTTTCAAATGAACAGACTAGGGTTTGCAGAGTTGTAACAAGTCACTGAATTTTGTGAAACGAGTCGATCGAGTCCAGACATTAGGTCAAGAAGATCGATTCGAGTCGAGTCACGGTGTAAGGTTGAGTCAAGCCAAGTCAAATTTCTGCTCGAGTCAACTGGAGTCACTGATATGTGAACACCATCTCATAAATTACAGAATGGAAGAAGGAACACATGCAGGCACAAGTTAATCGTGGAGATCCAAAGATATAGAATAGGCTGCATGGTACCCAATAGACAACTTCGGCTGGATATTTCTAACAAAGATCTATGTGGCAGGTCACAAGAAGATAACTGGTAGATACTCAGACAGACGGATCCAAAAAGATAAAGAGACAATGGGCTACTGGAATAAATGAACCCTTAAACCTTGATACAGCACCAGAGGTAGACACAGAATAAATATTTGCTCACGTATTTAGAATAAAGAAAAGACAACACAAACTTGTTTAAACCTGTTTCTTCCAACAATAGAAGTTACAAAGTCTACATTTGTTGCTAGATGTTTCTCCATCAAGTGTCACGTAGATCAATAAAAATGAAAACTTTAGCATTTGGTTCAGCTAACAGTCACAAACAACTCCAATTTCAATATGACTCATGGATATCTCAAAGGCATAGCTAGACAAATGTTTACTTAATCGGCTGTAAAAACTGAGTATAAAGATAAACATGTTCTTATCATGTTGACTCAGTGGTGAATTTAACCATTGTCAATTATCCTCTTAATAGATTAATGCTGGTACAATCAAGGCAGATGACCTCAAAGATATCAAATACACCACGCATCCTGCTACCTCGGCTCCATTTGCTTAATCCTTTGTAAAGTAAGGACCCCACATTATGTATTTCATCATTTGTCAAAGTTCGCTCGAGGGAAAATTCTAAAATTCAATGAATCTTTCTTTGTAAAACAAACTGCCAAAAGCCACTTTTAAAGAACAGTACGGACTCAGGATATTTGACAGTATAGTGTTACAGAGCACTACAGAGTAATAGAGTTAATGTATCTGAAATAATATCACAACTGTGTTAGTGTTTGGTGACATGAATTAGATAAACTATACAAAAATTACAATTCAGAAAGCTAACAAGATTGGTCTCCATTCCAATATCTTCTCCAAATTGTACATGTGCCTTCACTGAGAAAACAACCTGAAACCCAGGACGTGCTAAAACAAGGCAAGATGAGATAACATACAGCCCAGTGAATTAAACAACACCCATTAAAGTAATGCCCTGGCCCACTTCTTACCAGCATCATCAGGAGGCAGGTAGTAATCCACAGCAATCTCAGACACAGCCAGAGCCGTATCCAATCCAAAGGAGACCACCTTACCCATGCGGGTATTCATCAGCATATTCAGGCCTTCTACTCCCTTCTGCTTAGTGCCTTCAATCACCTGTCGGGTACCATCTTGTATGGTGCTTACCACCTGAAAGGCAAACATAAAAACTAGTCTATGCAGGAGGCGTTGTCAGATTCAAAACTTTCTTACCTTATTTGCTATAACTTGTAGCATCTTGTATATGCTTTTTAACCACTTTAAGCCGGGATTATTATAACATTGACCGGACCTAGGCGTGGGTTGTTTTTCACGAACCTCGATTCCTGACGGGTTCAGGCTGTCATCTGTGGGTACCACACCCTGATATGCCCGGCCTTGCTCGCTGCGAACTGGTCGCAGACAGATATTTCCGACCTTGCTCGTTGCGTGTTTATCCGTCATACGTTCTGAATACCGCAAATCTTTGCATGTATACACGTCATCCGACGTGAACTGGATAATACTTTCATTTTATTTATTTAATGAGTGCCAAACTAAAATAAAATCTTCAAGTACTTCCCAACTCACAGTTTAAATCCATGTCTTGTACTTAGGCAAATTTAGATTTCTATCAGTAGCTGCATTGATCGTACACTTAATACTACCACAAGCCCTGGCATCTGCCATCCCAAATCCATCTAAACACTGCAAAACCTGCTGCAATTTGTTCAAGCTAGTTGGCTTGTACATCCCTCCTGTTGCATACGTGTACATTCCTTAACTCAATAGTATTTAAGTCATATTAAGCAACACAATCCATGCTTTCCTCATTTTAAATGAAACTTTGTTCAGATGGCAGTATGTGGACACTGCTCTTATGTGAACAAGTCATACATGAACACGTACCTCGTCAGTTGGCTTGCTGATAAGGGGAACCTTCTCTTCCAACTTGTCCAGCTGATGGCAGGCAAACTCACTGGCCATGGAAACTACCAAAAGACAAAGAAAATAACAAATATAAATTCATCAAAACGAAAACTAGATTTCCCAGGGCTTCAATGCTTGACCCAAGTTGAATGATATTGGAATCAATTGAGATATTGTTAGCAGTGTTATGCAGGGTATGTAATGAAACAGCATGGAGCTGATACTTTGCCTTGATATTTACTTTGTTTATGAGGAATTGAGTTGTTCAAAATCTCAGGCAGTTTTCAGCTGTTAATTGATGCAATGTGCATGTTGCAGCCTCATGAAATGTTTGTCAGTATAAATCTGAATTTGCTAATGTGAAGCAAATATGGTCGATGCTTAACAATAACAGCAGCAAGCTTGTTGAATGTAGACTGGCTGTTTACATCAGGGTTAGTAATCAGACAAAGTGCAACGCTTTCCCAAAATTGAACCAAGTACTTTTGATTTCAATAGTTGCGTTAAATAGGTTCTTCTCCGGTTGGGAGCAAACAAGTACCAAGTGGTATAACCCACGGCGGCTGGGTAACGTGTGAAGACGGCTTTAATATGGTACGGCACCATCCGTGCACCCAAATGGGGTGTGATCTAATATGCAAATTAGACACTGCGCATCAGTGTTTTTAAAACCGGTCTTGGAATGCAAAGCTGTAATACTTCAGTTGCATGAATGCAATATATGGCCGAGTAAACTGTCCACCAACCCACACCCACCCACCAACCAACCAACCAACATAAGCAGCTCAAGCTCACGGAGTGTTTCACACCCGCTGTGGGAAAAACAAGGTTGGATGGATGTATGAGAACAATACAAAAAGATATGCTTTCACTTAAAAAAAAAAATAGAAAGAAAAAATTATGAAAAGATTACAGCAATGCAATAACTTACTTGGCTTCTCAAAGCGGTCAACCACTGGTTTGGCTGTTTGGGCTGCCACAACCACAGACTTCTCAGCATATCCAAGGGCCCTGTTGGCAAGTGTGCTACGCCCCTTGGTCCAAGTGTACATGTTGGTTACCTGTATAAACCAGAGACATGGCAAAGTTTGGTCCTTGTTACAGTGTTAGCGACTGGGGTATCTGGATATCCTTTGACTAGACACCTTGTTTTGCAGATGCCCCAACTACTAACGCTCCCTAGGCTGTTTGAAAAATCATATGAGATTTAGAGGACTGTTAAGGTTATATTAACACAGCACAGTCCAACAGTACATAATGGTTTATTCGCACAGAATAAGATATCTTTTAGACTTAATAGTGTATTAATATGGGCTACACCCCTTCAAACTTCTTGCAACTTTTTCAAGTTGATATAACTTGGTGGAGTGACTTGCCGGTACCCTTCCACGGGTAGACTACAAAATTCCAATCAGTGTTGAAAAAATATCTTTTTTTTTTGAAAACCTGTTCCTCATCTTAACTAGCCAAAGACTACCACACATGAGGACAACACTATGACCATACCTGTCCAATGGTAGAGCTCACCACGGGGATTTGTGTTACACGAGTGATGATATCAACCCCGGAGGAAGAGTCAAGAACTACTACATTGCCTGGACCAGACTCCATAGGTTCAATCATATCACACTCCATACTTGGCTTAGTGGCTTCACCAGAAGTCTTCATACTCGAAATGTTGATAAAGGTTTCTAATGAATAATAAACAAAAACAGACAATTTTAAAATAACATGATTAGAGCTATTATGTTCACTGCTGATGCTTTAATTGAAACCATGTAGAAACTTTATATTGCTTCAACCATGATTAATAGAGCCTGAAAGTAAGGTCTCACGGCTAGCTTCCAGAACCCTCACGCAACCGGCCTCTATGGGCATTTTACACTAGGCTGCCCAAAATCTTATCTTTTTTTTGGTGACAATATTGGGTATTTTGGTCAAATGCAGGGTTGTGTCACGCCATGACAGCAGTCTAACTTGGTCCCTACAATCGCAAGACCATGTCTGAATGTTAAAAAAGGCGATAAGTAAGGCCCAAGTTAGCCCTAGTCTAAAGCCCACACTGGAGTAGACTCTGTATGCTGGGCCGTACGCAAGTTCCCTCAGAAGGTTGGTAATTTGAAGGGAAAAAAATACAAGTTGGCGTATCTAAATTCCAACACGAAATTACACGAAAAATAGACGTCTGAAAATGGGGGATTAATTTTCTATCGCTTTAAACTTAGGCTACTGTTAGAGGGTGAGTGTGCTTCTAAAGCGTGAATAAACTACAAATATCGTCAGACCTCCTAAAGCTACGCGCTCATATTTCTGCGCACTCGCCTTTAGGTTATATTTTGCAAGGCGTGCATCCTAAAAAATGACATACTTTCGCTGGGATCGTATCCTTTGATGCACGAACTTTAACCAGCAGCCGAAAAAATGTGGAATTTGAAGGCTTTACTGGGAATTCAGGCAAAAAATGAAAAGCATCGGCATTTTACAGCTAAATATGACCGAAAGGTGACCTTCTTTGGTCTCCCAATATCCTCAGTATTATAGTTAATATGTCATAGATAAAACTTACGGTGCAACTAAAAAGAGACATTTCTTATATTATTTTGGATTTTTTGGGTCATAAAGTTTAAAATCCGACATCTTAAAAACTGTCTCTGTTGATTGGGATGATCAGAATAAAAATATCATTGGGATCTACATTTAATAGGTAAATATGTATAAAATCTATTTATGGAGTGTCATGGCCTAGCGGTTAAGAGCACCGGACTCATATTCTGGTGTTTCAGAGGCAACAGTGACATGGGTTCGAGCCCGCCGGCCGACACTTGCGCCCTTAAGCAAGGCGTTTTACCATTATTGCTTCGTCCTTCGGATGGGACGTAAAGCCATAGGTCCCGTGTGCTGTGCAATGCACATAAAAGAACCCAGTAACACTTGTCGCTAAGAGAAGGGGTTCGCCCCGGTGTCCTGGCAGTGGCTGCAGCACCTTGTAAACCCTTAAAAGGTGCTACATAATGGGTCTCATATTTCTCATGTACTTCATTCATCTAATAATAGACATAACTTCAAGTGCCTTGAGTACCTATACTCCATTGCGATAATGCCTGAATAGGTTTCTGCAACGTAACCATACAGATGTAAACATGTAAATATAGGCCTTTGTATAACCTCCAAAATGGGATATTAAAAATAATCTTGAAATTACGAAAAGTGAATTGGCATTGAAAAACGAAAGGAAAAAGATAGAAAATGTTTGAAAAGCTCAAGAAATATATTTTAGGCAGGATTAGGCAGGATTCTTTTCTACAACGCCAAAACTGCACGCTTTAGAATTCCCTGCTTGCTGCCACAAATGAAGAGATTTTTTTTTGTTAATCGGAACCGTGGATGATCGTAAGCCACAGGGTTGGCTGATTTGAATCACGTTGATTTAAATCACTGATTTAAATCGCGATTTAAATCAAATTATTTTTTAAATAAAAATCACTGATTTAAATCACTTTTTTGTAAAAATCTTATTTTTGGCAAAATCAATTGATTGAGGGTCATTTTAATCATTTAAATCAACTGATTCCACTTAATTACAAAGTGTAAGATGTTGTTAACACATTCAAACACCCCTACTTCATCACCATCGACTCAATTTAGGTTTTGCATAATTACACAAAAATCGTTGTTTTGATTAAGTCAAGATCTGAGTTTAAAAGTTTTTCTTCAAAGTTTTTAATTTTAAAGAGAGCACACTCACGTTTGCTTTAATCATTTCTTGATCTGTTTACAGTAATATTGTGAATCAACTGTACTGTTGAAGGCTTACATGAACCATCAAAAGGTGTATTAAAAGTCCCCGGTGAGTCTTTTTCCTAACGTTAATTTCTCCCTACAAATTTAGATTGAGATTTACATAAAACCTTTTAAAGGTGTAAGGCCTGATTTCTGTTCTCCACCTTGGACCATCGATCAAACACTAAGTTACACAATCAGTGCCGCCAGTTTTGAAATTAGAAGCATTTTTATGAAATCAACATGCCCATGGAGAACTGTCGTATTTTTTTTGTATGCCATGTACACGTACCATAAATCAAGTTTTCATTCGTATCCACACATAACGTATCTCAGCTGTATCAATCAAGCAATGCTCCTTAAAAAAAAACCCTATTTGTTGGGTAGGTAGTGTGCTATTCATACTCTTGGAGGATGACTGCATTAAGGGTATTACTGTACCATTGAACCAATGATGTAGACTACATGTAGAAGAAATCAAGTGATTTTTTAAATCACTGATTCAATACAATTTTTTTCAAAAGCTTTTATCAATTTATTGAGTTTTGTGGATGAAGGGTATTATAGGACCCTGTAAACTCCTTTGTGATGGGTATGAGGGTGCATGAGGAGATTTAGACACATATTTAGACATATCAATATTTTGAAAGTCAAAAAAATCAAAAGTCTGAAATCAAAAAAAATCTGATTTAAATCAAATAAATCGGATATTTTTGATTTAAAAAAAAAAAAAAAAAAAAATCGCCAACCCTGGTAAGCCAACAATATAAGTTTCGTTGAGAAAAAGAGTGGTTGCTTTGCTATATTTAAGCTACTTGGTTGCAAAGCCTTATCTGCGCAGAAGTAGGAGGATCAAGGATACAAAGTCTTTAGTCTAAATGTGAAAAAAAATTGACTAAGTTCTACATGTTCGGGTACATGGTGATGGTCCAAGCTAGTAGAGTTACTCAAGCTAGTACGGACCTAGCTTGAGTAACTCCAGCTGACATGCTCATATTCATTCACATGTGAATGAATATAAGCATGTCACCTGGAGTTACTCAAGCTAGTACAGACCCTACTGACTGCACGATTACCGAAGTACCCACTCCAGCTAAGTAACCCTGGTAACGTCGACGTTAGTCGTTAGACTTCATCTGCTTCATCTGCATTTCTTCGATCGAATTAAACAAATAGAAAACCTCTAATATTTCAATGAGCCCTACCTCTGTTTTCGGTGCTTCTCAACGAAGTCGGAGTTGTGTTCTGAATTCCTGTCACAGCGAACATTTAGAAATATACAGGCTGAATTGTGCAATTGAGCTGAACGGACGTTGCACTTTGGCCCGAACTCTCCGTGGGTGTGATGATGCAACCCGGTACCAGCTTTGCACGGGATGTACGCGTTCTGGCGCGCCTTGTGGATGTCGAGCGCAATTTGAGTCCCCCGCGCAAGTTTAAACTTGCGCACGCGAGGGACTCCCGAAGCACGCAAATTTACACCGCGCCATTTTAATTTGCGTGCGCACGTTACAACTTGCGCAAAGGCGATCGCAATTTGAGAACCTTGCGGGCGGGATTTTCATTGATGAAGAAAAATAAATGTTCGAAACACAAGTACATGGAGAAATAAATTAATAAATAATGGAATAAATTAATGAACAAAGAAATAAATAAAAAGTGGAATTAAATTAGCGTCAATGAAAAGAAACATTGAGATTTAGCAGTGCATATCAGAGAAGTTTTTTAGGGGGCGGGGCGGGAAGGGGACCAGGCAAGCAATAAGCACGGTGATTGCTTGGAGAGAGTACTGAAGTTGTTCGAAAATGGAGACAACTTGCTTCAAGGTTTTTTACCTTGCATATGTAAAACTAATTAGCATTTTATTTATATTCTTGAATGTAAATAAATCATAATTTCCTAGGGGTAACCCGTTGTTAACGTAAAAGAATGATTATCATTCCTTCAATTGTTCAAGATTTTTGACGTTATAGTAATCATTTACATTATTTTTTAAATGCTTTAAATTATATTACATGTACTGTACAACTAAAAAAGTACTTATTCTTAAAAAAATACTAATTTTATTAAAATAGCAATTAATTAATTGGACGGTACAATACTTCATTTTGTTTTAAAAAATACTTTGCATAACATTTCGAGCGCTGTGTACACTTCAAAAATGCATAATTTGAAGAAAAAAAAATTAATGAACTCATTACTAATTTAATTAATTAATTAAATGTATTACTTTAAACAATTATTTTACGTGCAGGTTCAATAATTCATATTAATGTTTACGTGCTTTAACTTAAAAACGCTATGCATATAAAATGGTAATATTTTAAAAAGTAAATAAATTTATGAATGATTTAATTAATTAATTCGAATTAATGAATAAATATGCTGTTTATTTAACAAAAATCCTAATGAGCCATAATCAATAATACACATCATGAAAGTGCATAAATTGTTCGCATTACCACCCCTTAGTTATCTCTGACCCCACACAGTCAACCTCATTAGCATAATACTATTATACTGTAAATGAAATGTTTCAAAAAAGGCATTAAGGCATTGTCTCAAAGCACAGTGGTGCTATTAATTGGAGAAAAATCTTCTTTTGAAAATAATGTTACATATCTGCATGAGTTTACAAGCAAAAAATTAGTTTGGCGGCTTTGCATGCATGGGAAAAATCTATGTAGCGCGCAAGTTTAAACTTGCGTGCGCAATTTGTAGCAAGGAAATTAATCAGGTTTAAACTTGCGCGCGCAAGTTTAAACTTGCGCGGAGGACTCAAATTTCGCTCGACAGGGACGTGTTCGTGCACATGTACACGTACTTGGAAGCACTATGCATGTATGGTCTTTTATTGTGTGTCACCCCCGGCCCAATGATCGAGAATATTCCCTATGGAACGCCAAAGAGGCATTTAATGTGATCATCGAATCGGTGATGGACTTTTGCAATCGGTGATGCATATTCACGATCGGTGATGGACTTTCGCGATCGGTGATGGACTTTTACTGGTGATGCATATTCACGATCGGTGATGGACTTTCGCGATCGGTGATGGACTTTTACTGGTGATGCATATTCACGATCGGTGATGGACTTTCGCAATCGGTGATGGACTTTCACTGGTGATGCATATTCACGATCGGTGATGGACTTTCGCGATCGGTGATGGATTTTTACTGGTGATGCATATTCACGATCGGTGATGGACTTTCGCGATCGGTGATGGACTTTTACTGGTGATGCATTTTCACGATCGGTGATGGACTTTCGCAATCGGTGATGGACTTTTACTGGTGATGCATATTCACGATCGGTGATGGACTTTCGCGACCGGTGATCAACTTTGCAATCGGTGATGGACTTTTGCAATCGGTGATGGACTTTTGCGACCGATGATCAACGGCCCATCACCGATTGCAAAAGTCCATCACCGATCGCGAAAGTCCATCACCGATCGTGAATATGCATCACCAGTAAAAGTCCATCACCGATCGCGAAAGTCCATCACCGATCGTGAATATGCATCACCGATTGCAAAAGTCCATCACCGATTCGATGATCACATTAAATGCCTCTTTGGCGTTCCATAGACATCCCCCGCATGGATGGTGCACGCATACTGGTCGTGATGATAATAGCGCCGCGATCACACAAAGGGGATCATGTGATTGATCTGAAGAAACCTACAGTCATCATGGGCGTCGGACCGGGGGGGGGGGTATCCCCGCCGTCTTAAAGGGAATATACATCATTTGCTTTTGCTGTAATTTTCAGAAATGGATGGATTTGGGGGGTTGCTTGTACATAGTAAATATTGCTACACCGACTTTTTTGACGTTTTGGGTTCGTAGATGCTATAAAAACGAAGAAAAACAGTAATTTTCCTGTTGTCTGGTTCCCTGACTCCATTTAAAATGAAACGGAGCAATTTATAGACGTTGGGGAATTGTAAGGTCAGGGAACCAGTCGAGCTTGCTTGTACCCGTTCATAGGTGTGTAATCGATTGCAAACAAAACCGGACTAACTAAATATGGTCAATTGGTGCCAGTATTAAAAAAAGCCAGTTTTTTCCAACACTGGTCGGCCGACCAGCGTACGTTGGAAATTGATACGAAAATACCACTTTTCTTGAAAATGACAGTATACCAGGTGCCATGCTTTTACAGGATGATTTAGACGATCATTCACTAACAGTTTAGCAAGGTATTTCAAAATAATTTAGTAACCTTATTTTTTTATGTTTGCAAATGTTGTATTTTCCCTTTAAGAGCCGGGGTATCGTTTGGTCCCCCCCCCCCCCGCGCTTTCGTCGTGCCCGAATAAAAATTGTAGCGTACTATAATGATTCTATAGCTCAGAATAGCCGATTCAGTGACTCCAAACTCGAAACTAATTTTTAAAAGATGATATTTTGCTCAAATTGGTTTTAGTGATCAGAAATTGCCTTAGATCGCGCGCACCATACCAGTTCGAGTAAAACAGCAGGCCTCGACGTTCACAGTACGGGCAGGGTGACCGAGGCGGTTCATGGCCAAATTCTGCTCAATGCACTACAAAATCTGTCAGATTCCCCAGAATTACTCTCGAATTACTCGAAATGCAATATAAAACATGCAGTTTATAGTCACGTAATAAAGATGTTATGAAATTGCGTAAATTTAGGCAAAACACAGCCCAGTGAACTCGCACCAAGATCGTACCAGCCAACCTGTGCATTATTCAGGGGTTTGTTTGAAGAGATTGAAGCTTTTATGAACCATTTTTTTGCTGTTTTTCTGTCAAACAACCATTTTTGCAGAATTCTGCCAGAAATCTGCCCCCCAAAAAAATCAATTCAGTCAAATGTCAAACTCGTTTTTTTAACAAAAATCTGTCATAGGCTAAAATGGTCACCATGCTAAAAAAAAAACCCGCTGGACCATTTTGAAGGGGGGGGGGGTAATTAATTGCCATTAGGAAATTTGCCGACAGACCGTCACGCGCAATGAGTGAAGTTGATAAGTTCCGTCCAAAATGACCCCTTTAACTCCATTTATAATTTCCCTCTCAAATGTTATGAATGGTTAACTAAGTTGATTACTTTGAATGGATTTATGGAATAAGTTAACTTCAACAGTTATTATCGTATTGAACAGTTATCATATCGTATTGAACTTATTATCATATTGAACAGTTTTCAATATTGAACAGTTTTCAACATTTCCCTCGTAAAACTGCGTGCACACGCTCAGTGCGTGGGATGGTGGGAAATACCTTGTTCAGGTCCGTCCCCTGATCCCAAACTGGGGGGGGGGGGGGGGGGTCTTTAAATCCTAAAATTGAACTTTTATGTAGGAGGCTAGGAGCGCTGAGTGCAAAGTCCTGAAGGCGTGGGTTCCGGGGCCCTAAGGGCCGTGGGACATTTTTGGATTAAATGCTCTGTGGCGCAATCTGAGGCATTTCTTGGCCACTTTCCCCTAACTCTTTGAATGAAATGTACGCGTGTTTAGGGAGATGGGGTGGCGTCTTCCCTATAACGTTGACCCATAATTTAAGACTAGGTTAGCAAGGGGCCCCGAACCCCACGCTGTTAATTTTTGGATCCACTCTTCGGAGACCAAATGTTTTTGTCCCCCCCCCCAAAAAAAAGAAATTGTGTTCTTGATCCGCCCTTGGTTATCGACTCATGTACGTTTTTTAAATTGTAAAGTTATTGTTGATCAATATTTTCGGTTCAGTATTTTCAAGCTCTGGCAGGAGCTTCTACGAGTCACTTGGGTGTCGGTCGGTCCCCGAAAATTGACCAAAAATGTTTTACTTAAATTGAGCAAATGCCATGCCGTCGTCAGTAAATACACTCTAAAAATTATGAGTGCTATTTTTACGAATTTGTCAAAATGACACTTTTCCGGGTCAAAATTGAAATTGGTCTCGATAGTTTTGACCCAGTAAAGTGTCATTTTTTATTCGGCAAAAGACTGTGCATATATAGACTCAGATCGGGGTCAATCCGACCAAGGAGTTTTTAGAGTGCACATCCTCTTGTGATTGCGAGAAACTTCTTTCTCCCACCCATGCATGGAATAATGGCGTTGGTTATATTCAAGTATCATTCTATGAGTGGGGCAGATAGGGGAAAAATTTAGGGGGATTGTGCCTTTGATGATACAAGCATGTAATTTGGCACACGGTCAGAGAAATGTCTTAAGATAGATATTTGGTTATGGGCCATCGCAGATTTGTCCTTTGAAAAAAAAATATATGTGTATTTAATAAGAGGCAATTTTCAAAATGTTCTAAATGGCCGCCATTTGCTTGTTATTCTACCTCTATTTTTTTCAAGGGACAAATCTGCGATGGCCCTATAACTAAGTATCTTTCTCGTGCCATACTCTGACTGTGTGCCAAATCCCATGCTTGTATCATTAAAGGCACAATCCCATCACCTATATCTGCCAACAGTTAGGCCTATGCCTTTTTTCTTTTTTCTTTACCACTGAGCCTGACTGAGGGTGTACATTGCCATTGGTTTCGTTCCATCTTTTAATGAGATATATTTGCAACTTTCCAGTCATTCAAAGTCGCACACTGGATTTATTAGTTAGATCAAAGAGAAAGGAAAGCATACCCGTATATACGCGTGTCAGCGCCTTTCTTTGTTTACTTGCTTCCGAACAAATAGACAACGCCCAAGTTCTTCCAAGAACAAACACGAAGTCTTCTGAATGAGGACACTCTTCGAACGCATGCACCATTCATACGTGTGAAGGATAAGGCTTGGTTGTCCGGGCTGTTAGCGGTCAGCCATTACATAATATGATGATCTGAGAAACGAACGGAATTCTTGATACCTTTGTGATTTAAATTCACTTTGTGATGTTAAGTTGGGAAACCCGATCTAATAATAGAACGTATAAAAGAAGACGGAACGGCTGTTTAAGTCACTAGCGTGGGCCGGCTGCCTGCTTGTCACTAGAGAGGAAGACTGTGGTACTGTCACTCGATGAATCTTCTCATCAGGAGAGGTATTTCCCAGGGAGTTCGGCGACAGTTATACATGTACATGTAGGGCCTACATGCATGGAAGATCCTGAAGTAGACAATTTTCGCTTCTGATCCGAGTCTTCGTTAAGGTCCTGTCTCCATATACGCCATGGCGTTTAACGACGTCAGTGCGATGACGGCCAAGATAACAGCAGCCATGGTTCTGTTCTTCCTTGTGTTTCTGTGTAGCTGGCTCCCCGGAAGAATGATCACTTTCCTCCACCGTGGACTGGATAACTCTCTGGACCAGCAGCGCCTTCAGCAAGTCCTGACGGGCATGAACTGTTTCGCCGGCGGCGTGTTTCTAGCTACCTGCCTTCTGGATCTCCTGCCAGAGTTTCGTGCATTAATTACCGGCGCCAAGGGACGGACAGGCAGTACGGATGGTGTGGATTTCTCGGTGTCAGACACTCGTACGTTTGCATACCGCCAAAGGCGACTGATGATTCCCAAACTGTCACCATCGAAAGACCATGAAATAATCAACACGTGTGAAGAACGGCAGTTCCTATACGACACACCGTTGAATCGTCTCAGGCGTCATTCATCTCTTAAATCAAACAGTGTCATCGATAATAATAACAATTGTATCTTGACCAACAGTGGAAACCTCGTGAAGATTCGGAAGCGAAGATCTCTCGATCTGAGTGTCATTATTTTACTCCTTGTCTTATCAGCCCACTGTATCTTCGACGGTCTCACTGTTGGTTTCCATCCTCGGCCTCCTACACCACAAGCGCTAGAAGTTACAATTGCGGTTGCCATCCACAAATGCGTCTTCGCTTTTAGTCTTGGTGTACAGTACGCACAGAGTAGTCAAATGTCAACGGGACTCAACCGCAGCATTCTCTGTTACTCAGCCGCATCACCCATTGGAATCTTCACTGCCTTTGTGTTTGACAACTTGTCAAACTTGCCGGCGATGTTGGGCAGCGTGGTACCGGCCATTGCAACGGGGACTCTTGCATTCAAAATCTTCTTGGACATTTCGCCTGCAACTTGCCAGACATAACACACTTACTCTTTTACTCGAGATTGAGGAACATGTTGGAGGCCATACACTCAGTTGACTGTAATAATTTCACCAGATTACCAGTAATATTACTTTAAAGGGCCCGTGACATGGAATTTTTCTTGGGAACGTATTTAATGCAACTTTCTACGTAAATGTATGAAAACTATTTGGCATCTATTTTTGGTTATTTTAATTGAAATGTGTACTTTTTTAAACATTTATTATTGTTCATGCTTTTCCTGACAAATGAGGGAACTGTTGCCGTGATGTCATTTCAGGAAGACACAGTTCAGTCTAGGGGTTTTCTTTTCAAATTGTGAATCCAAAATTTGCTCACTGAAAACATGTGAGAATGCTCACGGGCTTGCTGTCATCTACTGGAACATCAACGAATCACCAAAAACAAATTACCACTTCAAAACATCCAAGATTAGTTTTGGTGCTGAGATAGCTGTATTAAAGACTGAGGTTTCTGCCTGGAATGATATCACACTTGTGCTTATGAATATGGAAATTTACTAAGCATAATAACCTAAGAAGCACCAAAATGCTCTTAGAATGGCAAATGAAAATTGACAATGAAGTTTAATGATACACAAATGCATTTTCAAAGATTGCTTCAAAACAATTCATTACATGAACCCTACCCAACTGAGGCGTTACTGCCTCGGTGGAATGGTCCTTTCGGGACCAGGAGCTTATTTTGTTTTGTGACAACTTGTAAAATTCGAGCACATGGGCCTATTTCAAAACGTCATTTATGCTTTAAATTATGCACTTTGGAATTCGTACATTTCATGATATTAGCTTTCGAAGGAAATTCGACCAGAGGCAACAGATGGGAGTCCCCGTATATTTTCAGAGCTTACCTTGCACACGGATAAGAATACTGCATTTTTAATGGTATTACATTAATAAGAACCATTTAAAGAGAATTGACATTGTTATTAAGAACAAATCGAATATTCCCTGAAGTTTTTAACGATATTTAACAGTAAAACCGAGAACACAATTCGTAAATAATGGTGTAATTCAGTGATTTATTTATAAGGACGTTAGCATGTTTTCAATAGCTTACTAATGTATAATCGGCGCGTTACATGTACATGTGCGTCCCTAACACTGCAGACACATTTAAGGCAAGATGAGCGCCCTACAAAAGCTTGTCGGCATGAAAATTGGTGTTGAAACCCTGCAGTGACTCGCAAACAGTGTTTATCGGATTACCATTACGAACGCCTAAGTAATTAGTGCGTGTGGAGATATGGGCGAATATTAAAATGGCAGGCAAAACGCCGAATAATTAGAAGGGAAATACATGTACATTGTGTAATCATTTTGCGAAAATATAAAGGGTTTCGATCCAACTCGGACCCAAACCAAGTCGGACCCAAGCCAACTCGGACCCATGCCAACTCGGACCCACTACCAACTCGGACCCACGCCAACTCGGACCCACTACCAACTCGGATCCACAACCAACTCGGACCCACTACCAACTCGGACCCATGCATGACCAACTCGGACCCATCGTTTACAATCATTTGACAGCGTTTTCAATCATTCGACAATTTCATAAAGTTTGTCCACTTATCATCTGTTAATACAGTTATGCTGTTAAGTATAAATTTTCATTGTAGTTGTCAGGTAAAATATCTGTATTGCAGCAGTTTGTCGTCGTAAAGCGCATTGAAATGCTATTTTGAAATGCGCTTTTAAAGTGTCATTAATTATTTATTTTTATTATTTGTTTCCATTGAAACATATTGCGCTTTAACCAAAAGTAATTAAAATTAAAGTTTAACCAATTATTCATTTTCATATTTTACATCGTTCACGCCATCTTGCTCAATTTAACATTTCATTTTTAATTCAAACCACATAAATTCAAAACAGATCTTCATAGAAAAATAAAATTGGAAAGTATGACATTGAAACATAAACACTTTCAAACATGACATTATTAATTCAATAAATATAAGTAAACATTTTAAGTCATTAAATAAAATAAATAAGGTATAAAAACGAAGTCTATTCTAATCTCTTCATGTACATGTATTAAAAAAAAAAAATAACCACATAAACACCATTGCATACACTGCAAGAAAAACGAAGGTTCCATATTGAACAAAAAAGGTTAATCAAAAAAGTGTAAAAAGTTACACAGATTCGTAAAAAAACCACAAAATTCAAAGCCAGCATGTGAACTAAAAAAAGATTAACTTATTAAAAACCCTACAATTATGAAATGTCAATCATCAAAAAGGAGTATTGGAGCTCTGGGAAGATTATCCTTCAATTAAGGCCTTACGGGTAGCTGCCTGTATGTTCGACTATGATGTTCCATTGGGGAAAAAAAGTTAATCAAAAAAGTATAAAAAGTTAAACAGATTCGTAAAAAAAAACAATTAAAAAAACTAACAATTACATGAAATGAAAGGCCTATTTCAAATTAATAACTTCCTCACTGAACAAAATTTTTGTGACATATTGAAATCCTTCATTGAGTGTGATTTAATTTGGTTTATTATTTGGCACACACACAAAAAGCAGATGAAAAAGGAAAACATTGCACATAGATATCCATTTCTTCACGTGAATGAGTAATAAGAGAGCAAAATCAATGTAGTATAATCAAACAACAAAACTAAAAGCCCCATTCTGACCAATATAATTACAAAATATCTTCACTATATAAGCACTGTAACATTAAGATGACCTATAAATATAATCTCTGAAACAAATGATTAAGTCATTGTTGGGTCCGAGTTGGTCGTGCTTGGGTCCGAGTTGGTAGTGGGTCCGAGTTGGTCTTGGGTCCGAGTTGGTAGTGGGTCCGAGTTGGCGTGGGTCCGAGTTGGCGTGGGTCCGAGTTGGCGTGGGTCCGACGGCATGGGTCCGACTTGGTTTGGGTCCGAGTTGACCTGATGCCATATAAAGTACATGTGGGCCTACATCTTCCAACGTCATTAGCGGACATAAGACGATGACCCCGCCCACAGACTGCAGTAATCACCTCAGGATATTCAAGGAAAACTTTTAGGAAATGGGAGGGGGTTTGCCAAATGCGTATAGCAAAGGGGCGTGGGGCAGCAGCGTAGCCAGGGTTCTCATGGGGGGGGGGGTGGGGGGCTGGGGGCAACCGACATCATGGTCAATGTCACACCATAGTTGGCGCTATTCAACGGGACGTTAAAATCCACTCGCGAAAATCTGGGCTTTCGTGAAAAATAAATAGAAAACGTGAAAAAGGTACTTGTTGGCGAGTTGTACCAAACCCGCTGATTAAGGTAACTTATACAACTGTGCTTTTCTCCGGTTGCCAACTTTCCGGGGGGGGGGGGGGAGAGAGCCAACGGAAGCCGTAGACTCCCAAAAAACGAACCCAATTTTATTTTGTGAATGACGTCGCAAAAAAGGGAGCCACTGCGTACACCACCATCTTTTCCATACAAAAAGGTTAAAATGGTCAGAAACTGCCTCAGATAGCACCTCAAAGCATAGAGCAAGGAATGCTCAGAGCATCTACAATCCAAAAACATTTTGGGCACTTAAGCTGGGCCTCGAACACCACGCGTAAATAATGTTGGACCCTTTTGGGGAGGCCAACAATTGTTTTTTTTCCGCCTCCCCCAAAATTTGTGTTTTCGATCCGCCCTTGGGGCGACGATTTATTTTTTTTATGGGGGACGTGCGCCTCCCCCCGCCCCCGCCCCCAGCTATGCACGCACCCCCCGTAAAAACAAAATCGTCGGCCTCATCATGATCACTGGCTGGAAAGTTGTTAGTCCTATAAGTGACCATAAGTACCGAAGGCACCCTCTGCTGGTAGCAGAGGGTGCCTGCGATGCTTTCTCTCCTGCATTGTAAGGCAATTCGAGTACAAATTAGAAACAATAGCATAATTCCATTTAATATTTTTTAGCCCCATTTAACTCGTCAGCGGCGCGGCCTGAGCATGAACAGGGGTTTTGCAGTGAACATGCAGTGAATTGCCCAAAACTTACTGTCCCGAGACGTTTTTCACATACCATTTTCAAAACAATGGAACTCAGCAATCCATGAATTGAGGAATGCATCCAAGATATCAATGGAAAGCTTACTACCCATAGTTCACGATAAAACCATAACAATGGTCATTAAGTTCATAGTTTGTTCGTATTATCCCTTTGTTGTTTTTCGGATTACCTTTTTGTCTTGGGGGCGTGCGACGCCCTGTATATAGGGCCCGACACAATTGAGGTTTTTGGCCAGCAGCGGCAGAAAGCTTGAAAGAGAGAAAGAGGGGATCAGAACTTTACACCCCCCCCCCATCCTCCCGAAATAAAATTAAAAAAAACCGGAAAATTTCCAAACAACCCTCGAAGCGGTCGCGTCGACTCATTGATGTACAACAATAGCGCCCTCTATGCTGCCGTGAGTGAAAATCCAATATGGCGCTGTCCATGGCCATGTATAGTACTCAGCACTCGTAATACATCGCGATACAGATAATATTTGAAAACGTACCGATAGTTAATTTGAAGATCCGTAGATGCTGTTATGTAAACGAAGCAATCATGAATGCACCTTTATTGAGAACATTGATTTTGCGATTGGCGAAAATAAGCAGTAGACCTAACGTTAGAATCCGACCGACTTCCTCGGCATGTTCGGCCATGTCGGCGGCATGTCCAACATGTGTGACATATTATAAGAATCCACAACAAGCACGTTCAAGTTGCTTATACCTTACTTCTCAGACAAGTGGTACCAGCATTACCAGCCACTCATTCTTTTCCAAAAAGGTAAAATTGTAATGACCAAAGTACTAGTGCTGTCCATTTACAAATAATTTGGTAGGCTGATTCGATTACGCAAACTGCCTTGCTCTATAATGATTTGACGAAAAGACTGTTGCATCCTGACTCCACTTTTTTTCATCATGGGCCTACATGTATATCATTTTCATGAAAGTCACTGGAACAGACAAATCTCCATGGAGATGAATTATTCCGCAATTAATTGTTTTATACTGTAATTGTAGTCCAAGTAGGCCTAACTAGGACTCTACGAATTGCCTTTTTTAACATTTGGACATGGTCCTAGTTACTCGGACTACAATTACAGTACTAATTGAGTTACTAATAAATTGTTTTGACCATTTTCACTCGTACACCCAATCAAAATCTTCAGATTTCACCCCCAAAACAGTCTTCAAACTGTCTTATGCGCCCCTGTAGGCTTCAGTGGGAATTGGAAATACAAATGGTGGTGCCCACTGGTGGTTATGTTTACATACCTTTGGGAAGAAAAGAGAAAATTCACCTTCAATTCGGGAAACATCCTTGTCACAAACGCCTTGTTTGAGGCTGCCACTTTGAATTCAGGAAAAGTAGACTTGTGCATGGCTCTGGCTAGACTGTTTCCTGGCAAGCATCAGACAGAGAGACCAATCACAGGGCACTTTGATTGGTCACCTGGATTGGTGACCAATCGAAGTGCCCTGTGATTGGTCAGGTGATTGGCACTCCACTCAGTTGAGCTAGTGTATGGGCATATTTTTTTTATAGTTTGAATATTCGGACCGGTAAAAAGCTCGAAATATTTAGTTGATGACCGAATATTTAAATATTCGGGACAGCCCTAGACCCAAAAACTTTTTCAGGTTAGATTTGACTCGGCTGACAGTATTTATATACTCATAGGCCCGCATGGGTCCCTACCAGTACTGGAGCCTCTGTATCCTAGACCTTTTTACAGCCATCTTTGGAAAAATGGCTGGAAAAAAACGCCATCTCAGGTTGTGAAATATTACATGTATATGAAGTGTCTTGTATTTTTAATTCTGGAAAAAATATTTCCATATTAAGACCTTGGACATCATGATCAAGACCAAGACAGACTCATTAAAAGTTTGAGACAAGTGAAGACAGATCACAATTGGATGATGAGACAGGTCCCAAAATAGAGACTGGTCACTTATGTCTTGAGACACCTGTGAACAATTTGAAGATATTTTGCCTATAAGGGAAAATTTGCATTTTTTTTGTCTTTAAGTTATAGACGATATATAAAGGACACACACTTACAAGGTGCATGTACATGTACCTACACAGGAAAATAAAGTTGGGCGTTCCAAGATAACTAGTTTCTGTGAAATTTCATGAGAAAAGGTTGAGACAAAACATTATTAAAATTTAAACAAGACATCTGGAACACCCAGTTGTATAAACCAATGATCTTTGCCTTTGAGAAAGATCCTGCTAGGGTCAAAATATCAGGCCTTGTATCTTTCATTTCTGTGTATATCGATATGGTAGATGACTTACCGGTACTTAACTTTTTGTTTGCTCATAATATTTATAGAAAAGACCGCACTGCTTTGAGATAGGATCTGTAGGTCTTCACAGCAAAAACCTCCTTGGGCCAGAGTGTTGCCGCCATTTCACAAACACCGTAAATGGGTAAGATTGTGCTGCATGTACTATATATTGTTGTAAATGTACCTTGCATGTCCTCTAGCAGTGTTCTAGTTGAGTATTTTTATCGGAATACAAAGTACTGTCGAGTATGAAGCTATCAAGTAACACATGCATCTGAGCTCCTACAGGTACCCTGGTACTTCGAGTACAAGTTTTGTGAAACCAAGTATGAATACTTGGACCTCCGAGTATGTCAGTATATGAATAATTGATTTTCCCCCGAGTCCTTATATAATTGAGTACGTGTCATTATGACAAACCACTATCACCCACTAACAGCTAGAAACAACATCTTGGGATTTTTGTAAAATCTCCCCCCCCCCAAAAAAAGGGGGAAACTACAATGTAGTGTGCATGTGCTACTGCTGCAGGCCATTACGGTCCATTTTCAGTTGCCCACTTATTACTACATACCACAAAGAAGCTGCCATGAATTTGCAAGCAAGTTTTGCTTCATCTTGTATGCTACCGGATGAAATTTAAGAGCTTGTTTCGGAGTAAATATAAAAGGTTTAGAATGCGTGCTATATCTATTAGGCAAAATAGGTGTGCATGCCACACCCGCTACAAACTGCCCAAGTTGATGTTGCTAGTGGTTTGTGAGTGATAATGGTTCATTGTGATAATGCCCTCTCACGGTGGCGGGTTAGGGTTATCGTGAATCCAATATACACAACAATGTCTTGGAACAAGTCTAGGACTTACTGTGGTTGCCTTGACTTTGAATGTTGAAACAGGTCGCTAGACTCCTTGACCTTTGAGACCATGGTGGAGGACATGTTGGAGAGTCTGTTGGACTTCTTTGAGCAGCTTGGAGATGAAGAGAATGTGCACACTGACTTTGATGTCACATATTCGGTATCATATTTTAATTAATTTTAATTTTTAATTTGAACTTATTTTCAGCAGTTTTCATATGCTTAAATGTTTTTTAATTGTTTGAATTCAATTTTTGAATTATTGTATGTACATATCAAGAGGGTTCTGCTTTATGTTAAAAATGATCACTGTGTTCTTTATGGCTTGGTATGTTTTAAGCATGGACAAATGATGGAGCTATAAACACATCTCCATGGTTTAAGTGATAATACAATTATTTTATTCTGATGATGCAGTCGGGTGTTTTGACCGTGCACTTTGGGCCTAACCACGGCACCTATGTCATCAACAAGCAGACACCCAACAAGCAAATATGGCTGTCCTCTCCAACAAGGTTTGTTTCTTATTTCTCATCACTGAGTGTACATGCATATATCCTGCAATGTAGCAAAAAACTAATTGTCGGGCTGAACAGCCTCAGAACTTAAAAGCAGGATAGGTTTGATCATGCTGATTTAAGTAAACAATGAAAGAGCAGTCATCTGCATTGCATATTTTACTTCCTTTATACACATTTTCAACATAAATCTCTATTTTCCTTCAAAATGGACATCGCCGTTTGAATTTGTTTTTCAGAATTAAGTAATAACTTGTCAAATGATTTTGATGTGTCATTTTTTTGTAAAATGAAAGTATTTTTCAGTAAATTGTTGGTATGTCTTTTTGCAGTGGTCCCAAGAGGTATGACTTGATGGGCAATGACTGGGTGTACTCCCATGATGGTGTGCCAATGCTCCGCCTACTATCTGAAGAAATCTCCACAATACTTGGTAAAAGCGTCAACTTATACAAAGTGATCAAGCTGAAAGAGACGTGACACGGCCTTTTATTGTAATTTATTAAATAACATTTGGAGGAATGTATACACAACATTCTTACATGTATATGTGATTTGTTTTTAATACCATATTTCAAGTTGTTCAAATACAGTCCATTTCTGTTACAATATGTAGGTATACAGCCATGAATTTAGGAAAAAAACCAAGGAAATTCCAAACCACACAAGACTTTGTACAGTGTTTTTCAGTTTGTAGCGACATTCATGAGAAGTAAAAAAAACGAGGAAATCAGCAGGTCTGAGGAAAAGTTGCATGCCTGTGTATGAGATATGAGTTGTGAACCCGGACTTTTCTAGTTTACCCAACACTCATGATCCCTTGTTATATTGTAGTCAAGTCAGCGTGGTGGTGAAACTATTATAAGCATGGTAGAAAAGTGTAGCACAAATTGGACTCTGTGAAGGTACAATGTACTGTAGATGGCCCTTGTAGTCTACCGACAACAGACCAATGAGGGACATATACAATACATTGTACACATACGTTTAACCCTAACGTACATGTACCTAAACCCATCAAAATCCACACCCCTGTTTTGGAGGATTTCGGCGGAATCAGGATACCTCTATATTGAAAAAGTTGGGGGATTTTGATGGATTTAGGATTCAGGATACCTCCATATTGAGCAGTTGGGGGACTTAGATGGATTGATGGACTCCCGGCTAACTGTTGGATTCTGATGGACTCACTGGCTACCAACATTTTTGCATGGCATTGGCGGATTCATGGTACTTTTTAGTAAGAATACTTAAGGGGTTAGGGTTAATGTGTGCACGACACAAAAGGGCATATACATGTGGATTATTGTACATTTCAATATTCACAAATCTCAGTCACAAAGTCAGTCATAAATAGTCTACATATCTACTAACATAGTTCCGAGTCCATACATAGGTGTTTCTTCAAAGGCAAAGGGAATATTGATTTTGATTGTAAGGAAGTTTCTTTTTCAAAGGAATGTGAGCATGGTTTCTTTTTGTCTAAACTCAAGTGTTCCAAGCCAGTGTAACAAGTTGTTCATTCAATAAAAGGAAGTAGACTGGAACAATTTTATTTTTAATTGCATGAAATACATTTTATTTTGTTTGACCACCAAATTTAACATACTTGATAACTTCTGTGTAATGTGTGTCCAGCCCCCCCTTAATTGTTATCCTACTACACATAAGCCCAGCATAGTGTGGGCCTTTTAGAACAGCGCAATACCCAGACCGTATCATATGGAATAATATCCAACTGTTGTTGCAATAGATTGACCAATTAGGATCAAGGATTCAAGTTCACTTGAAGATACAGAAAGTGGTATGATTGGCCTCGTCCATCCTCCTTGGCATAAGTCATTGGCCCTTGTGTGATGTCCTTGGAGTGTCTTACTATCTTCTGAATGAGGTAGAAACGTTGACATAGGCACTGGCCATTGTAAGTCACTCTGGCAACAATCAACAATTTGTTGATTGTTGCCAGAGTGACTTACAGTCAATTTCTCTGAGAACGATTTAAAGTCCCTTTTTGAACTACTATGTTACACTACCTTAGCCACTGGACAGAACCTGTCCAATGCAGGTATGGAACGAGTATCGTTCTTGTTGAGTTACTGTATTACATCATCTTAGCCACTGGACAGAATAAGAGACAGCTCTTTTGAGAAATTCTTAGGTTTACATCATCTCTGCCTCCGTCACTAAAATAAATATTGCTTTATAAAAAATATACCCCATCTTGCCCTGGTCAGACTGCCCCAGAATCTTTAAAGACAACAATTTCAGGACAATTTCATGAAAGTCAGTCACCAAACATACTCTCTTATTTCTTTTGGAATGCTGATACAATCTACATTAGCTCACAAACTTCAACCTAAACCTATCAAACTTTTGAAGTGCTTCTAAAGTGAAAAGTAGGAGGGTGCACATCGGCTGCACCCCCCCCCCCTCTGAATCCGCTGCTGATATACAAAAAAACCGTGTCTTTTCAGCTGCAGTGTATTGGATAGTGAAGTACTTTCTGCATCAGAATCATCAGTTAGTGAATGGATTATAGCCATTCTCTCTGGCTATCCTCAGAGTGCAGAACACGTCATCTGGCTCAGGAAACTTGTCCCAGTCCCACCACTCCCAACCTGAAAGAAGACATAAAGTTTGGTCAACTGTGTAGGAATATTGCATAATACATCAAGGTCTGCAATGTCAAACATTTAAAGCTACAGTCCATCATTTGCAGCTTTCCAAAAAGTAAGATAAAATAATTGTTGAAAAGCTTACTCAGTTTAAAGATACATGTAGTAATGGGACTAAACTCCCTGTGAAATGTTTCTTTCTGGCAAGCTGTCTTTTTGAAGAAAACAATGAAAGAAGGCCATTTCCAACGATGCATCTAAAGATTGATCGGCTAGTGAGGAAAGTTGAGAAGATGACGGGGTTGTGCTTGCAGTCGGTGGACTCTGTACCGGGAGCGAGTGAATGGTACCCACTGTGCGCTGAGCTTGCAGGTCATATTACTCCTAGAAGTGGAAGAATGAGACTGCCGGCTGCTCGCACCTATCGCCATCTTCACTCTTTTATCCCAATGGGAATTACATTCTTTAATGCCATTTTAAAGGATGAATTTGCTTTATACATGTATACTTGGTACATTTTTTAAAATTTTAATTTGCCACATGTGAAATGAATTAGATATGCCATTTGTGAGGAATATAAAAAGGGACGATTCATGTCATTGTCAACCAACCTTCACATTTATTGGGTTCCATATTTATAGGTTCCTTCTGCTGTGTGGGGTCTATCTCTCCTTTCATGAATATCACAACACAGTGGAAGTTATCCTCTTCGATGACAGCATTGATAACTGTGTCAAAGGTCACTCTAGTAATGGTCAGCCCTGTTTCTTCAAGGGTCTCACGAACTGCGCATTCCTCCCAAGTCTCTCTGATAAAAGAAACCCAAATAATGCATTTATCAGAACAAACTCATCAGAACTGACAATTCAAGTCCATTGCCAGCTACGCGGATACTGAGTGGGGGTCCCCTTGAGAACAAAGCAACACAAAATGAATGGGAGTTGCTGAAAAAACTTTTAAGTCCAAACCAACTACCCTGTTGCCAGCTACGCGGATACGGAGTGGGAGTGCAGTGGAGCATGACACATAGTACACACATGTAGCGCTGAGAAGGTTTATTGAGGGCAATCAACCGTGATTCAATAGCCGGCTACGAGGTGGATAGATCGAGTGGCGGGGTATTCTGCAATTGTGCCGTAAATGTGATTTTTGAGCAATAAAAAACATTTTGACTCTAGTCTAATTTGATCCAAACAAAACAGGGGCCGGAAAGAATGTTGCAACCTGCTTTTCACGCCACTTTTTTCTTCATATAGCCTATATCATCTCAATGAAGGTCATTCGTTGCAAAAATGATGATAAAACATGAATCTGGGACTCAGAAATATTTCCAATGTTAGGAAATACTTAGCTCCATAGACTTTGTACACAAGCGCGGAAGTGGCGCAGGTTGCAACATTTTTTTCCCCAGGGGCCCTACACTACACGATCGCCAGAAAAGGACCGCGTAGCTTAAGGGAGTCCGAGTAACTTGGACCCAACTTATCGCCTTTTTAACATTCGTACATGGTCTGGCGATAGTAGTATATGCCGAGCAACACAATTCTGTCATTGACCCAGAAACCCAACACTGCCCAACAAAAACATCAGATTTCACCCTCAAAATGGCCTACAAATTACTAGATACGCCACCTGAGGTACAAGTAGACATCAATGATTTAGATGGTTGTACTGAAGTTTACTTACGATCCGAATGAAAAGTGAAATTTCCCGTTCAATTCCGAGAGCTCCCCTCGCGATCGTGAACACGTTAAATTTCCGACTCGTGTTAACGTTTGAATGATGCGATGTGGTCTTCATGCCCAGCGTACATCGGATGGTCCCCATATCCCGAGTGCGATTCCGTTACCGAGCCTGCGCGATGCATCGATTATGATAATGAGTAGACTGGATCTCGTTTGTAAACACAAGTACATCTCGAACGATAATACTATAGGGAGTCGGGAACTAGGGCAGCTTTTATGGACAGAAACCAGTTCAAGCTAGTTTCCGACTCCCTTTTATAAACGTTCGAAATGCACTTGTGTTTACAAACATGATCCAGTCTTCGCATTATCATAATCGATGCATCGCGCACGCTCGGTAACGGAATCGCACTCGGGATATATGGGGACCATCCAATGTACGCTGGGCATGAAGACCACATCGCATCGTTCAAACGTTAACACGAGTCGGAAATTTCTCGGAATTGAACGGGAAATTTCACTTTTCATTCGGATCGTAAGTAAACTTCAGTACAACCATCTAAATCATCGATGTCTACTTGTGCCTCAGGTGGCGTATCTAGTAATTTTAGGCCATTTTGAGCATGTTGAGGGTGAAATCTGATGTTTTTGTTAGGCAATGTTGGGTTTTTGGGTCAAGGACAGAATTGTGTTGCTCGGCATATACGGATTAGCTTGGATCCTACTACTATCGCCAGACCATGTCCGAATGTTAAAAAGGCGATAAGTTGGGTCCAAGTTACTCGGACTAAGGCTTAGGCCTAACTCCTTAAGTTAAGCTTTAGGCTAAAGTTTTGGAGTTTGGCACAATTGCAGAATACCCCGCCACTCGATCTATCCACCTCGTAGCTGGCTACGAGGTCACGGTTGGTTGACCTCAATAAACATTCTCAGCGCTACTTGTATGTACTATGCGTCATGCATGTTGCACTCCCACTTCGTAACCGCGTAGCCGCCAACAGGGTAGTTGGTTTGGACTTCGAATTTTTTCAGCAACCCCATTCCTTTTGTGTTGCTTCGTTCTCAAGCATATTCAAGGGGACTCCCACTCCGTATCCGCGTAGCCGCCAACAGGGTGGTTGGTTTGGACTTAAAAATTTTTGCAGCAACTCCCATTCCTTTTGTGTTGCTTCGTTCTCAAATAATGGACCCCCACTCAGTATCCGCGTAGCTGGCATGGACTTGAATTGTTTCTTTTCCAGTGATTCCAACCTCGTAGCCAGATAATGTAGGGGTGTATTTCCGAGTGGCGGGGTATTCTGCAATTACTCCTAAAGTTTAGGTGGTCTGACCGGTCTGACGACACTGAGCCCGGCCACTCAGCCGAGGTCTAAATTTTACTTTACTTACGCATATTCCAAGTGCCCCCCTGGCAGAGCATAGTACCCGTCACCAAGTATGTTCTTCCGTTTCCCTATGACCACACATTTAGGATGCAGTGGACTAGTGATGACCGCAACGACACCGACTTTCGGGCGTAGATTTTTCTCACGCTTCGGCGTTGTGGGCGCAGCCATCTTGAAACGAACATCGTCAAATCGAACACTAGGGGGCGCAATTAAATTGTCGGCAGAGTGGAAGAAGGTCAGCTGCTGCAGGGCGCGTTTGCGAAACGGGGTTAAAGCTAGAAAACGGCTCGGGCTTCGGCCCAAAAAAGGCGGCCAAAACGTTCGTACGACTTGGTACTTGATAGAAATTCCTCCTGAATTCTCCGCTAGGACGATTACCAAGCAGGCCTTCAAACTGTTTGTTGTTGCCTTTCCTTGAACCCCTAGTTTTTGGTTTCAGGATGTGAAACTATATATAGTTTGATCGGACTGCATGCATGACGGGTGATTTTGAACTTCAATATAGTGATTGTAATCTGGTGGTTGTCATGCCTCATTTGGAGGGTGTCCTAATTTAAGATTGTCAATATGTTAGTCACTGTAAATCTTGCAGCTCTCCCTTGAACTTTTTAAAGAGATGATGTGTGGTTCACTCTGATTCCAAGCAGTGCTGCAGTGGACTAGGTCGTACCGTGTGAAGCCACCTCTCTTTGATCATCATGGATTTCAAACGTGGAAATTACTCCTAATGAAGTTGGGAGCTCTTCATGCTTGATGACTGCAGTCAAGTTGTTTGCTTCTCCCATCAAAGATCGTGTTGCATGATCATTCCTAGTTAGGTAAAATCTTTGGTTTCCTCACAGGACTATACCGGTCATAGTATATTCGGCGCACCACGATTATTTACTGCCGATATATGTTTTACACTTGCTTATAAAACGCATTACCGAAGTATAGGTTTTCCCGGCTATTTTAAAACATTTTTCGTTCGAATTCACCGATTCTTATATTCAAATTCGTCCAGCAACATCGATTTAGTGCACTTCCGATGTTTAATTTCGCCTTTTAATGAGCACACGGGCGTCACGACCCGTAGTACTAGATTTCGTCTCGTCTACGCCGCCTCGTGTTCAGAAATCAATTTCGTCTAATTGATTTATATGATCTCTGAATGCTGCCACTCGGCAACAGCTTAGACGAATTTGATCTGTAATGACGAATATTCTCGACTCGGTTACTAAAGAGGGTGATCAAACTTTGAAATGGAATGGTTAATGACTAAATTGGTTTTGTTAAAAGCGTGTGACTATTTTTTGTGGACGAAATTAAATGATAGAGTTGGTGAATGTGAGTGAAAAATCTGCCGGGAAAACCTATATTAAACAGCCCATCTTTCAAGGTTATTTAGATCTTCTGGAATTGCTCTTCATCCGCAGTAGATGCTATGCATGTAGAAACGTCTGCAAACAACCTAACACCTCCTACTTCTACCGCTTTGCAGATGTCGTTAATAAACAGGAGGAATACTGAGGTCCAAGTTCCTTGGGGGACTCCACTGATTACAGGATGCCATGATGAGGATTCACCATTTACCATCACACGTTGAAGACGCGTACTAAGGGATGCCGAAATCCAAGCTTATATTTCCCCGGCTAACCCCATTAAGCTTGTGTAAGAGCTTCCGATGAGAGACATCATCAAAGGCAGTTTAGCAAAGACCCTGGCTAAATCATGTTTGGTTACAATGAGTTGGCTCTCATATGATTATCGACAAAGATCTGATGATGCTCAAGATGTTCCATAGTCTGTAATGTGTTCCAATAATTCAAGTTGCAGCAGGTTAATCAAATCTGTCTGTTATTTGCTGGGTTTGACGTGTGGTCTAGCGGTAGAGTACAGAATTCATGATCGTGCAGGTTGTGGGTTCGAGCCCCGCCGTGGCCATACCATGCGTGTTGTGCCCTTGAGTAATTAGGCGCTTTCCCTCAATTACTAGCCTCCTCTCAGGTGTTAAATGGGTACCGGCATTAATTATTCAATGCTGGTAACAGACTCGCTGTAGAGGAGGTGTGGCGAACCCCCCCCCCCCCCCCCCAGCAGCATATGAGTCTGGCCCAATCGCTAATGAAAGAGAGATGGGCACTCCGTTCCTGTGAAGACAGGTTCGTCCCCTTTACTTACTTTTTTACTTTAGCTTGATGGAGAACCTTTCTTGAATAATATGGGGGTGATATCAGCTGTTTTTCAGTCTGTTGGTAATAGCCCAGAATCAAGTGATTGTTGGATTCAAGATAAATGTAAGAATTGGTGCAATCTCAACGGCAGCATGAAGGGTTCTGGTGGGTATCTTATCTGGACCAGGTGATTTTGAGACGTTCAAATTGAAGAACTCAACTTGCTGAAATATCGGGCATGTCTGGATAAATATCATCCAACATAACTGGAGGTAAAGAACAATTTCCCTTGTTGTAAACACTTGAAAATTGATGCAAGTGCTTCTGCTTTGTCGCAATCGTCGATTGTGTTGTAATATGGGGTCACGTCAGTGGATGTGATGTATGCGATGTATGAACGGTGCATGTGATCGACATAATTCTTGATCTACTTTTTGAAGCTTTCCCAGTCCAAAGGATACAATGTACCACTTTTCTTTGCTCGAACCGACGCTCCTTTTTCCTTGTTAAGTGCAGTAGACTTGTGGTGAGCCATGGTGGTCTTGTTAGTTTTTGTTTGTGTGAAACCAAGTTGTCAATGATTCTTGCGAGACCATCCTTGAAGAAGCACAAGTTGGTTTCCGCGGAGTTGGAAGTTGGAGTGCGTTCCATAAAGTATTTCTGCAAACCAGTAGCAGCTTCCCTGGATTTATTTGTGTCAACATTCTTCCATTTCATTATTTTCCTTAGTGGCTTTATAGAATGGAGTTGTGTAACCAGGATGTAAGCAATTACAATGTAGTGATCATTGGTACCTGAATGCAATCGGACATTCTGGATAAACGTTCAAGTAGGTCTAGGATCTAAGATATATTCTATACCAAATAGATGAATCTTTCCTTGTCGTAAGTTTACCCCACCTTCTGTTCCGAGTGGCGTCAGCTATACATTTTTGAACTTCAACAATAATCACCGATTGTAAATTGCCGGTTGGATGTGTAATATTGTGACGACCTGCAGTCGTCCTTTGTATTTTCTCTACTAGTCACTCCCATTTTCCACCGGTGAAAAATGAGTGCGCCCTCTTGTGACTAGAAAGTGCAGTGATCACGCTCCACAAAACTTGCAGCCAATCAGGGATAAGGGAAGGGTCGAACAATCCAATCAGGCATTTAAGGGGGCAGGGTTTAGGACGACCAATTGTAAGCAAAGATCCTATACCGCCGTAGGCGCTATTGCAAGTGAGATAGTTAAAAGTATGTGTTGAGTTAAATAAAAGCATAACTGGTTTGGAATTGAAACTACAGACGTGTTCCGTGTCTTTCTCTCTCCCCCCCTTTCTGGTGTATTCCAATAGTGTAAGTAATAAATGCAGCACCAAGGGCGATTGGAATCAGCTCTGTCGTCACGCTACCGAATGACAGACCGGTTACAATATCATCTGGTTGCAGACTTGTATTCGAGTCACGGTGACTAAACCTCGAGTCTGAGTCCGAGTCATCTCTCCCGAGTCCGAGTCCCGAGTCATGCACAGGTCGAGTCCGAGTCACGAGTCACAAAGGTGAGTCACGAGTCCGCGTCACGAGTCACCTTTAATATTGGAAATAAATGTTGAGGCACTGCTAAAACCTCACAGTGTCAATTTTTCAATTGTTCACAGCTTGTTTCCCCTAATTTAATTAAAGAAATGGAAATTCGAACTGGAAGGAATAATCTAGTATCGAACACTATCAAGCTACGTAATATCAAGTGTGGACGCTGGGGTACATGGGATACATAGATTTTCCACATCAATATATCGCAAACAAGACATGTCGACAGCGTATGCACAGTATTTAGATGCGTTTCCGTTGCATCGTACATCGCTTGCTCAGGAGAGGACCGTCTTCAAAATAATTGGTAATTATAGTGTTGAAAAAAACCCTCTGATTTGTGGTATTTTTGGTCGAGTTCCGAGACACGCAGGTCGAGTCCGAGTCCGAGTCCGCAGGGTCGAGTCCGAGTCCGAGTCATTTCTTAGGCTCTTACTGCGTCAGTCCAACACGTCAGTGAATGACATTCTTATCTAGACTGTATTCGTTTATAATTTTTGCTTTGCGGTGGCCCTTTTAATACACCATATTGTGCAAGGCTTCGCTGTTTTGAGCGTAGCCCTATACACCTTATCATGCTCCAACCATTTCAGTCATGTTCCCTGTATCCAATAGCAGTACTGAATGATAATGTTTTTGTGCAAAAGGAACCAGACTATTTTCCCTTCCAGTTCGCTTTGGTTAGGCTACATTGATCTGAATGGGAAAAAAATCAAATGGCTGCAACATGATAATGGTCTATTAGTCCGGTAGCCAGAGGGAGGAACCGCCTTTTGTTGGATTATAATGTTTTTTGTGCATAATTATTCTAAGCTAGGAGGTCAAAGTTTTAAAGAATTTGCATGATGACACACTCTCAGGGTTGTGCAATTTGTGATATCGATTCTTCATGCTTTTATTGATATTTACAGAGGATTTATTCATAGTCAAAAGCTTACAAACACATACATATATATGCTCAGATTTATGTTTTTGTACATATTCTAAGCAAGGAGGTCATACTATTAAACTAGTATGCATGATGACACCTTCTCAGGGTTGGGCAATTTGTGATATCGATTCTTTATGTTTTTATTGATATTTATTAATACATATATGATTTATGCAGTCCAAAGTTTAATGTAGGCCTATGCTCCTTATTTCCACTTATACCTCAAAATGCCCGAACTGCACAAAGGGTCATCATGCAGAATTTGGGTAAACATGGTCTACAGAATCTGTCCAAACATGTTATATCCCCTGATGCAAGGTTCAGGTAAAAGGTGGCATTTGGCTGCCGGATTTTATCCGAAGCCTCACAGAACTGTCAGCTAGGAGTATTTCAGTTCCAGATTTGGGAACTCTTTCCTTCCTCTATAAAAGAAATGACAGATTTGAATAAGTGAAATGGGAACTTTTTCAAATACATGTATTAAAAAAGATTGCAAACTTCAACATTGTAACAATGCACCTAGCGTAGCAGGAAACATGACATGTATTATCAATTACGTGATATGTTTCACGAATGTGTTACGGAACTTGAGTTTACCAGCCTAAAATGAATGCAGGTTGTTGTACTTTAGCCGCGCGGCTAGGCGATAAGGTGTCCCTCGAAGGCCCAGCCTGTACATTAGAACGACATTTGGATTATAACTTTCGTTTTTGTTTTCAAAGTTTTCGCAAATGACGCCATCAAGCCATGCATAGCCACCTTTTCGGAGGATAAGGCTTTTAAACGGAGCCTCACAGGCTATGCTAGCCCAAGTCTGTCTTTTCGTATGGCACTTCAAAACAAACTCGTCCCAAAGGGCTTTCTTTATTTGCAACTTCGTTTCCAATATACGCCCTGGGTTTGAAATTTGCTTCCTGTATCCTGATTCGATACCGCAATTAGCAAGAAATAGATTCATATCGTGTACTTGGTGTTGTTATTTCCAACGTGTTTTACGTATTTTAACGTTCACTGTGAATTATTACGTCCAACCCTGTCCAATTTGGGCATATTAGTATGAAATGTGATACTGCATAATTGGCTGGATAAGATAGCAACATTTTAACCTTGAAAAAAACATATCTTTTTTTTTTTTGGATCTCACGCCTCGACCAATGATTCTCTTTTTACCCCCAAACACATACAAACACAAACGCTTATTTAAAGCACAGCCAGACCCAGACTATTCCTAATTTGCATACATAGCAGGTAGTGGTGGGAGCGTACTGCTCAACACCATGGAAACGAGGGTGGCTTCAAAAGGGCTTCCAAAAAAAAAACCCAATAACGTAGCCCTAGTCTGGGTCCTAGCCCCGTTTCGTAATCAGGAGTGTGTAGTGAAGGTATGCTGCGCGATGCATCACTGGACAGTTTGCGCAACGAAAGGGGATTTTGTGGAGCGCAAATTGTCCCACAATGCAGCTGAACATAAATAGCTTTATTGCACATTTCCGGTCTGGCGGCTATCCGGAAAAGGGTCTTTGGAAAGCCGTACTGGACAGACTAAAGGGAAATATTCTGACATTGACGTCAATATATATTCACGATTTGGGGCAAATCGTGCATTTTTGTGGCGAATATATTGACATCAATACTTTTTTTCCGAGTTGCGGACGGTGACTGATATGAAATTAAACTCATCGCTGTGAGATTCTTTATAATAAAATTTGTGGTCCCTCTATAGCTTCCATAATATTACTACTACTATAAGAATAATACGAGCATTTATTATAACAAAACAAGGAAGCATGTCCATCATTGCTAATCATTTTGTCCCTATCTGCAACCATGTTGGCTGGCTCAGTGATTATACTTCTGCAAATTTCAAAGGTTTTCCACCTTGTAACCAGTGAAAAATTCAACAGAATTAGAGAAACTTGGACAAAAATGTTGGTACGTCCATGCATTACTCATACACTACTTGTGTTTCTTGCCGGCCCCACTATCGCTAATTCTGCGCATGGTCGCATCCAATCGAATTTATTAGCAAATTGAGTGGCCGCAAGTAGATAACTACGGCCTTGCTCATCACACCGAGCTAGCCGTGCGCAGTCTGCATCTGGTATATGAACCGACGGTTGCGACTATCACCAGGTCTATCTTCAGCACGATAGCACAACTGATCTACCATACCAGGTCCATACATTTAGACTGTGACTGAAAAAAAAAGACAACTCAAAGACCGTGTATGCGAGGGGCAGCCTGCAGAATGATTTCAGCATCCCAGGTGACAGCCGTACATCGACGTCAAGCTTTGAGGCAGAATTGGGCTTTGATAATCTGCCAATATCACCACCAAGGACATTATTAGCATATGTACACCATTTACATTCCTACGTCATTCATAAATGAACATAATTATACACCGATCCTGCTAGCATTGATTGTGTTATCAACGTCATAAATGCGGATATTACAAGGTACAGAATGTGGTACATGTATAATTAATTAAACCGCGATCGCACAAGGAGTCGTGCATGGCGGGAGACAAGCATCGTTTAGAATACGCATAATGTATCAGTGATTATACATCCAGCAAGTTCACATCAGCTGTGTGCACGCCATAGGGAGCTAGCTGACGGTCTTGCTACATACGGACATCGGTTGGAGAATGCCATTTGTTTATTAACCAGACGGTCTGAAGCCCGTGCATTTCTCATGACTCGGCGAGCTTTTCTAGGAATATTTAGTGCTTATACCTCCCGTAGAGAAGGCTTCAGCAACAAATATAAGACCAGCACGGTTCTTCACCTAGCGAAACAGCCATTTGGCACTTCCACTCTTGGTTAAAAATGTTAATTAGACATCAGGGACCCAGTATGGAGTGACCATGAAGCTATGTACAGCGGTATTAAATTATCCACCATTATATACCTTCGGTTTGAATATTATCTGATCAGGATTGGCCACGGGTCTGTTTAGTAGCCTCAGACGAGCACATGGTTGAGCTTAGGACCCACAATTGGTTCCAGTGGGTGTACCTGCGGCACGTATGACCCATGAGTAGCCAAGGTAGAGAGATCGGTAAGCCGGCTTGAATGAACCGTACCTCGTCCGGACGCGGCTGCAGTAGTCGACCCAGAAGTGGTGGTCCTACTTCGCTAACAGTGCCGCACGGAGGGGCCAAGGTCCACCACCATCCGCAGCACGTCGGCAGCTCTGCTTGCTACGGTGGTGGTGGGGGCGAATTCTCAACACCGGAGGATAGCTACGACGAAGCAACGCTCAAAGCCTGTGTGGACGAGTGTGAGAAGGTATGAGCTATACGTATTGTCGTGCTTTTGTAGGAGCTGTTTTATCAAAACGGTCGATACGACCTTTACCTTTATAAAAATATTTATTACAGGAGCATCATTAAATGTTGACATTGTATTCTGAAGTGTTACCAAGGAAATCCAATTTGAAAAGGACCATTTTGCTAACAGAGAAATAGTTAGAACAAAATTCGAAAATGCATGACGAAATGCGATTGCGAACATATACTTTATTGTAAATGGGTCGTTTTGCAAGTTATGTGGCCAGTAAAAATGATTATCAATTCCGCGAGGCATAAAAAACACGAACAAAGTCATTTTTTTAATTTTGTGCCTGTCGTAGCCATACCAAACCATTGCCCTCTAACTCCGCCTCAGGCCTATATACATGCATGAGGTCTATAGAATCAAAGGGAGGACAGTAGTTTGAACTGAGAAAAGTGGGATTTTTGGGAAATATTCATCATAACATTATTACTATAATGTAAGCTTTGACCGCTAAGTTAAACAAAATCGTTCAAATAGTTCCAGGCCATTTAAAAGTCATGATAATAATCCATGGTCAAATCGTTTTATTTAATAGCATCTCTCAAGATAAATGTGTCCGTTTAAAATCCACATGGTCGTTAAACTCGTTTGATTTTGTCTCAGCAAATAGCTAGATCATTTTCATAAATTAGCAGTTAGCACACATTTTTCAGAATGTTTGCATTCATATACAATGTTTCTGTCAATATGCTTTCTGATTCATGTTTGCCTATAAAGGTAGAGACTTTTGCATTTCTACACAAAGTCTTCCTATAAAGACCCTTCAAAAGTGATTTAGATCGTGGAGATAGCGGCCACTATGATAACGAACCACTACGCATCGGCAGAACAGTAGTCCTTGATAATATGAAACTACACCGCTGCAGCACACCGATAATCTCATTTGAAATCATTTAAGGTTCAATAATTACGTGCATGCTATTCTGCTGTGTCGCTGCACTGCATGAGGACAGCCTTTTCATCTAACATCCAATCTCTTCTGCACTGTGCTCCTCTCGTTATGGTCCAGAATGTCATCCATCCAGCCTCGCTTCTGTCACCCTGTACTTCTCCCGTATGTCCTTGGTGTCCAATTTGTAATCTTAAGAGTCCAACTATTGTCTTATCTTCTGGCGATCTTCTATTAATTTGGCCAGAGGAGTATTTCTCCTGACATCATACTTAAGGATGTCCTATTGAGGACCACTTCATGTATAAGGACCATTGAAAAGGTTTTTACATACCATTTTCAAAACAGTGGAACTCAGTGATGCATGACCAGATGTGTGCAGCCGAGATATCAATGGAAAGCTTACTGCCCATAGTTTATGATAAAATCATAATTATGGTCTTAAAGTTCATAGTTTGTTCACATTATGCCTTTGCTTTTGGCTTCTTTTTTGGACACCATGTTCAGCAAGATGTCGTTAAGAATAAAAAAATGTAAAATATAAGTCACATAGAAATACAAAAACGTACATAATAATAAAATGAGACCACTTTCATTAGTCTTTTTGAAAGGGTTAATATTAAAGGAAAAGTTAGGTTAGTTAATATTTTTTCGCAAATACAGTGAATGTAATCCATTTACAATCATCAAGTGTAAGGTGGCGGCAATTAAATTGTCAGCACACGTGTAAACGTGATACTTATCACCGGGTCGCAGAGCATCCTATGTAACCGAAATAATGCAGAACATCCTAATGCTACATCCCACTGACTCAAGCTTATCCCTCAAAATGGGAGTGCAATAACATACATTTAAATCCTCACACTGATGATCTTCTTCTTCCATATTCCAGGGATTCAGTCGAGTGTATCACAAGTCTATCACTAGTCCAGTCCAATTAAATCACAAGTTCATACAGTGGATGAACAATAACAAAGGAATGCCTTTGTCAAAGCTCATTTGAATCGCTTGTGAGTTGAATTGGACTGCAGGACTTGTGATGGACTTGCAGGGACTAGACTGATTTACACTCCTGCCATGTTCACGCCGGTACACGGGCTCATTATACCCATCTCCGTGAGACGATAACAATTTAAATATGAAAAAGCAATGTACGTTTTATATACTATATCTATTTTTTAGTCACTGTATTTGCAAACAGTCACTCGCATTTTTATTACAAAGGCCCGACCTACAGCAGCTTGTCTGTGAACAATCGTCATAATATATGTGTCTCTGTAATTTGCGCAACTCAATCAAATTGATGCAATTACGCGCCCATTACAGCTTAATGGCATGAAGGAGTTGTGCTGAGGAAAAATATGACAGACGGAAACGTTAGTCATGCTAAGGTCGTTCATAATCAAGCCTAAACGGGTGTCGTACAGGAAGCTGATATGTGCGTCTATGGCGGCTTTACTCTACAAGCCCTTGATCGTGCATCGACATAATGACTGCATTCTACCAAATGCCTTTTCGCTATTTATTCGCAAACACAGCCGCTTTTTTCTATAAATTGCGTGTTTGCGTTTTTATTGAGTAAACACTCCTTCCTCCACGTAAATAAATGAAAAATCGATGTAATCGTATACATGTACTGTACCACACGCACGAAATACCAAGTTCCATTCGTTTCTTAGTAGGAATGCACTCGATGCATGTAGGAATGCATGTTCATATAAATGCACGGTTGGCGTGTTGTAGGGCCTGTTGAGGGAATTATACAGCACATGCGTAGAATTACATTGGAAATCAAGTTGGATATGGTTCATTATTTGATTTGAATAGTGACACATTAGGATGTAGGACCTAAATGTAGATTTTTCTGTATACGTAGCCTACATCTCTTTTCAGACGGATAAAACTGGTAGTAAACACACAACGAACGAGTCTCTTTTGCAAGAAAAAAAACTGCGTGAATACTAAGACTCCACATTGGAGACCACGGTGTTTTTTTAATTTCAGAAGATGCATCTCAGCTGCAGGATGCATTTTCAAGACAACGGGGCAGTAAAATAATTGATTCCAAAAGAAAAAATAAATTCAATTTCGATCGAAGAAAACTAGAATTGAATAGCATAAGGTCGAGTCGTGCCTTTGAGGAGATTTAATTTGCGTGAGATTAAAGTAAATTTAATGGGAGGAAATAAACATCAATGTCAGGCTCGCGACCAGCTGCCATCTGCGCCAATCGTGTGTTGTTTTGTTTGTAGGGTAAAAGGCAGTGAGTGGCTATCAACTGATTCAAACTGACTTCGTCTAAGCAAATAACGTGATGCGTGAAACCAAACAGGACGTTCACGTCCGAATGTAACAACACTGTTATTACAATGCTATGCAGTGTATGTATTGTCGCTGTATTACTGTTGTCAGATTCTTAGCTATTCGTTGGGAAGAATTTAGAATCAGCGAAGCACGACCAAGATGATGAAATGTCATCGGTTGTAATGACTTAACCTTGCATCACTATAAAGACCCTCCGATATCAACCATGACCAAACTTAAAATGTATGCCGAACCTGAAACCTTTTTTTCGGCATTATTTTATCGGGTATTGCTCAGGTTTAAAAAGAAAACCGGTTACGTCTCGATAGTCCGAATTCTATTGGTCCGAAGTCCCATTGGTCCGACGAAACATAATATATGTACTGTGTAGTTGCACTGGTTGAGGTTGACTGACCCTAACCCTAACCCTGACCCTATAATCCTATGGGGCGTCGGACCAATGGGACGTCGGACCAATGGGACTCCGGACCAATGGGACTTCGGACCAATGGGACTCCGGACCAATGGGACTTCGGACCAATGGGACTCCGGACCAATGGGACTTCGGACCAATGGGGCGTCGGACCAATGGGACGTCGGACCAATGGGACTCCGGACCAATGGGACTTCGGACCAATGGGACGTTAGACCAATGGGACGTATAGAGCAATGGGCCGTTTATACCAATGGAACGTATAGAGCATGTGCCGTCGGACCAATGGGACTTCGGACCAATGGGACGTCGGACTAATGTGACGTCGGACCAATGGGACGTCGGACCAATGGTACTTCGGACTATAACACCCCATGTATTACGCCTCAGCATGTAGCACTATAGCACTGAGCTTTACATTACTGCCATATTGCTTCAAGGTGCTGCACAATTATTGTTCAATGTAAACATCACAAGCCTCTATTTCAATGTAAGTAGTTGCTTCCATCTAGATTTAATTCGATATTCGTGACGACATAGTGGTGCCAGTATATCTGTGGTCATATCTGGCAACTGATTTGGACGGCTGTCAAATGAATGTACATGTATCATAGCTGCAGTGGCGTAACTACATGTATAAGGAGGACGCGGGGGGGGGGGGGGGGGGGTTACTTCCCGGGTGACCGTGTCCCTTGGGTGCCCCAATGTGAAATCTTGAACTGAACAACAAAGCACCATATACTGCACTGTTGCTATGATACGTTTTATGTGCCTTCAGTTCCTATTTGAAAAAATGTATGTATCTCGAGGTGCCCTCCCAGGAGTGTGACCATATAGTTACGCCACTGCACATAATGTGCAGCGGCGTAATGCCTGTTTTCTATGGCAATACTTCTTATAGCAATTCCACTCAGTGGCGGTAAAAGGTGTACTTTGTGTGATGGCAAATACTGAACAGATGCCATTCCGTTCACTACACATGATAATTAGATTGAAGTTTCAGATGAATTATTGTACAGGTTCGTGTATACCGGAACTTTGTCGTAGGCCTAATATCTCATTTCTTTTCCTGAATTTGTTTTGGTCAAAGCTCAGTGGGGTACTTCAAAATGTGAAATAAGTGATTGTACCTTTTTCCCATCCAAGCTTGTTCGAGATTTCAACACCAGAGTTGCCCAGTACCGTGAGAAGTTAATAGGTATCGCCGACGTCAGCGACTGTGTGCACTTCCGGGAGGATATACGCCGCAAACGCAGAAAGGGTCTGGAGGCTGCCAAGAGCGCCAAGTTCAAACTGTTTCCACACATGCGTGGGTAGGTACACAAACCCCCATTTTGAGGCAAGCTCGGTCACTAACCATTGTTTAACTAGTCTCTTTTATGCTGTACATTGTGATTTGTGATTTGCGTGTTGCTATTGGTAACCAGCGACAGGCCTGTAGTCGGCAAGACTTTCGCTACCACTTCAATCACAGAGGTACTCTTCCACAACGAAAGCAAGTTGTGCTCGCTAGCTATTGTTTAGATAATCCGTCACGGGGCCATTCAGGGTAGCTCCGTGCAGTGATCACGTGCACGGATTCGTCTATACACAAGGTGTTCCAAAACAAAGAGGTAACCCACAAACAAAGGGATATTTAACCAAACCATATGAACTAAATGACCATGATTATGCAGCAGCGGCGGAACGGTTTTCAAACTGGGGGGGCATCACCAAAAAGGGGCACTTGCTCAGTAAAAGGCATCTTCCGTCGCTGAAATGTCGACACGTTTTTTTTTACCGGGGGGATGGCCTGGTACCATCTTCCAAAATAGTGGGCGCTCTTCAAAACCGGCCATTATGCAAACTACGCATTATGTGCCCATTTTCAGGGCGTATTGAAAGGGTTTGGGGGCTTGGTTTTCATATTCCTCGTTCAATCAGAACTCTCAATACCCAGTTTTTTGAAATGGTTACTGAAACAATTTATCCGAAATTTTAGGGCGTTTTGTTTTCATCTCGAGGGGGCACATTTATGCTCGAGGGGGCACATAATATGTCCGCAAGAGGGGCACTTGGGTAAATCGGGGGGGGGGGGGAGGAAGTGCCCCTGCCCCCCGGTTCCGCTGCCCCATTGATTATGGTTTGATCATAAACTAGGGACAGTGTACAGCCAGGGGCGTCAATCGCTTCTCAAAAGTGTGGGGGGGGGGGACATACCTTGATCAGAACTGATGCGAGCGCGAAGCGCAAAACCCTTACAGCGTGGGGTTCGGGGCCCGCTAAAGGGCCCCGAAAAAATTGGATTCTAGATGCTCTGTGTTGTGATCTGAGGCAATAACTTACCACTTTCTTCCATGCTTTAACTACTATTTCTTAGCAAAAGATAATTATTTGAACATCGTTTTCGAGGTTGGAGTCATTGAATCAGCTACCGGTATTCTGAGCTATAGGCGTGTGGTTCGGAGCCCGCTTAAGGGCCCCGAAAAATTATGGATTCTAAATACTCTGTGGTGCGATCTGAGGCAATTTCTGACTACTTTAACCAATATTTTCTTAGCAAAAGATATTAATTTAAAGGGAATGTACAACATTTGCTTTTGCTGCAATTTTCATAAATAAATGGATTTGGAGGATTAGTATGTTATAGAAAATATTGTTACACTGACTTGTTTCACGTTTTGGGTTCGTAGATGCTGGAAAAACCAAGAAAACCAATCATATTATTGTAGTCTGGTTCCCTGACCCCACTTAAGATAAAACGGACACATTTATAGACTTTGGAGAATTGTAAGATCAGAGAATCAGTCTTCACATGTGTGTAATCAATTGCAAAGAAAATGCAGACTAACTAAATATAAAAAATGAAAAAAGTAAGACTGCTGCAAACTGCTTACTGACTGGGTGGACCTGAAATATATAAATCTAAAAATTAATGTGGCCTGACGTTGCGAACTTAGCAAGTTCTTCTTCAGAGGCTAAAACAGAAATGACAGAGGTACATACATTAACATGGGGGTGCACACAAACATGCAGGGATGAAAGAAGAAACACAAAAGGAGGATTAGGTGGGAAAGGTGTGGAAAGATGCAGGGCAGGGTGGATGAGAGAACAAAGAAACAAAGGGAGATGGCAAACCACAAGGGGTCTGGTATGAACAGGGGAGGGACCATAAAGGGGAAGGATCAAAGGTCACAGGGAGTGGGAAAGGACAAAAGAGTGTGGGAGTGAAGGGGGATTATGCGGGGGGGGGGAACAGTATGGAGGTGGAAAGGGATGAAAGATGGGGAAAGATGGGGAAACACAAACAATGAAGACCAGGTGGATTATCTGTAACAGAAGACAATGGAGGAAGAAAAATATTAATCATTTCCAAGTTGGATGTTGAGACCATGTGGTTGAATATAAAAAAGTAGGAGCACTTTTTTAAAAAGGCCAGTTTTCTCCAACGCTGGTCGGCCGACCAGCGTTGGAAAAATACAGTTTTTCTTGAAAACGTCAGCACACCAGGAGCCACAACGTTACAGGATGCTTCAGACTGTCATTCCCTAACAATCCAGTAAGATATTTCGTGATAATTTGATCATTTCGTTTTTTGATGTTTGCAAATGTTGTATCTTCCCTTTAAACATAATATTAGAGGTTTTCTCAGCTAAAGGCATAGGGTTCGGGCCCGCTTAAGGGCCCCGAACAATTTTGGATTCTAAATGCTCTGTGGTGCGATCTGAGGCAATTTCTGACCACTTTAACCAATATTTTCTAAGCAAAAGATACATTGTAGTACATAATAGGGCCGTAAATGAGACACGAGTTCAAAAATCTGGGGGGGGGGGGGTATTTGATATTGCGCCCATGTGTACAGCTTTCCATTGATATCTTGGATGCATTCTTCTGGTCATGCATCTCTGCGTTCTATTCTCTTCAAAATGGTATGTCCGAACCCTCTCGGGACAGTTTGGGATAAAACCTGAATTCATGTACATCCAGACTTAAGACGAGTTCAAGGGACATTATGAAAACACGAACAAAACAGGATTTCTGTCAAATGATGATCTTAATCATTCAGGATTCAACATCTTAGCCAGGTTTATCACGTTCCACATGTCCACCTGCCCTTTTAACCACAGTCAACCACGGCGGCACATTATCTTCTGTGGCCTAGCTGTCTCACAATTGTTTTGGTCCACCTTGTGATGAATACGGGCCTGGAAATCCTGAAGGCTAGAAAGGAGTCTGCTGACCTTGTTCTCTAAATCCCCCCACAAAAAAAGAAGCAATCGTAGAGTCAAATCAGGTGACCCGAGAGGTCATTCCACAGCATGAGTCAGTGTGATTATGCCGAATTATTATGTTGTGCATCCTTGTTAATATTTAAATATCATATGCCGTTGCCATTGCTTCTTTGTATAATTTGCTGCTTTGCTAAGGTTTCATTATTTTTATTTGCTTGAAAATAAATGTTCATGGGATGAGGTCGAAAAAAAACCCTCATCTGTCCTCGGATTCATTTCGTACATAAAATTGTGGTTGCATTCAAGTCGATTTTGCAACGGTATGCCCGACCCATGGAGATATATAAGAAGGGTCTGCAACAGCGTTTTGTTTTTACTAAAACAACACGACCAACAAGCATCGATCGTTGTTGACATTTGCATGGGATTTTTGGATGGTTTAGATTCCCACTTTGGCAAGACAATATGGCGTTTAACAGGCCTACATCATATTGTTACTGTGTCTTGCCTCTTATAATATCTTTATAGTTTCTCTCACACCTAACACATTAACTGCAGCGTGGTGAATACTACTTCTATTTTTACACCAATCGTCATAATAAGTATGATGTAATATGATTATTTGAAGCAGGCCAGTTGTACACCAAATAAAATGACTGAGCTAAAAGAACTCACCCTGTGCATACAACCAGGGTAAGCAATGAAAGATTCAGGCTGAATGACGCATGGGAAAGTCAAGGGCATTCACGTAAGTGCAGGGCTTTTTAATATGACACTGTATACGACTCTTTATCATGTTTTATGTATAGAACATTAAAAGCAGCCGGTGTATATGCTTCAGGGACAAAGCGTATGGATGACAAATAGTAAATGCCTATCGACTATATCTGAGTTTGCTTGGGACAGTTTTTCACTCGCAGCACGTCGAGAACGGGTATAACAGGGCCATTCAATCCATTGCCTGGTTAGTTATAATGCGACGATATGATAAGCTATATATAACGCTCCGTGCTGCTATCCGATATCTGATGGGTGATGCTGCCATAGCAATGGAAGTACTCATCTGAATTATGCAAGCTGTTTCTGTTAAAGTCGTTAGATTCGCGTCGTCAGGAAAATTACTATCACCGCAAGGGATATTTTTGATTAGTTCAAACGAGGTGGCTGTCGCCTCGCCCGCTTTGTGATGGGAGGGGATCATGCCTGAAGGGCATGGACATTCGTACGTTATAACTTAGTGTATGAAAATCCAAAACTCGCTTGTCATTCAATAGGCATGATGACGTCACACCATTTTTTATTCTCACCTGTAGATAATTGTGCGTTCCTAGTTTGAAATTAAGGCCTAATCTAATGTACAGAAATATATCCGCCGAAAATCATTAAATTGAGTAACTGATGGATATGGTGGAAAAGTAAATGAATATAAACGCACATTATAACACAAGGGATATATACGCGTCTTTAGTTACAGTCATGAAATTATATTCATGTAAATGGTATAACCAGGGTAAGTTCATCCGTATATCGGCTTGTATACTTACTCGTCGATCTGCTTTTATTTTCCACGGTACACAATCGTCGACATGTAGGGTGCCATAGAGACTAAGGTACACCCGAGATTTCTTTGAGGTTTATCTGCATGCTTTGATTTTTTTTTTATACTTAATTATGTTAACATAAAGGGTCTTTTCCCCCAACATTTGAGTGTAGTACTTGCTTTTCGTGAAGAAAGTGTTCCTCCTTAATTCGCAATTTATTAAATAGAATTTTTACCGTGACACGAATAGACCAACTGTGAATTCCACAATTTAAATATGTAGGCCTACATTGTATTGATATATTCTCGCCTTTTTGATCATTGAGAAAAGGCACGCCAGATGAACTGTCTTCAACTGAAAGGAATTCACCTTTACATATAAAAAGTGTTTCATATAAAAAGAACCACTATTTCATCGTGTGAATGACAGACGCTTAGCGATCGTCAAGACGTGCATTACCCACTGGATTTAACACAGCGCAGTTACTTGGAATTGTCATAAGTCTTGCATAAAAAAAGCCAACAAAATATACCCTCAGGGTATAGCCCATTATGTCATAATCGGAAAAAAACCTTTGTGTCTCCCAGTTGCAATCCAACAAGCAATTTCATTGTTCAATGTCATGTATTACATTATTACAAAGTCAATTATTATTTACACTGTTTCGTGATGTGGTGCGGTTTTTCATCGAGTAAATCTTCCCATTTACCAATTTCTCATTATGTTCTTAGACATGCGCAGGCATGATAAGGACAAGAGACCAAATTCCAGGCTACACCTAATCAATGCAGTCTCAATGATTTCGTGAAATTTGACGAAAATAGGCCTACATCATACTATTGATGAACTGCAGGTGAGCCTTAGTTTGCGTGTCAACTCGCACATGTGCTTTTTTGAATGTATTTGTTTGGTACATATTCGGTGTAAGACGCGTTGAAACTACACATGTACTTGGACGAATAAACTCGATAGCCTAAAAGTTGAACTTACTTTCCGATCATATGAAATTATGTTCATGCTGAAGAGTTTTCGCACGAGAAGTGAATAATACACCACGCAGGATTGAATGAATGAACATTTCTTTTTGACAGACGACATTTTTTTCCCTTCAAGACAGGACTGGACAAAGATGTCAACAAAAACTGAACTTTCGAAGCTTCATTTAGATACATTATTGTGTGTGACAAAAATATACCTCTTGTGCTCGACAAATTAGACCTGTTTTGTCCTAACGAATATTAATATTAAAATATTTGTATCTTGGCGTCTGCACCTTCTGCCAAATAAGTTGGTATTTTTCGTTGCGTATGCGCACAAACAGATCCGCCCTGTGACTATACTGGTTTGCGGTACCCATTTTTTCCTAAAAAGGGGCGGGAACCAGACTACCATGCGATCATTAAATCGGGTCGGAAATCCTTCGAAATATTGAAGTAATTGTTCCATAACTTTGTTGGCGGTTCCGCAATAATAGTCAATATCTTTGTTCAAGGGGCGGTAGTCAGAAGCCATAAACCAGTATTCCATACAGCCAGGGATCACGCCCAAAAGTCACGATACAGACCTGGGAAATAGTAAACGGGCATCACTCAGAGAGGATACAACTTGTTATAAATTTTCAAATGAATCACACAAGGAAACAGGCTAGGTGAATTATAGCAATGGAAAAGTTGAACAAAGAAATTGACTGGAGTGGGATTTGAACCTGCGACCTCCGGATAACCGTTCCGGTGCTCTTATATTACCAACTGAGCAATATAAAGCCGTATCGTCTCTGAGTGATGCCCGTTTGCTATTTCCCAGGTCTGAATCCTGACTTTGGGCATGATCCCTGGCTGTATGGCATACTGGTTTATGGCTTCTGACTACCGCCCCTTGAACAAAGATATTGACTAATTGCATATGGGCAACCGCAAGCATAGGGCTGGATAGCTCAGTTGGTAAGAGCACCGGAACGGCTGTCCGGAGGTCGCAGTATCAAGCCCCGCTCCAATCAACTTCTTTGTTTAACTTTTCAATTGTTATAATTCACTTTGTCAGTTTCCCTGTGTGGTTCATTTCTTCCATAACTAAACAGTTGATGTTTCATTCAAATGTGAAAAACGGTAGTATCGCTCGAAAAATATTTAACGGAACACAATTTACTTCTCGAAATGAAACTCGAAAAAAAAAATCGCACACAGAATAATCTTCGAATCCAAATTTGGAACATTATTTATAGCCAGTCAGTCGACACAGGAGCCTAAACAGCAGTCAATCAGTCAGACGGTGACTCAATTAGTCAGAGGAATTACACGGACCGGCCCTTGGGATCCAGCAGGTTGTTTACGTGTACGAGGGCTGGCTGGTGCACCGTCTGCAGTATGCTAAGATCTTATAGGCTGTAGTGCTGACGTAGTTCATCCCTGAAATTCACTTCTGTGATCTCGCCATTTTAAATTTGCGTAAGGGGAAAATGTGTGCAATATAAACTGAATTGCACTCATTCAGACAGGGATTTAGGCAAGACTCGATTGATGGCTAACGTACCGCTAAATAATGTCGCATCTATAGGCCCGACTACGACGGGTCTGTTTCCCGAATACACTTAAGTAGTGACACGGAATGCATTTGGTGAGACGTTTTTAGGGATTATTGATTCAAACTAAAATGTTTTTTTTGTGTGGAGAAATAAACTGAAGGATTAGTTACTCACTGTTATTCTCAACCCACTGATTTGCAGATTAAGATAAATGATACCATGATACTACAGTACTTGGCATTGTGTTCCATTGATACTGATACTTTTATAAACCAGTGCGCCCCATATTACGATGGGATGTATTCTCTCTGCCACACTGTTTTCATGCGACACGTCGTAGTGATCTGTATATCTATGAAAAATTATATTCTTCAACATATTAAGATATAGAAATGACCATTTTGTCTCAACATCAGCCTGCATGCAGGCGTACTCCGTTCCGTGTGGTGGCTTTTTACTACTGCTTTTCCGCGTTCAGGCAGGGATAATTAATGTACAAGGTATAATAAGGTGTTACAGCCCCGAGATGTATATTTACGAGCGGTTGCCCTCTTAGTGTGGGGGTTTCGATTCATAGACGGCCCGGGTAAACAAAACCTCAACTTACAGTAATCCACACAGTTCCTCTTAAGACTCGTTCTGCCCTACAGCTTTATGTATGGCGGATACTGTTACATCCCATGGACAAAACACTCCAAGGAGCAATGAGCAAAGTGGTTTTTGTTGACCTTTGTAGTGATGCTTGTGAAGACAAGATGCACGACAGCGTCTTCAATTACTACACAATGCGCCCAAGCCTCTATGCGGATATTACATTGGGTTACTCCTTGATCAGTAAATTCCAATTTTCTTAATAGCTCGGTACATTCCACGAAACTAGTGAGCCCCATGACGCTAGGAAAAATGGTTGGAACCTGAAATATAATCCTTTTCATTTGCTGTCCCGTTTACCTATAGGAGTCTTACGAAGCCAGACTTCCAGCGTCTCTTCATACAGCTGACCGGCTGCATGCATCTGTTTGTAGCAGAAATGAGGAAATCACTGGTACTCCTCTCAGCCTTTCCTATTGATCAAGTTGGTAAGTATACTGGTTTCCGGCAGATCATTAGTTGACCACTAAAAAGGGAATATTCCTTTGAGAGATTTTCTTCCGATATAGAAGCAGAATCGTGAAAAAAATGGGTGCGTGATGCACGGGGAGCTGTAAGTAATATGTCACAGCCGTACGTTTCGCTGAGTATTTATCGCAAAAAATATGGAAGGTCGCTTATTTTTCTAGACACTGCTATAAGCTAAATGAAAATATGGGCACAATCTGTCGCTGAACAAAGTAGCGTTTAATGTTTACAAACACAAGAAAGGTTTGTGGAGTTGCTCGATTAAATCGGTTGAGTTTTATGACATTAACATGCTTTCCCACGGGTTCATTTGGGTATAGGTAGCGCTGGATCCCAACCTCGTTCCCATGGTGTTAAGCAGTACGCTCCCAGTACCACTACCTGCTCTCTCACCCTGGTATTGGATCATTAGCATCATGATCCAAAGTATTTGGATACGTATGAAAATTAGGAATAGTCAGGTGTCCGCCTGTGCATTACATCAGCATTCGTTTTTGTATGCGGTGTCTGGGGTAAAAACAGAATCAACTCGTCGCGGAGTGAGTTACGAAAACACACCTTTTTTTCGAAGTTAAAATTACAATCTTGTGCGGCCAATATATGCAGTAGGGCCTATATATACCATTTCATATTAGGCTAATACGACCAATTTAGAAAGGAAAGGATTATTTTTTAGAAGGTGTGGACGAAATAACTACAATGAACGTGAAAAACGTAACAAACGTTGGAATAACAACACCAAGTACACGATATCATTCAATTTCTTGCAAATTGCGCTATCGCATCAGGATGCAGAAAGCAAGTTAATGCTGTTGGAACGAGGTTGAAAATAAAGTAAGCCCTGGGGACGAGGTTGCTCCGGATCCTTGCCCGGGAAAAATCATGATACGACAACAAGGATAATTTTGTAACCTTTATTCAACAAACGGTTTAAAATATGTGTATTAAAAGATAAATAGGCCTATTGCGAGTAGAAAGGATTTAAACAATGACGAATAATTTACGAATACTATTCTTTGCTTCCAGCACGTTACATTGTAGTTTAATAAAAGAAGGAGTTAACAGAGAAAGTTTGATTTGAATTGTTTGGTTAACTATTTGTTGCAACATATGTACAAGCATTACAATTTATAAATTTGTATTTTTTTGTTTATTGCAAGGACCTGTCTTATATCATGACAGCTTATTCAATACTATACCTCAATTTTCAATTGACGATTTACTTTGAATATTTGTTAATACCTTCGTTATCATTTTACATGTTGTCTCTGTCTGCAATTCTATTTCCAGTCTGCAATCATATTCAGCTGTTGTTCATCCACACCATTGTGCTAATTGAAAGTGTGGGCATTATTATGTGTGGGTGTGTGTGTGTGTTTTAAAATCAATTTGTTTATCGGCAAAATGAGAATCAGCGTGCAAAATGCCAACCATGTTATTCACAATGAAGGAGCGTATTTGTTAGATATTCTCGATGGAGCCTTTAATGTTTTCTTTTGCTTTTTGTGTGTGTGTGTTTTTTATTGGTGTTAATATGACTTCAAATTAGTTTGTTTACGTTTGTATTGTGCTCAGGACAGTGTTGGCTGAAGTGTGTAGATACGAGTTATAAATCGCTCATATTGCGAACAAATTTCCTCCAATGCAACCAAAGAGTTATCATTTCCCCAAATAAAAAACCTATATCTAAATCATGTTCTTTCTTTTGCTTTGTGAATGCATTTGATATCATCGCATGGTTTTATAAATGCCTGCGCATTTTGGTTATTCCTTTGCTGGTTTCTTTTATACCCTCTTGTCCACAACATTTATCGTCAGGCCATCCGTATGAAAACCTCCCAGGTATGGTTATGATGATGGAGATAGCTGGTCCGTCCCATGACCGGCGTGGTGGCAGCCATAAGGGGCGTGAGCTGACCGTGTCCGAGATATCTGACCAGTTGGAAGAATCGGTCATATTAGATGGACCAATGGCTACCTCAGAGGATCTACAACTAATCGCTAAGTAAGCAGTATATATTGGACTTACCAGTAGACCACATCCTTCCATATGGATTGCACTCATAATGCACTGCATGATAATGACCGCCCATAATATATGAAGCTGTATATTATACATGTATACTTGGCGCAGCCCTATAACATCAGTGTGACTGAGACTGAGAAGCATTATTTTAACACTCTCCTGCCATTTTAATTTCTGAAGATCTCTTTACCCGTCGAGGAGGGGTCATGTTTTTATATTGTCATTATATTCATGGTATGAGAGCTCTATGTGTCTACATAATTTTAGGAATCGCCCATGGCACAAAATGAAAGACAATAAAAACCCAGCGGAGTTTCTATTGTGCAAGTTCTTTCGATATCCACAAAGAAACAAAGGAATTTACCCCCTTGGTTCATAAAAGCGAGGAAGTGTCCATGGTGCATGTGCTTTAAACCTCAGGGCAGTTCGTGACCAATTGCAACATGAGCTGGACACAGTAATGACGAATATGAGCGGTCTCGCCTCATTATGGCCACGCACGATCGCAATGTATCTGCACGCGTAGACCATCATTATGTGACATTGCGATATTGATCTTGATATTGCATGCCATGGTCTCCATGTCATGTTTATTCAGCGACCAGAGACGTACGTATGCGGTCATGGCTGATTAGAACGACTGCGTCTACATGGCAATGTCAGACGCTATATGCCTAATAAGAGTATATGTAATTTGTTATCCTTTCCTTAAAGATGCATATGGGTTCTTCCCATGCATATATTGAACGTTTTTGCTTGTCTGAAAGTGCATCAAGAGACAAAAAGGCCTTTGCATTTTAAAAGTTCGGCACATGTGATGGTTTGTTTTTAATATTGGAGTCTACTTTGGCAGAGGATGAAGGACAGTTTACAAAACGACGGAACGTTTCAGACATTGACTAAGTACGTATTGGTGAAGGGCTAATCCAGTATTAAAATTTCCCGATGCAAAATTACATCTCACAAGATACTAAAAATATTAAGTGCATTACCCAGTTGGAGACAGATTTACCCATTTAATTTGCTGACATTTCAAAATCATCCCGCGACGCAAAACTGTTTTATGGAGGCTGTGTTCACACACTTGATGAAACAGCTAACTGCAGGACTTGAAACTCCAAAACGGGCACTGAATATCGAAAGGTGTTCGCAACTGTACATTTGGGCCAAACGTACAAGTTTCGTTCATTTCTCGTGTATTATCATCTCATATAGAGACATGGAGGAGGTGCGGCATATGCTATGTGAGGTAGATCTGGACGAGATGATTCCACGACAGCGTTCACCAGGTGAGAGACTGAATGAAAGACTGAACTTCATTTGGCTAAATTTAAGTACCAATCCCAGTCCTATAGCTTGGATTGGCACCAAACTGGGTCTTGGGGAGGTGGGGGGGGGGGGGGGGAAGCTGGGGCTGGACACCTCATTACACTAGGGGGCGCTCTTCAGGATATAGATGTATTTATGTATATACTCGCGCTTACATCAAAACCGCGCATTTTAAAAGCTTTTGTTCTTTGTTTCACCACTTTACAGTACTATTGAACACATTTTGGTCGTTTGGGATGTTGAAAAAGTACCTCAAAATAAACCTTTTTTCTCATCACGAAAAAGTGGGGGGGGGGATGATTCAATACCCCCCCCCGGTCAAAAAGTGGGGGGATATGTACCCCCATCCCCCTGAATTAAATAAATAAATAAATAAATAAATTTATCTTAAGCGAACATGTGGGGAATCAAAAACAATACCGAGTATTTTGTTAACGTCGTGATGGTCATGGTTAAAACCGACTATGAAAAGAAATCCATGGGCAAGATCAATGATATAAATTTAACCCCATTCGTTTCCTCTTGCAATTTTCATTTCTTTTTGAAAAGACGTTTCCTTTTGAAACGGCCATGGTTTAGCGAGTGCTTATAAGTTAATTCCATTAGCATAAGTAAGCCTCGTTGTCAGTGTGTACCTTGTTAGATGTAGTTCCCATCGCGGCGGCCCTATCTGACAAAGGAGATGGTGACGGTTTTTGGGACGGAAACGCCAAGTAATTCGCCCGTTATACGAGTCCAGTCTGTGACGTCATGCCTGTCAACTGCAATTGTCTATCTACATCTGTCGACTACATCTGTCTCATGAGGAAAAAGGGCTGATATGATACGTTATAGTGTTGAAAACATCGATCATGTGTATAGAGACATTATTTCCTTTCAGATGAGTTCATGATATAAGATGAAATCACTGAATGAAGTATAGGACCTCCAGATTATAATTAAATTCCAGCATGTTTAGTAACAACCATTCAGAACTTGGAAAAACACATACTGTTAACATAATTAATCAATCCAGGACGCAGACAACAATGCTGCAATGTTGACACTAGATCTATAGAATCCGTTGCCAGGTAGGTAGGCAGGGGTGTCATAGCAACGGACCCATTATGAGCAGACAACGTGGAAATGAGTTTTTCGGAAATCTAAAGAAAAAACCCGCAACGTCGAGAACTACATTGGCCATGTGAAAGACTTATATTTCCTATCAGATGAGTTCAGGTAATTAGTTGAACATATTGAGGAAATCTCTGGGTAATTTCAGTGATTGCGAAGGGCGATTTCTAAAGGTTACGTAACACTTTATTTTAAATGAAACTACATGTACACAGACGTGTTCACGTAGGCGGGTGAAATCTTTGGAAATTAATTTATCCAGTTTGGAAGACCGTATCTGCATGCAACTTTCAGGATTTATTTCCGTATAATGATCCAAGTATGTGCTAAAAATTGTTGTGATATGTTCATTACTTTTCGTTGAAATTGGGAAAATACGCCTGGCTACGTACATTTTTGTAAGTTGTAACACTGACGTTTGCAACAGCTGTCAATCTTTTCAAGCCTCAGGAAGATTAATATCCAATATGGTGTGCAGTAAAACTTTTGAGAAAAGCCTCCTTCACTAATTATTTATGGATAAATATCACCCTTCCACTGGTCGATACCGAGACCCACGGCAAAACACGCTGAGTGACGCTAATACCATACGTTATTGTGTGGCTTGGCCGAAATCGGTCAACCGTAGCGCCTAAGGCGCTTTGCTGAACAATGCATGTGGCTTGGGTCGGCAGAAATCATCGTCAAAATTTTCCATGGAGATGGTTCAAATTGTAACACTAGCGTTTGCAACAACAGATTAAGCTGAAATTCGGAATAAAGTTTGATGACATAAGTGTTCAACTACTTTTGAAATAACAATTTTGAGAAATTCCTAGAAATTGATATAAATACAGAGATTGGGGAAGTTTTCGAACGATTTCTTCCAGACTTGAAGGTCAGCTATACCAGTAACCAGTATTGACGTTTCGGCATCGATGACGGCGATTTTTTCACTGACATGAAGTTTAGAATTTCTTCTTCCGATGATAATTTAACTTTTCAATCATACTGTGCATTTTTCTGAGAAACACAACGTTCAAAAGGCCATGTTTTTTGTGGCGCATGCATTTCACTGCTCTGCTATAGCGTCTAAGTACGTTATCGGATTAGCTTTGCTTAACAACGGCAGACGCTTCGCCTTAGCAACCACATGACTGATTTGGCTGGGATCATGATATCGGACTTTTAAAACAAAACAGTTTTGGGGTAAACCACCAAAAGTGACAAATAAAGGAGGTAACAGTGTACGTGGAATAATGCAAAATACATTAAACGGTCATTACGTCCTGGAATGCGCCCAATTGGGCTACAAAACGCGTCTTAAACGAAATGATGTTAATTGAAAAGAACATTTAAAAGTAGCATGTAAACGTCCACCTTACCATCCTGTAAAAACTCGGCGTTTTGTGTTATTCTTGAGAGAACTATTCGAGAACGAATTTCGAGGGTCAAAATGTTGATTCTAAATCGAGCTGTCGAGTGCCACTAGTTTTGAATCATATAGCCGCACAGTGCGTACGTCGCATACTGCGGACGTGCAAGAAACATTTGTTTATTGCTGTCTGTATTATGTGACTATTAAATGCTCTTTCTAATTAACGCTTCGTTTAAAACGCGTTTTGTAGCCCAATTGTGCGCATTCAAGGATCTAATGTCCCTTATGTGATGCCGCAGGTCGGCACCCTATAAACAGAACAAATTAAGTGTCAACTTCCAGCTTCTATGATATATTCGTTATGACTGGCCGCTCGCTATATATACGGCAAGTCTGAATGTGTGTGATCGATGTATAAGCATGAAGCAAGATATGTGGCAGCGGACTCCCCCCTTTGCTGTTGGTCATTGTGTTACCGGAATCTCGCTGGAATATTGTTTGAGATATATATAGGGGAACATGTTAAATAACAAGTCTAGAGTGTGTACGTGTATATGGTTTAGGGGCATATAGGGAGTACCCTCTACCACAAATTGTGCAGGGTATTGCCATGGTACTAAATACTTATCTGTTGGTTTCTTCATAGATGAACTGACCCACGTGACCTCCGTACATCGACAAAGCAGCCTTATTAGACTACGGAGGCACATCCTTTGCTGTTGCAGTAGATCCAAACACATCGAGCCCTGAAACAAACTGCATCGATACCTTTTGATACTTGCAATAATGAATTAAAATGACTTGGATGCAAAACTTTGGAAACACTCTTCATGAAAGCCATATCGGATGTCAGATACACGCCAGTAGGCCTACACGCCAACAATGCAGGACTTCGGTAACACCTTGGACACTCACATTCACGCATGGATTTACCTTGGATATGGGATACAAGCGACTGATATACCCAGTCAGTGCCGGGCGCATAATGACAACAGGGACGCAAGGCACGCACACGTGGAAAGCTCCCTACGTTATTCAAACTCATAAAAACACATTTTTAACGATTCTCTGAATGTATACAAGCCTTATTTTTTTATGGGTTTGCCAAGGTATATATTATTGACACATTCCTTATCCTACTAATGGATTTTGTCGTCATGGTTGTTGACAGCTCATCAACACCACAGAGTGCAAGCTGCTTACAGTATGAATGAGACTGTAATTTATATGAGAAAAACATTGTTTGCATGTTTCTCGTACAGTTTAAGATAATCATTCACACGAATGGGTTGTGCACATCGTTACACTTAGATTAACATTTGTTTTCACTCTGTATTCTCCATGGAGCGTTCTGTTTTGCCTGAGGCTAAGCTGAGGGCACGCTCTGTGTATCACAAGGCAAGCTAGTCAATTTTTGTTAACGCCTTACCCACACTCTACTTAATCTTTTAGAGTGTGATTTTAATGTGTGATTAATTTAACCAAAATCCAATACAAATTACTTCTATTCCAATATAAACTTTGTTGGCAACTTTACTTTTATAAACTTCCCCTTTACAATTACCCGCAGTGCGCACACCAAGATTATCTGTCAGACTCCCAACTATGCAACAGTATATAGCGACCGCAACGCATTCCTTTTGGCATTTTCCAAGGAATGTTGTTGAATTTGACTACGTCCCTCCGCTTCCGAGTAAGGGGGGAGTCCAATCGTCCAACACCTCGGTATATCGTAATTGTTGCATACTGTCCCTCATATTTGTAAACTACAAAACAAATCACTCTAAACTGTCAAAGTCTGCAACCCCCTGAAAAAAGGAAGTTCGCCTTGCGCACAAATGAACCCTGCGAGAGCCGAATTCTTGTCTGGCAGCCAATAATTCAAGTTTGGTGAAGAGAATAATTCAATAACTAATCGTAGGTGGATTTTTTTAGTTCGATGCCTCATTCAAAAGTGAATAACTCGCATTTCTAGGAAGGTAAACAAATCTACTTTTCGAAGTGAAACTCGAAAATAGCACGGGGAACGCACCTTAACATTTTGAACGTTACATCATGGAAATCTTAGGCCATGAAGAAGTATAGCGCGGGCTTTGTGTTGATATTTTAAGCGTGATTTGAAATACTTAATGTATGGTAAGAATGTCTTTCATTAGCTATTGTTTGCATTCAATGCACATTCCATATTCGAGTCAGTTCATTTTTGAGCCACATTTATAATACTAGCCAGCTCTTGCAATGAACTTTGCAAGGGTTGGCCTGGTATAACACCGCAGCCATTTGTACCACGTTATATAGTACATGCACATAATAATGGGCGATACGTCGTTCGTGATGCGACCGACGACATTATGACAGTGCAGTGTATGACGTGTACATGTATAATATTAAAAGAATCAAAACGTATAGCGTAACCTTATTTTTCCACAGTAGTTCCTCGGTACTATTTATCCTTAATTCATTCATTACTGACAAGAATTGTAAACATTCAAAGAGATCACGTTTTACCAACGGAGTGGATTAAAGCGGCTCTTTACTCCTCGGCTAGAGAACTAGGCCTATGTACACAAAAACATTGATTCACTTTTATTTAACTTTATATTGATATATTTAGTTTACTTCTATAATTAGTCAAATCAATTGTAAAAAAGAAAATAGATTGTAAAAATGTACAGTGTCTATACATAACGCTATCGTTATATTAAGTGTAATTAAGTCCAGTGTATCATATAATTTCATTTAGACGACACCTTATATCATCCATGTCTTAGACTATACGGGTTTTGATTTGCATATGGAATTCCTAATAATCTAATTCCCTAAGTGAAACCTCATCTGGTTGATTGTGTTAATGTTAGCGATGTTTTGGTTTAGCGGGGTTCTAGTCGGGTGGCTTGTAGGTGGAATCATGACCGGCTGGTCCAAAGCACCAAATTTGGCATGTAGACTCTATGGGCCATATTATACAGAGCATATTTACAAGGGGTGACACCTGAAAACTGTTTGGAAGGGTATCTTATTTTGCTTAAATCCACAATGGCCACCGTGCCATATAATATTTATGCACATATTTTGGTGCATTTTCAAAAAAGAAGAAGAAAAAAAGTACATTTTGAGGATTCTATTTACATATGCGTACAAAACATTTTCTAAAGCATATAAGTGATTGAATACTATAGGAGGACATATGACATATTCAAACTACTATTATACCCTAAAGTTGCACACAATAGCTTTTGCCTCAGATATCATCAAATAGTTTTGCCAAACCTCAGATTTGATGAGCTTCAAATCAACAAAGTTACTTACTGGCATATTTACCCTAATAAAATTATGTGGAAAATCATGTGAACAATGACAGGATCATAATATTTAGCCCGAAAAGAAGACCACAAAAAAGAGGTATCCGTAAATTGAGCTAAAATTAGGCGAAAGGTTGCCCAACGTGAGGACTTGAGCAAGTTCAAAGAAACACCCCAATACATGTAAGAGTCCCCCACGTCATGCAACCCTTCGCCTAATATAAGTAGCCCAATTTACGGACGCCTCTTTTTTCCACCTCATTTTCTTTTTGCTTTTTGGGCTAAATATCGTAATGCTATCATTGTTCAAATGATTTTCCGACATAGTTCTATTAAGGCAACTGTGCCAGAGAGTATAATCTTATGAATTTGAAGCTTGTCACTACCGAGGTTTGGCAAGACTACAATCTGGGGAAATGCGCGCAACTTTAGAGCATAATACGGTATCCATTTTAGATCTTTCATATGTCCTTATAATTATCAGTCGTGTGCTTTTGAAAAGGTTATTTAAGTACGGATATGTAAACAGAATCCCCAAAATAAACTTATCAACAAAACGATTGAAAATGTACCAAAATATGTGAATATATTATGCGGCGGCAATTTCGGATTTATGCAAATTAGGCAACCTTCCCAAAAGAATATCTTCTGTAGGGCTATCTGCCAAGTTTGGTGTTTCGGACCGGTCGGTCACGATCTCGTCAAAAATTGGATCTATTCACCTGATATAACTATTAGTGAAAGCACCGTTTGCATTATCACATTATAGTCTACAGAGACTTTAGACCTTTTGAAGGAAACTAAAAAATATGTTCTGTGATATGTGCAATGATATGGATCTTATTGACTTTTTAATTCCACAGACACTTTTTGCATACGGGACCAATAGCCACAGGACTAGTAATTACAAAGTATTAATAGTTATCAACATTTAGCCTCGCTATCTGGTTTGTAAGGGATATATAATATCTGACAAACCTTGGACAAGCACCTTTTTTTCGGCAAAATCCAACGTCCAGTTACTCCTTTCCTCAAAATGTGCAACTTAAATTTGTCACTTTAAAATATCATTAAAACTTGTACACTCAATAAACCAAATATGTTTAAAACAAAGTCTTATATTTGCTTCATATAATTGTTTTGGTCATTTTTAGGCGTATCTAATCCACCAATATGTTAAAGATCATCTACATGTATTTTGCAATTGAGTGGTGGATCATTTTCAAAATGGAGATGCACTTAAAAACTATACTTTTCAGGGGTGGACATCTTTGGAGGGAAAACTAACCCTGAGGTCATCGGTCACACCCGCAAAAATTGAACAGAAACCGAAAGAGGTTTAACCAAGCCTTAACTTGGTGTAGCCTATGTTTTGAACACAATGATGAGAGTTGTTAGTATTTTTGTCTGGATTTTGTTAAGTAGGAATATTTACCACTCGTGTCTAATGGATTTTATGTACTGGTCTATCTGCACCCTTGCTAAAATGCACCGGCGAAAAAAACACGTCAGTGCAAGGCGGGGTAGGTATCGCCTCCAGCAGATAATTATTGAATGATTAATACAAATATGAAAAATACTTCAATATTTTTATGGCAGATAATATACTCTTGAAAGTACGTTGATCGGACGCATTGGCGTTGATGGCAACTGCATAGACCGTCTGAACCGCGGTATGAATATTTGAATGGACAAGTGGAGAGAATGTCATGCAAACGCAAAGAGCTTGATGGTTTGAGAGTGTGTACGGAACTACATCCCTTCAATAAACGCAGTACCTGCATAATTCATTACACTTCGTCGTCCATGATGCGACTTGATAACAGGTGTAGTGGTTTATCTCCCTCCCGCTCCCGGGGGAGGGGGGGGGGGGTGATAAGTTATAGCAGAAAGGAAGTGGAAATCTGAGGTGCGGGACAGAGATCCATCATAAAATTCTTAACATAAGACGACCAAGTTGTCAAGCACGCGTTCTTCATAACAGAAGCACCTTTGAACATGCGCGATGCCTGCTCATCGCACGCATGTAGGCCTTACCTACTAAACGGTCTCTATTACAAATTACTAGTATAGTAAACCAAATGATACTGCTGGAAAACCGTGGCATATGATCCTAACAATGTGCGAAACTTTTTTTCAAATGATTGGAAATACACAATGTACCTGCAGTTTGGATTTCACAAGTTGACTTTTCTGTATGCACATGGAATCAGGTATAAGCCTATGGGAAGTAAAGCAGAACCACCCGACTAGAACCCCGCCACTGATCAAAAGTCAGTTTTACTATCAGAAGCGGACAAACGAACCATAATTTCTTACAATCATTCTCGCAATTAACAGTAAATTGTTATTCAGTACACTAGGGACCGCCCAAGGTTTTGTGAAAGTTTCCAGCATTGTTACCAATGTCATGAGGGACCATAAGGAAATGTCAATTTTTTTTCTCAGTTCAAATGAGAAATAAATGTACTAATCGAAAAAACAAAATTCAGTAAAACAAGCAGGCACGGTTCTAGAGGCTATATTTTAGAAGTGCTAGCAGGGGTTGATCCAGAAATTTTTTTTGTGGGGAGGTGTGCTGATATGTAGACCATTTTTTCCCGAGACCTTGGCCTCCGAAAATAAAGGGGTGGGGTGGGGGTGAGGGGGTGGTGTGGGCGCCTCATGCCATATTGTCAATGGGAGCACTGATAAAATCTTACCATCATCATATCATGCACACTATATTAAAGAGGTTGTGGAATGCTCGAAGACATTTCCGTCATTTTTCGGGTATATGTAGCCTAAGGTGTGATGAAATAAAAACGACTATAGTGTCTGTCATAAAATGAGTACAAAAGGTACTTTTTGAGAGCTGTTTTTCAGGTCCTGTTTGGACTCGAACGTGCAATTTGTGTAAAAGTCGTCGTTGGGGGCAGCAAACAAAACATAGTAAATCGTGACGTAATAAACAGGACTCCGGATGCAACGTAGTATAAACGAGTCCTGTTTATTACGTCACGATTTACTGTGTTTTGTTTGCTGCCCCCGACGACTTTTATACAAATAGCACGTTCGGGTCCAAACAGGACCTGAAAAACAGCTCTCAAAAGTACCTTTTGTACTCATTTTATGACAGACACAATAGTCGTTTTTATTTCATCACACCTTAGGCTACATATACCCGAAAAATGACGGAAATGTCTTCGAGCATTCCACCACCTCTTTAATGCTTATGACAAGATACAGATTCAGGTTTCTGGATGAGAGCACCATAGCTATGCACATAACTACTGACAGAAGAAGCAACAACTTTCTTCCATTGTCATTTTTATATTGTTTATAATGAGTATCAATAATGGAGCACAATCGGCTATGCCTCATATCCAAATTTGTCCGACAACCAATAAATTATTGTTCTGCATGTATAGTCATAACCTCTACACTGCTAAGTCTTTCAGGCACACTTTTATACCATAGCCATCACTGCATTATTCACTGTGTTATTCATCGCTTAGGGTCCGATTCCCTTTGTAATGTCCTGGTCATTACTGCATTTATAGTCTTGCATGGAGGGGCAGAACCAGGATCAGCTATCAAGTGTCTTGATCCTCTCATCCCTACCCCCTGCCGCACACTTGGTATCTCCTGCTTCAGCATCTATATTGACTGTGTTTGCCGCATCCATTGATGGGTCAGGGGGTTTCAGATCTGCACCATGAGGTTTGGAAGCCATGATGGAATCAGGGACAGGTACCCCAAGCATGTCTGGGAGCATCCAGGGCTTCAGCCATCCGACTAGTGGAGTACTCCCTGTGGTGTAGTGAGTCTTCTTGTGATAGAACAGAAGACCATCCAACTCAGCCTACAATGTGGACACAAATGACAGCTATCAGTTTGTGATAAAAAAGCCGGCAATATACCATCTATATTCACCATTTCAGTTTATAAAATTCAATTAGTAAAACCTTTAAATAAAACCACCCAGTTTTAAAAATAGTTCAATATTTTAAATTTCAGGGAATGACTAACATGTTTATGCTTACAGCACTTGAAGGAACAAATATGTGAACAAAACCGACAGCATCATGCCATCGTGTTTTCATACAACCACCCAAAAAGTAAAGATTTAAAGAACCATGTTTGTTCTTCCTATTTCAAATACATGTAATAGTAGAAAAAACATAACTCAAGGTGATATGTGTTAAATAGCAGAAACGTTAATAAGGAAGAAAAAATAGTAATAACAGAAATATACATCTGAAATGTACAACTGATAAGAGTGGTTTAATTTTTGTCAGAGTTTCATATTTAAACTTACAATGTTGAGAAATAATGATACCTTTTTGGTTTGCCACTTTTGTAAAATTACTGCACCAAATCCAGATTTTACAAAACAACTCCTCTAGTATAACTGTCCACCCATGCTGGTATTACAGATTGACACAACATGGTTTGATCTAGGTTTAGCAAACACAACCTCAGTTTATTCATGTTGCTTTCTTACGCAAGGTTTTTGTTCACCTACACTGTGGTCAGTGTTGTGTTGGAATGTACTTTATTATTGTGAACTTTTTTATATTTCTGCCCTTGCATTTTATTTAACCTTGAAAAATCTTCCTGGAACATGTATGGGCGGTTCCATGGTTACTCACGTTACACTTGTTTCATCCTTTAACATTGTGAGTGCTGTGGTCTTCATACAAGTTGGACTATGATTTTCCTGTGTTTGAATATTACCCACTATTCAAAGCTTTTTTCTCATGACAACATAAAAGATTGTATGTTTATATCCTACTTTTAACTGTTCTTTTCGATTAACATTTATATTCCTATTTTATTTATATAAATTGTTTGATTTGGTCTAGCTAGAGGGTGGGGGGGGGGGGGGGGGTGCGGAAAGGAATGTTTTTCTGTTCTGTCCAGGGATGTCTACATGTGGTTTCAGGCTTTTTAATGACTATTTGACTATGTTTAGTTTACATTTACATTTGAGTGTTTTTATCACATTTTTAATATTAATTAAAATTCCTTTTTTTTACGTGTATAATTTGTTTGATTTGGTCAAGCTTGTGTGGAGGGGGTTTTTTTCTGCTCTGTGGGGGGCAGTGTCTACTTGTGGTTCAGACTTTTTAATTACTATGGTGTTATGTTATCAATTTGTGAGAATTAAATAATCACATTTTAAAATTTAATATATATTCCTTTTATTTATATAAATAGTTTGATTGTAAAGCGCCATAGAGCATTTTTTAATGGATTCGGTGCTATAGAAATTTACATTATTATTATTTATTATTATTTAACATTATTTCGTCAAAGCGTGTTTTGTAGCGCAATTGGGCTGTTCCAGGACACAGTGTCCCTTTCAAACTACCTTAATGAAAGGGGAAGAAATTTGTAACGTTTATATAAACGTGTTACATTTACCTTATGTTTGTGATCTCTAGGAGAGAAACCTTTGCGTTTCATCACCGTTTATGCTCTTACATTATGGGGAAGTGTTCTCGAGTTATGGGGAAGTTTTCTATTGCTAGGGAAATTAGGACCGAGTTATGGCGACTTTCTACTGTCCCCACAGCATATTTGGTCCCCATAATAACTATCGCTCAACATGCATGGGTGTCGCTGGAGGGGGATGGGGGGATGTGTGTGTGTGACAACCCCATCCCAGTTAATCATTTTTGTCAGCAAAATTGCCTCTCGGTTAGCAAAATCGTGCGTCTGTCAACAAATATGCCGAGGACAAATAGCACCATTTCCTGTCCGATAGTGTCCAAGATCATCTATTTTAAACAACACCCCCAAAAGTAAGACGATGTCCAGCACCCCCCACCCCCCCCCCCCCCACCCCCCACACAGCAAAGATGTTGTCAACCCCTTTATTTTCTATTAGGCCTGGCGACGCATCTGTGCACATGGGTCTGTCTCATGTGTATCCCCTTTGGGTCAAAAGAACACACCTTAAAGATGGCTTCAATACAAAGAACTCATAGGCATTTATGTAGTCACAGCATCTTTTCACTATGCACAAAATGATAAAGTTTAGTCAAATATTGACTAGCAAAATGTAAAAGGCTTACTTCAAATGGTGGTGGTTTTGCCATGGTGTTTTCTATTGCACTTGGGTTACAAGGGTAGCTTGGCAAGGCAAGAAATCTGTACTATAATTAAAGAACAATATTAAAAGATTATTAAAACACAAACAAATGTAAAAAAGGAGATTTTTCTTTAATATTGCACAAAATAGGATTTTAAATTAGGGAATAGATATGTGCTTGGCCGGTTTCAAACAAGTATGTTTAAAACTGGTTTGGGGCCTGCATGCTGATAAGGGCCTGAGCCGAAGGCGCAAAGTGTTTAAAACCAGCCAGCCTTTAGTGGTCAATCGTTTGAAACCACCCACGTGATTGGCTCTCGACCAATAGGAATGCAGGGTAATAGGTATTTATGAATAAATGTTTACATGTTTTGTGATGAAAAGAACTGAACAAATGAACTTGAGAAGAGTGGGTAACAGGGATGTAGTCAAGTCCACTCACAAATCCAGTCAACCAACAGCTGATTGTGAGTTGACGGTCAGTTTGGTATTTCAACTGTGCAACTGGGATAATTGAATACTCAACCAAGGTGCCTGAACACGCAGGGAGACGGGTGCACAACGCTTGCGTGTTAATTGTGGGCAAAACGGGCATTCGCGTAACATCAAGTCAGCCATTTTATCCCAAATGACATTTGACTTGGACTACTTCATCCAGATACTGACTGGCTTATACTGAGCAGAGGACTTGTGATGGACTTGCAGGCACTTGCAGTGACTTGTGTTGGACTTGACTACATCCGAGTATTGAACTTTCAAACTTTGATTTACCACTTTGGCACTTTGGTATCCGCTGCATAGAGTGTTTATAAAAAAAGAAACGTTTGCAAACGTTTGATTTGTCATATGCTGAAAGTTATTTACATTACAAATCCATGCCAATGCCATTCATTTAAGAAGCCCATGAACACTAGAATACGGATGACTCCATGGTCATGCAAATTAAATGTCCCAACGCATTGAGGCAACTAATTCCATCAAAAATCAGAAGTTAATTTAAGTATATCAAATACAGCAAATGGTAAACTGTGGCGTGTTCATGACATAAAATGACAGCAGAGAGACTTACTGGGTTTATACTGCTTTGCACTGCAAGTTCAGGTGCTTCTGAGAGTTTGGTTTGGAGCCAATAGAATCGGAATTCTGTGTCACTGTCATAGACAGGATGACCTCTCCAGCACATGATGTCTAGGACGTAGAATGTCTGAGTAGCTTCATGGAACACGCAGTCTAAAAGACTGTAGTCTGTTATCAATTCAAATGAAAGCAAGTGAAATATTAATAACCGATTCAGTTTGGAAGTGACCATTATGTGCTCTTCACCTTTTAACACATCTATTCTCAGGTGACACAATGTTTCTGTGACACACAGTAAACTATATAAAAGATTAATTACTGGAGATAGTTTTGCAATGAAAATATGAAAAACAAGGCGTTGCCTTTGCTGGAATTATGAAAATACTTCAAAATGTGTTTTAAAATTGAATCAAATATTAATGTGTGGTTATTGTGTGATAAAACAATGTTTGACAACTTGCATCTGGTAGTAACTATAAAAATAGCCTTTCTTGATGATCCACAATTTTTTTTATATTTTTGCTCTGGACTTTTTCTCAGGAAAGTGGAACTTCCACATTACCAAAGGAGATGTGTAACTATTATTTATCCCTAACCCCTTGAGCACTTTTACTAGAAAGTATTCTGAATCTGCCAAATCCACAAGTCCATTAATCCATCAGAATCAACCAGTGTAGTATATACCTCGTACACACCAAACATATAGAAAAGGAGTTAAACGGTTGAGATACTGAATCTACATGGAGGTATCCTGAATCCATAAAAATCCTGCAGTACCGCTAGGCTTACCGTCCTGAATCCATCAAAAATCCCCCAACTTTTTCAATATTGAGGTATCCTGAATCCGCAGAAATCCTCCAAAACAGGGGTGTGGATTTTGATGGATTCAAGTTAGGGTTAAAAATAGACTTGATGATAATAAGGTAAGACTTGATGATACACTGCATTGAGATCGTTGTTGCTATTGTTGTACTTGCCACATTAGCAATTTTGTTATCCTTTTCCCCTGCAAATGAGACAAATGCAGCTGCATGAAATGCCCATAGAATCATCAATGCCATTTGAAAGCTCATGCTTTTTATACTTCAGTTGAATGTGAAATTTCATTTGACTTGAACAGATTCATTTTTGTGGAGTATGTGACGACAAATCTGCAGTCCCTTTGCCCTTGGTGCCTTGCCTCAGAGACCGGCCAGTCTGAACGTTTGGCTTGCCTACCTGTGTTATTGTGCTTATGCTTTCTACATCCACCGGGCAGCAAGGAAGGAAACACTGATAGTCGGTACCCACTCTTGCTGTAACTTGAAGTCTTTCCCTAGTGTATCAAGAGCAACATATAATAATAAAAACATGAAATTTGTCACTAAATGCTCAAATGCTTTACTCTCAGAATTTCCTAGTTTGTTGTTCATATGAGGATGATGCCACAGATTCACAATTAAAAAAAAAAAATTGCACGATACTTACCATATAAGCTATGCATATGTTACAATTGTCAAGAAAATGTCCCATAGAAGTCCACTGTACAGAACTAACTGTATAGCCATTCAGAATTTTGTGTCCTTGCCAGCATCCTCAGCGGATCATTAACAGCCAATCAGCTGCTGAGTTGGCAAACCTTTATGAATATTCAGTACTTTTAGCAAATAATGCATGTCGGTATAATGCCAAGTAGGCAATTTGGCAAGAAAGTGCAAAGATTCTGTTGTGCAGAATGGCATTACAAATTTTTGGGAAAACAGAGGATTTTGTCAACATTAGCTCCTTGGAAGGATAAATTGTGGCATGAATATTTACATATTCGTCCGTCGGACCACGAAGTGACGTATTGTGTGCACAAAGTCCATAGACAATACGTCAATTCGTGGTGCACCCAACAAATTAAAAGCAGCTTTCTGTAAATGCATTTATTTATGGAATTTAGTGAAGACTGTTCGCTCAATATATTGAAAATTTTGGAAAATCGCAGAGTTGTATTACAAGATCCATAACTGAATATGTAAATCGTGTTAATAGCCAATCCGGTTGGGAGAATTCAACCAATGAGAATTCCTTAAGGGAAATAATTTAGCCAATGGGCAGCCTCCATTGCTGAAGGATGGTTTTGGTGGGAAAGGAAGGCAGAAGAAAAAGGTCACTTTGTCACAGCCCTTTGGTGTGTATACATGTACACATCAAATGTGTCTTCAAATGTATGTTTAGTATTTGGTTTGACCTTTACCGACATAACTTACAAGCGTGTAAAGGGCAACACCAAATAGATTTCATTTACATCTAAAATGTCAAATACTAAAAGTCGAATACCAAATCATTCAGAAAGCTGTATTAATGACCCATTCAATTTTATTCATTGTCATTGCTAAATTTACATTACTGACTAATAAACTATGTAAATAACTGTTGTGATTATTTTTTTGACATGAAAAACTGATTGATTTGTGATGATGTTTATTTATTCAATAGATGTAGGGGCTACTTTATTTGGCTCTTAAATGAGTTCATATTGCAAGTCGGCATGGTTGGTTACTTTTTAAATTTAATGGATAAAATGTTCTTGGTTTTTAATTTAATAAGTAGACAAACAAAAAACTGACTTATAAAAAACTGACCTTTGCTGCAACAATTAAATTTCTCCTTCCCACTGGACAAGGTACCATCAGCCAGTCCATTGCTAGGTTGGGTGGAACGTCAACTAGCCACTCAGATAACATCAACTGCAAAATTAGATACATGTTCGGAAGATATAAATTAAATAAATGTTTAAATAAGTGGACATCATAACTAACATTAAAGGGACGCCCTAAATAACGTTAAACTTAATTTAATTTTCTCCAAAACTGCAGGCAGCTTGATGATAAACATTCCTTGACACAAGAACAGTTGATTAAGCTGTTTCCATTGCCAGATGCTTTTGCTATTTTTTTAAACTCTTTTAAACATCACAGCACACCAGTTTAACATCAGTTACGGCGTCCACTTAACGTTAGATGATTAGGTTAATAGCCTTTGACACTATTTTCTTGTACAGGTTCCTCATTTCCAAATAAAAGGTTGCTAGGTTTCCTGTTATACTGTGCAATGTAATTTGTTCTGTATATGTAGCAAATCACATAGTTCCACCTAAGTTTCTAGAACAAATTCTAGGCGGACTACCGTATTCATTTTGAAAGTGTTTCGATGGTCAACGAGTGGGGTGAAGCCAAGAAAGTGATGTTTCTTGCTTCATACCTAAAACGGAAGGCCCGGGAGGTACTGTTGGAAATGACACCAGAGCAGCGCAAGAAGTTTCCCACGATTTTTGAACTCTTCAAACAATGCTTTGGAGTCAGTTGGTAGATTCTGCTCAACCGGGGCCAGTTGTCAATGCGTAAGAGGGTAGGGAAGAGCCTCTGAGCCACATCGGGCAATCAATTCATCGACTTGTCTTCAAGAGGTATCCAGGACTGCCAACTGAGGCCAAGGAGGACTTGGCAGTGGAGGCATTTCGTAATGCACTTAGGGACAAACAACTTCAGCGTCATGTGTTTGCCGGATAAGCGGAGACCTTGGCTCAGGCAGTTACACTGGCTATGGAGATGGAAGCCTTCCTGTAATCCCAGGCGCACAACAAGAAAGTTAGACCAAGGGCAAAAGATGTGAAAAGTAGTTTGCCCCACAGCTACCAACGATGTAGGGAGATGAGAAGGATCAGTAGGGCCAACTCCTTTGCAAGATAACAGCAACATGGAATGAACGTTGTCACTTTTGAAGGGAGTGCCCCAAGTGTGGCTGGTTCAATAATGCCAACAGTGGTAAAGGACAGAAGGGCATGTGAGCAAGACAAGCTTTGGGTGACAAGGAACAGCAGGAGCAGGAAGGACAGAAGCCCATGGAACACAGACAAGTTCCGGACGAAGTGGAACAGCAAGGATGCAACCCAGGAGCAAAACCAGGGCCCAGTTTCCTGCTAGGCCAGATTGCTGGCATACTTGTTCGTTTTTTTTTTGCTGGACACAGGTGCCTCGCTAACCATCATAACTGGAGGGGTATATGGTTCTCTTCAAAAGTTGGCAACAGAGAGACCGCAGTTGGTACCAATATTGCCCACTCTGAAGATGGCAAACCGAAGTCCCATGAAGACGAGGGGTACGGCACAGTTCAAATTTCAAATTGATGGACAAACCATCGACCACGGCTGCACCGTGGCGGATATAGAATTGGAAGCAATTTTGGGGATGGATTTCATGTCTGCACACAACTTCCAGTGGCAATGGGGGATGGCGCTATAGTCATAAATTGAGTTGAGACCCCTTGACTCACAAGAGAGATTGGCATTCGGTATCAAGGGTGCACATCTATCATGCCGGCTGGCCAAAAAGCAATCTTAAAGTGTCCATTGCTACATAGGAAGGAAACAGAGGAAGGAATTGGGGTCATATACCCTGATTTGGAGTCAGGAGATCTTTGTCCAGTGGCCATTGCAACCAGCCTGAACAACACAAGACTGGGGACTGTACCAATTCGGGTGATTAATCCCACATCTGACCCAGTAACAATCAACAAAGGGACCCGGGTGGCTCTGTCATCACCGGTAGAAGTTTGGGACGTTGTGGAGTTGGATGAGGCTATGTCACAGTGGCTGCACTAGGGGATGCAGGTGGACCATGGCATAAGACCCCTGCCAATTTGAAGGACCTCCATGACAGAGCAGCCTAACTTCTGAGTCTTGATCAGTTACAAGGATACGTTAGTGGGCATGGACGGTCGGCTGGGTCGAGCCAGTTTGGCTGAGCACTGGATCTAGACTCGAGATGCACCCCCAATTCAGCAACCTGTCAGGAGAATGCCAGTCCATAAGCACAGAGAAGCAAAGGAACAGCTGGGGAAGATGTTGCAGGATGGTGTGATCGAGCCATCCATCAGTCCATCGTCGTCGCCGGTAGTCCTGGTGAGGAAACAGGATGGGGACGCTTAGGTTTTGTGTTGACTAACGGAAGTTAAACATTGTAAAAACCAAAGACACCTATCCCATACCCCGGATGGAAGACAACCTAGATGACGTAAGTGGGGCTACATGGTTCAGTACACTGAACCAGCTGGCCAGTGGCTACTGGCAGGTTAGCATGGACCCTGAGCACAAGGAGAAAACAGCCTTCAGCACCCACAGTGGGCTATACCAGTTCACCGTTATGCCTTCGGGCTATGCAACGTGCCGGTCACATTCAAGAGTTTGGTGGAAAGGGTTTTGGCTGGTCTACAGTGGCAGGCAGCTGTCTCGTACCTGGATGATGTGATTGTATGGGGGACTAATTTGAAGAGCATTGCCAGCGGTTGGCCTCCATCCCTGACCGGATCCAAGCAGCAGGCCTAAAGCTGAAACCCAAGAAAAGTGACCTCTTAAAGACGGAGGTTTCCTTTCTGTCGGATAATGGGGTAAAGACAGACCCGTCGGTGGAATCAGTCCGGCGAAGGTGAAATTGGTGGCGAAGGTGGAATCGGTCCGTCATTGGCCGCAGTCGGCTAATATGAATTGGGTTAGGAGTTTCCTGGGGCTGACCTCCTACTACCGCCACTTCATCAAGAACTTCGTGGAGATTGCTCAGCCACTGCATGCCCTGACCAACAAAGATGTGAAGATATTGCATGGACAGAAGCCTGTCAACAAGCGTTCAAACAACTCAAGGATGAGCTAACAACGGCCCCAGTACTGTTTCCCAAACTCGACAGGAGATACATCTTGGACACCGATGCCAGTTATTGTACCATTGGGTATTTTTTCAGCAGTCAGAAAAAGGGGGAACAAGTGTTCGTCTATGGCAGCCATGTCTTGAGCAAGTCAGAGCGCAACTGTTGCACTACAAGGAAGGAACTCCTGGCAGTTGTTCATAGTTGACCACTACTTCAAGCATTATTTGCTCGGCAAGCGTTTCTTGCTTGAACGGATCATGGTACCTCGCAATAGTTGTTCCAGTTCAGGGAGCCAGAAGGTCAAGTGGCGAGGTGGATTCAGTGCCTGGGGTGTTTCAAATTTGATGTTGAAAACTGTGTGGGGAAGAAACACACCATGCAGATGCGCTGTCCAGAGTTCCATGCATACAATGTGGAAGGTCCCTCAATGTTGAACCAAAGTTGGACCGGAAAGAGAAATGACCGATTGTTGCTGCATACTTCAGCATTAGGGGAAGAGAAAGGAGAGCACTGAGTGTCAACAGCAGTTACCAACAGGGGAAGTTGAGGTCGAGGAGGACATGGCAGAGGCAACAGGCTGTAGGGGTCCAATGGCATTGACGGGCTGGTGTTTTTGCACAGGTAGAGGACCCAGAGTTGCAGAATGTCTTGCGTTGGCGGAAGAACAGGGTCCATGACCATGCTGGAGGGAAGTCTTGGCACTGGATGAGGGGAGCAATTTCTGGTGGGCCAAGTGGGACACTCTTGTTGATGCCACCCTTCGGTTTTGAAGGTCAGTTGGGAAGAGGTTAATGGGGCGTAGCTCAACCAGGAACATTGTAGTCCCCCGCAGGCAAAAGTTGCGGATGTCCTGTGCCAAGCACAGAACAACAGAACATCCGGTCATCTAGGACAGCCGGAACAATGGCCCGTATCTGGCGAGCACCTGTTTACTGGAGAGGAATGAAACGTCAGGCTGAGGAATGGTGCAGAAGTGCAGATCTAAGATACAGTGCATGGTGGGTTCCCTTATGGAGAGGACTGCCATCGACATCACTAGAATGCTTCCAAGGACCAAGTCAGGCAATCATGGTCATTGAAGGCTACTTCACCAAATGGGTTAAGGCATTAGCTATCCCAGACAAGACCTCCGAGACTGTAGCTTGAAATTTGGTTGAGCAGGTCATCACTTGGCTTGGGACCCCATTCGAGATCCCCACGGATCAGGGGTGGGATTTTGAGGCAACGCTGTTTCAGGGTGTCTGTCAACTGGTCGGCGTCCACAAGAGACGTACGACGCCATTCCATTCCCAATCTGATGGTATGGAAACAACACGACTTGGATGAACACCTGCTACAGGTTTTAATGATGGCCTACCGTTGTGCCCGGCATAAATGCACGAAGATGATACCGAACATGCTCATGCTTAGCAGGGAGACTAGTCGACCATTGGACCTGGCAGTTGGCCCCCTCCCCATCCAACCTCCAAATTGGAAAACGATGATCCTGTGGATCCACACGAGGACGTTCAGGAGCTGAAGGAGAAATTAAGGGATGCTCACGAATTTGCCAGAATCCACCTCAAAGCAAGTCAACTGCACAAGAAGATATGTTTTGGCCGTAAGCTGCACGATAGCTGTTAGGAGCAGGAGAAGCCCCGTCTAGCTGTACAAACTCCAGAGGAAGTCGGGACAAGCTCAAAATCTACAGTGCAGGTGGGACAGGCCTTTTATCATGCTGTCACGGATTGATGATGTGATTTACAGAATCAAGAAGGTGCCTCATTCCAAACCAAAAGTGGTGCACTATAATCGCCTCAAATTCTACCTTGGAGAAGTGCAAATGGACTGGAGGACCCAAGTTGTGCCTGCAGGTGCAACCACTGAACCTCAGCTCCTAGAAAAAGGAGACTCAACACTTGAGGAGGACGCACCGCACCCTGGACCGCGGCAGGCGGGAGTGCCAAGACAAAAACGTGTTGGGGTGAAAGAGCTCGGACCAATTCAGGTTGATGACGAGCCCCTACAGATAAAACAGCGTGGCTAGCCCGATAGTTAGGCCAAAAAAATATTGCCACTCACGTAATAGCCTTTTGTCTCCCCTCTGCAGGATGGATGGCATGGGGTGTGAGGGCCTTCACCAAGAAAACCATCCTTAAGCGCCACCTGCGAACCTGTGAACACATCCACTCGACAATGCCATTAAGCATACAGCCAAGGCCAGCCACCAGCCAAATAGCAAACCAGAATGCGGTGAAGGCCAGCCACCACTTGGAGCAGCCTCAGGCCGCCACCAACCGGCCAATGATTTGGTGTGCGGCTGAGACCACTCAGAACTGCCTCGGACTACCACTGACAGTCCAGAACATCGGCAACCCTCAGCTGGCCCGCCAAGTGCAAGGCTCACCATCAAGTCTTTGGGCTAGATAATGTTATGGTTTGATATGTGATAACCCGCCCCCACGGTTATCGCGTATCAAACCGTAACAAATTCTAGCCCCTAGACTACTCACCATCCAGGGCCAAGCACGGCTGGAAGAGGCTTTGGACTGGGAAAGGACAGGACAGTGGACGAACACCGGCAGAAACTGGACAGCATGTCCCTGCAGGAGCACGTGTCCCCTTCCCGGATGTCTTCCGATGGACCACAAAGGCTTCTGGACAGCTGCTACTTGAGTGTGCAAGGCCTGTCAGGGACATGGCCACGGGCATGACAGAGCCGTTATGTGAAAACCACAGGGACAGTTGGGGTTAGAACTCATTGGTGAAGGGGTGGAAGCGCACGGCCATCGACTACTCCGCAGTCGAATTAAACAAACTTTCAAGTGCCCAGCGCGGCTGCTTCAAACCTACCTGGGACCCTTTGTCCAATACTATTTGGACCCCACTTTTGCCCACCAACCATCCCTTGGAGGGTTTCTCCTGCCAGGCGCTCTTTAGCAAACTCAGTACTTATCAAATGTCCCTCCAGAGTTCTGGGAGGCCCTGTTCCATCAAACGGAATTCCAGAGGAGGTCCCCACCACCATCCCCATGACTTCGTACGATTAGGAAACCCGAGGGTGGGCCCTGCACCATTCCATCCGGGGACCGTTCTCATTACTTATTTAGGGGCAAGTAAGAGTCCTCGGAGGAGGCAGTTTAACATTTTAGCCGGCCGGTCAACAGATGGCGCTATTCCGCTTTGAGGGCTGGACAGATAACCCTGCTCCAAAACGCCATCTACATTGTATAAGTTTTCTTGTTGTGTTTAGTCACGTTTTGATGTAAAAGGGAGCATTTGTATTGCTACCAGTGAGTTGATGAATAAAAGCGGTGTTTTCAACAAATATCAGGATCTGAGTGTGTGATACTGTCGTTCTGATTGTGTCCTGAAACCTGCAAATCGACATGCTACAATATTCTAACTTTGTACGGCATCACTGCACACATCATCACAGCCATCAGTATACGGTCTATGTGGTAGAGTACCTGATTCCTGTAATACCGAGGTCTTCTATTCTTGTGCCTTGCATCTTTACTGCAGCTACCACTGTCCATGTCCTCTTCATCTTCATTTTCTTCATAATTACTCCAATCCTCTTCTGCCAGGCAGCGGGCTTTGTTGACATAGTCTAACCTATTTCTGTAATGTAAGTCAAAAGTGTTAGACACATGAACTAGGTTTCTGAAAAAAGAGATTCGAAAGATTTGAACTAGAAGCCTAAATAAGAACTTCCTATCGGGCAGGTTTAGAACCATGGTTGACAGTTCAAGTGGTGCAGGTATATACTTTCAAAAGTGGCTAAACAAGGCATGTTGCACAGAAATAGAAGTGCATTAGCTGTATTTTTTTTTTTTTTTTAACTCAGTCTAAGTGTGTCGCCAATGATTTAAATATTAATATTTGCTTGCACCATCGTAAAGGATTGGGGTAAGTCCAATACTGTGTATGAGAGTCCCAAAACTTGAGGTATTGAAAACACATCCACGAGAAAATAGACTGGCAGCACATGAAACAACCAGTCAACACACTGTCTCAGACTCTTACTACAGGACGTCAAAAGAAACATCTGGTACCCAGTCTCTATTTCTATACATTCCCTCCACACATGCCACATGAGTACTGTAGTCAATCTTTCCTCCGTGGTATAACATGTACATGTGTACCGGTCTGGCCTCAGGCTTCAAATTGAAATCACTTGGCTTCACTCTCAGGTGCAAAAGTCTAACCCTCCTCAATCCCCCAAAATCCTCATGGCGGATTTGGAGGATTTTGGAGGATTGAGGATGAATGGTGTTTGAAAAACATGAGGATTTTGGAGGATTGTGGATGAATGGTGTTTGAAGAAGAGGATTTTAGAGGATTGAAGATGAATGTAGGGCCTATTTATTTTTAGGTAAGACTGTCCGACGATTTTAAAGAATTGAGGTGCTGGGTATCCTTCTTTTGAACATAACATTAGTGCAAAATTTTGGAGAATTTTGAGGACTGAGGATAGTTCTAGCAAAAAGGCCCTTTTAAAAAATTTAATAGGGTGTTTCACGGAAATAATTATGCCCCAACTTGCAGGCAGGGCAATTTTACACGCGTTGCTGTGTACGCATCGTCAATGGAAAACTTTGGCACTTCCAAGTCATCATACAGTCATTCCAAAATGCGCCCGTGTCTAGCAACACGTGTTCTTTTCGCCCCGTGAACAAGATGGAGCATATTACCGTAAAAAACCTTATTTTATTGTAACATCAAAGTTTAAGTGACATACTTTTTGTAGGCATGGTAGGCCTAAATAATAACATGACAATGCATGACAACAAATGATTCAATCTTATTCTTAGTCATGTTGTTTAAAGTTTTACCCAATCCACTGTGTGTGTTTTTTTTTAAGTCTGTTTTTATTTAACATTGTTTGACACTTTGTTCATCCATGGCGGGCCTTTATCATTATCATTATGATTTTAAAAAGTGGCGTCACGCGTCAAAAGCCAGGAATGGATAGTCAAGGTTTCGATCCAACTCGGACCCAAACCAAGTCGGACCCAAGCCAACTCGGACCCATGCCAACTCGGACCCACTACCAACTCGGACCCACGTCAACTCGGACCCACTACCAACTCGGATCCACAACCAACTCGGACCCACTACCAACTCGGACCCATGCATGACCAACTCGGACCCATCGTTTACAATCATTTGACAGCGTTTTCAATCATTCGACAATTTCATAAAGTTTGTCCACTTATCATCTGTTAATACAGTTATGCTGTTAAGTATAAATTTTCATTGTAGTTGTCAGGTAAAATATCTGTATTGCAGCAGTTTGTCGTCGTAAAGCGCATTGAAATGCTATTTTGAAATGCGCTTTAAAAGTGTAATTAATTATTTATTTTTATTATTTGTTTCCATTGAAACATATTGCGCTTTAACCAAAAGTAATTAAAATTAAAGTTTAACCAATTATTCATTTTCATATTTGACATCGTTCAAGCCATCTTGCTGAATTTAATATTTCATTTTTAATTCAAACCACATAAATTCAAAACAGATCTTCATAGAAAAATACAATTGCAAAGTATGACATTGAAACATAAACACTTCCAAACATGACATTATTAATTCAATAAATATAAGTAAACATTATAAGTCATTAAATAAAATAAATAAGGTATAAAAACGAAGTCTATTCTAATCTCTACATGTACATGTATTTAAAAAAAATAACCACATAAACACCATTGCATACACTGCAAGAAAAACGAAAGGTTCCATATTGAACAAAAAAGGTTGATCAAAAAAGTATAAAAAGTTACACAGATTCGTAAAAAAATCACAAAATTCAAAGCCAGCATGTGAACTAAAAAAAAGATCAACTTATTAAAAACCCTACAATTATGAAATGTCAATCATCAAAAAGGAGTGTTGGAGCTCTGGGAAGATTATCCTTCAAGGCCTTACAGGTAGCTGCCTGTATGTTCGACTATGATGTTCCACGGGGGAAAAAAGTTAATCAAAAAAGTATAAAAAGTTAAACAGATTCGTAAAAAAAATTCTTTTTTGTGACATATTAAAATCCTTCATTGAGTGTGATTTAATTTGGTTTATTATTTGGCACACACACAAAAAGCAGATGAAAAAGGAAAACATTGCACATAGATATCCATTTCTTCACGTGAATGAGTAATAAGAGAGCAAAATCAATGTAGTATAATCAAACAACAAAACTAAAAGCCCCATTCTGACCAATATAATTACAAAATATCTTCACTATATAAGCACTGTAACATTAAGATGACCTATAAATATAATCTCTGAAACTAATGATTAAGTCATTGTTGGGTCCGAGTTGGTCGTGCTTGGGTCCGAGTTGGTAGTGGGTCCGAGTTGGTAGTGGGTCCGAGTTGGTCTTGGGTCCGAGTTGGTAGTGGGTCCGAGATGGTGGTGGGTCCGAGTTGGCGTGGGTCCGAGTTGGCGTGGGTCCGACTTGGCATGGGTCCGACTTGGTTTGGGTCCGAGTTGACCTGATGCCCTAATTAGGCCCTACAATTTTCCCTTACTTTTTCTGTGCGTCTAATTTGTTAAGCCGCCTATCCTCCGATGACTGGCCACCTCTTTGCTTAAACTGCGACAATCTAGGATGTGGAGCTGCAGTATCGTTAATTCTTCTCTCAACACATAACGATTCTGAAAAGACGTCCTCTAACTGATCCATTTTGAAGGCCTAAACCTAAGCCTCAGAAAAGCATTATCAAACGTGCCGCTCGAGTTTAACCTCACCATACATGCCATAATAATTATGGTAGCGCCAGTATCACAACTCCAGCAGTACCACTTATGATAATTTATGCTTACGTCACCACAAGTCAGGTACCTCACGTCCCAGGACTTAAAATATGCAGTATCGATGGCGATCAGTGGCGGAGCGCGGGAGAGCGGGAAGTTTCGCATCCAATGATCGGTCAACTTTCGGAATGCAACTTGTGTTTGAGCAGAGCCAGCCCCTTACGAAAAATCTCCGCGGTTTTCAATTACTTCCGTGTTCATCCGTGGACTGCGTAACGCCATAACCACAGAAATCCTTGGAGATGCTAATGATTTATCCTCCTAGTGTATGGGATGCATACGCTTGTCTCAATATTTTTCACAGGGAACAATAGATTAACTGTGAAGCTGACACTTTCCCTGCATGCAGAAAAAGTTTGTGTAATGATTTTTGTGCCAAAGAGGGCTGGTTTTACCTAGAAAATTACCATACTTTTTTTTAATCGAGGAAAACGTATGGGCCCATCATGCAAGCTTAAACGGTGCATTAGGACATGGAGGACAAGGGCGGATCCAGAACACAATTTTTGGGGGGGCCAAAAAAATTTTTGGTCCTCCAAAAAAGTGGGTAAAAAAAATTACGGCGTGGGGTTCGGGGCCCGCTTAAGGGCCCCGAAAAATTTTTGGATTCTAGATGCTCTGTGGTGCGATCTGAGGCAATTTTTGACCACTTTAACCAATGTTTTTTTGAGGAAAAGATGGTGGTGTACTCATTGCCTGCCTTTATTGCGATGTCACATAAAAAAAAAAAAAAAATTGGTTTCGTTTTGGGGGGGGGGGGGGCATGGCCCCCTTTGGCCCCCCCCCCCCTGGATCCGCCCTTGATGGAGGAATGTGTTCTTATTCCTCCATGATTAGGAGAAGCGCATGGTCGCAAACAACATGGCGCATCTCCCAAATTTTGATGTTTGCATTAGGCCCAATTTCGGGTATGTATACAACCTCCAAGCGGTATTAGATCTCAAGCAACACCATGAGCTCCTTTTTTGAGTACATGTATATTATTTTGTCTTATAAAATTTCAAATTGGGTTTTGTGCTTTAACGGAAAAAAATATTGGGCTAGGCTGTTTTGTTGTTGCTTTTGCCGGTGCCTCCCTTTTTTTTTAACTTGTCAACATCACCGAACAAATTTTGATTTGATTAAATTAATTCGAAATTTCCTAAAATGATAAAGATAACCGGGCATAGTTCTCGTTTAACTTGCTCTGTGTTATAACCATTGATCTCCATTACATTGATCTCCATTAAGACTTTACTAATGGAGGTCAATGGTATTAAACCATGCAGCTCATGATAAAACAAGTAATAGATCATGGGGGGGGGGGATAGATACAGTACCGTACCGATTGGAGGAGGAGGGGGTATCGAAGGTCGCGTGTACGGCAATTATGGCCGAGTCGTAATATTGTACATGTAACGCCCGGTAAAATTACGTACGGAACCCTTCATGTACATGTACATGTACATGTACAATGTACATGTACATGTATGTGTGACCGTGCTGCGCTGGTGGGCCTGCGCCATGGACACACATGCACACGACGATCACACGCGGACCGACAATGTACATAATTCATAAGTTTGATGACGCTGTACTGTTCACGGCATAAATTATGATTAGTGGTACTGCTGGAGTTGTGATACTGGCGCTACACGTCGAGCATTACACATAATGCGCCTGCTACCATTGGAAACGAGGTTGAAAATAAATTCATTGTAAGTCATGGGTAGAATTTTGTTCCCTTGCCGTAGACGCTGGGAAGGAGCTCAACAAACGACCATGTACCACCTGACCATGTGTGATCAGGTGATACGTCCATCATGTGATGTGCTCAGGACTCATCTCAACCCTCCCTCGAAAGACTAGTTTACACCACTGCACCAAATAAGCATTCGAAACAGTTCTTTCTTTCATCAAGAAATTTCACGACCATCCAGAGTTTTGAAATGTTAGCATTAAGTGTGATTGGAATACTTTCTGCTGTGATCAGTGTGCATGGAAATGGTCAAATTCAGAGTGAGTTTGGCCGGCCGGTGCAGCAGCTGCAATCGACCGGTGCGCCATGGCCACAGCCTCAAACCATGACCTCTGCAACTGTTACGTTCCCACTTGCAGATCCAAGTACTTTTAGGTTAGTACTCTACCTATAGCTTAAGAAACTCCAGCTTTAAGGCTTATCGCATTAGATAAGCATTAGAGCTGGGGGAAAATGTCCATACTGGCTCACCACTTTTTAACTGCCGCCAAACACATCAATTTTCACCTTGCCTTGTGATTTCACCCAAGAGGAATCCAAGAAGCTGTGGAAATGCAAAAAATAAGTAGGCAAAATGTGTTTTTGGAGCACATTTTGGATGCACACGTCGTGCAAAACTAAGTTGAAGCAGCCGGTCAAAACTGATTGAGTGGCTAAAAGACAGCGGTACGTTATACGCATGACATCGACAACCATGACGTCGCATGAGCCAGCCAATGATAGTGCAATACGTCATTATGAATATTTATTTTCTCATGAATGTTTAGTTTATTTCAATGGCTACTTCAAATACGTCCAAAGATTGATTATTGCAACAGCGATCATGCGCGGCATAGCGGTTAAGAGTCACGTGTTTCAAGCAAGAGTCCGAGGTTCGAATCTCGATGAAATAAGTGACTGATTAATAAATAGAAATAAAGGAAAGGAGAGGGTGAGAGTAGAGGAGGGAAAGTGGAGGGAATAACCATAAAGGATGCAACTTTTGGCGCTTGAAAAAAAGGTGGTGAGCCAGTATGGACTTTTTTCCGAAAAGAAGACAACATAATCTGGATCTGGATCGTTACCCACATCACATTAGAGTTCTGCACTGCACTGTAGGATTCGATTTAACTCGCACTTTTGAAAAAAAATAAAAAATAAAAAAACAAAATGCCTTGCACGACCGCGTCTCAAACCTGCAGGTCACCGGGTTCACATTTGAACACCTTAACCATTGAGCTACCCATTTGCTCGATTCTTGAGTAATTTATTTTCTCATAATGCACACTATGCGCATGCACACATGAAGTGCAGACACAAAAGTGGAAAAATTGCGAGACCGGTTCACAGTCATATAAGCACTGTATTTGATTTATAAGGGAAGATACGGATTAAAATACATTGAAGACGACAAAACACACAACTCGAAAACGACAGATGGCGACATTACCGAACAAGTTTAAAAGCAGGCTGCTGATCGGCTGGCGTTTTTGTATTATGATCTCCGATTGGTTAAAAAATGATAGGGGTGCAGGGTTACTAGAAAGAACAGCCAAAACCGTGGGCTGACAAGCAGGGAATGTTACAGTTTGAACTTCTTCAACCACCAAATCTGGTCGGAATGTCAGATTTTCTCCCTGACATCTGTTCAAAATGAAAAAACACAGTGTCACTCTAAATACAAAATACGATTTGAAGCTGCAAATGTAATTTTGAAATTCTCACTAAAAAGTTTAAAACTGAAAGAACCCCTCAAAATAGAGGTGTCCTAAAAGTGACTATTACCTCTAATTTGAAGAAGGGCGAGTACAAAGGGGCATAGGGCTTGAAAGTGGGGGGGGGGGGGGCTTGGTCACGCCACTTTTGATTGATACATGAGCACAGTTTCGCATTTTTAAATGAAACAAAAAAGACATGCATTTGTGTTGTAACTTTGAAAGCCAGATCAATAAACATTTTCACCATTTGCAGGATTTACCAGAAAAGTCAGACCCTTTGCCCAGTCTTGGATCAGGCATTTGCTCGTTATTTCAACATCATCTTCTTTGGAACGCCTGAAATGTCAGAAGAAGAGAAATTGATGAAGCTCCGTGATATGAGGCAACACGGAAGATTCTGGAATGCCAGCTTACATGGCAAGAACCTTGTGGCTCTGATGGGTCTCTCAGTCAACATCAGCGACTGCAGTGAGATGTTCCCTTCTCTTGAATCATCGGAGAATTGTGAGTCACTTACACACAGTTTTAACACATAAGAATTAATTCAAACTATCTATTCTCACCTGATAGAAATGGTACTTCTAAGTAAGAGCTCGGATGTTACCTGAGTATTATAGACTAACAGACATTTTACGGATACCACCATCTTTATGGTCTCGAGATAATACCATGGGGCCTTTCATTAAAAATATGTCCCATTGTAGTATCCAAAGCATGCATGATGGGATGTATTTTCAATACAGGTACATGTGACCACAAACATGACTTACGCACACAGACATGTTGTAATTTTTCTTATATCTCATTGCATTTTTTGCAGATACTTTGGATGTCAGTGAACCTTTTGCTTCATTAACAGCACACTCTCAGTGGGGAGCTTTAAGAGGTTCGTTGTTACACCACATATACTATTAAACTGTGAAATTGCATTGGCTGAAAACTGTTCATGTACCAGAAGTGAAGTTTTGGTATGACCAGTTAGAACTCCACAGAGTACATCACTCATGTACCCTGGGTATATATCAACTTGATCGTTTTCAAGACTTACTTGAAAATATTATTTTCTCCCACTATTTAATGCAACATAAAAATTACCAGGTCATGCTCTATAATTAAGACACTGCAAATGGGAAGAACGTTATGAAGTACCCAAGAATGTGTGCCATTATTGCAATGCCTGAAGCATTGGACTTCAGAAAAGCACTGATGTGTAAACCCAAGCTATTTTTTTTGCTCCATTCATGTGTTTGAGTGCTCAGAGTTGGGACTTGTGACAACTGTGCATTTTTAAATGGATTTCATCCACCATTCTTTTTGCGAACTTTATTACACTTGTATATTACATGTATGTGACTTACTTTTGCTAATATACTGGCTTAACTTCTTTCTGTATCTGACATTTCACCCTAGGACTGGAAACATTTAGCCAGCTTGTATATGAATCTTCTTTAGCAATGGTAAGCATGGAAGATATTGATTTTAATTGGTTTAATTCGTCACCGTTTTCACGAAGGGACGGGCATGTCAAAATTGACAATTTTTTTCGATTTCGATTTTTTTCACTATTTTGATTTAAAACATGGTACTTTTAAAAGCATTCTGACATGTTTCTATATGCAAACATCATTATTAATAAATTACATTAATGACGCCAGGGGCAGGCATCTCGATATTTGCATTTTGCGATTTCACGAAGAGACACGAACATGCCTGCCTTGTGAACACGTACAAAACGTATTGCACGGAAAGTAGGTCAACGGAGATTTTCGTTTTCACGAAGGGATGGGCATCTTTGTTACATTCTCAGCTGCGTGCGCGTAATCGAACACGCGCGCCCTTCACTATGGAAAAGAACATTAAACAATAAAGGCGTAAATGTGGAAAAGTTGGATTTTTGTTTTCACGAAGGGACGGGCATCTTTACTAATTAATTTTCGCTAATTAACCACTGTATTAATTATAATTACTGGGTTCAAATTAAAGTTTACCTATCAAAGAATTACGTCAAGGTTTCCTTATTGCATAAAGTTGTTGCAAAGTAGTAGTTTTGCTGTTTTAAAAGCGGAGAAACTTCTCTTGTGACTATCTCGAAAACGTTTTTTTTTTTTTTAAATCCACATGCCCGTCCCTTCGTGAAACTGGTGACGAATTGTGGGCTCTAGCAAACCCGAAAAAAAGTGCAGTGTAACAATAATTTAGTGTGAAGGCTCGACACATGTAAATGTTGTTGGTTGATGGGCAACATTGTCCATGCATTTGAGATTTCGTTTGATACATTTGGGAGGTTGATCAAAAGGAGAAATTTATGTATTGACATTTTTTTGCCAGACTGATTGATATTGCCAGACTGACTAATGATATTTCTGCTTTATCTTAGTTGGTAGTCAACAAGACAAGCATCACAGACTTCCCACGCTTTGCTCATCGAGGATTTCTTGTTGATACCTCTAGGCACTTCCTTCCTATGGATATACTTCTTCAGTTTCTGGTGAGTTTATGTCATTGTGATTGGAGGTTATTGTTTCAAATTGTCACAAGTACTTTATTTGGGGGTGTCTAAAAACTTCAACTGCTTGAATCATTCCTCTAGAATTAGTGCATTTGAAATCATTAGCAACTTGGTGATGTCAGCTTTTCAATTGTAAAAAATGCTGGTTTTAGTATTAAACCTCAACCAATAGGATACAAGAAGGAAACAAACACTTCTCATTGTGAATTTACGCATAATCATGGAACTCTTCAAATGGAGCAGTTTTATTCTGACTGTTGAGCTACTCTTAAGGTTATTGATGGCTTTTGCAAAATTTATTGACGTGTATGAAGTTGATATGAAGAGGAATGTGTTGACACTCACTTTGAAGCCTTTGTTTATAAAAATATTCAAATCCTAATTCAAAGCTGCAGAAATATTGATTTTTGAAAGGCTAAGATATCTTGGAATCAGATTATTAATGATTAAAATTCCCGGCAAGTGCATGTTTCTTTTGTGAGGTGCTCTGGCAAAATGAAACGGAACGGGGCACAGGCCGTAGTGGGAAAAACGCAACCCCCCCCCCCCAAAAAAAAAATTTCAAATTTTTTATTTTCAGATTTATTCATATTTGTAATCTTTGATGTGTCCACTAATATTTTAAAAATATAGAATGAAATATGTGAAATAAAAGTGTTTTTAAGGGGAAAAAATTGACAACTTTCATTGCACGTGTACAAAATGTCAAAGTTTAATGGTCTTTTTACTTTGAATTTTACTTTTTTGTCATGTCAATAAACTTAACACAGCCATAACTTGCAAACGAAATGTCTGAATAGAGTGCAACAAAAAATATAGTAAGGAAATGTTGTTCTCTTTCCTAATACCTGCAAACCCTCATTTCGACCGCCGCCCAGTTCTGTCTCATTTGCCAGAATGCCTCACATATTTGAAATGGGTACATGTATGCCTCATCAATACTGCCAGCTGCAAATACGTTGAACGGATACAACAATGCATTCAATTTCAACTGTTGTTTATTTCATTTATTCAAATTAACTTTCAAATTTGTCATATGCACTATCCATAACAAGAACTGTCTTTGTTTGTTTTTTGTTTGTAGGATGCAATGGCTTACAACAAGTTAAATGTCTTCCATTGGCACATCGTTGATGACCAGTCCTTTCCATACCAGAGCAAAGAATTCCCATACATGAGTCAAAAGGTAGTATGATCACTTAAGAAGCATTTAAAGATTTTTTTGTGCATAGCAACAAAATAATTCTATTAAAAATAAATATTTTTTTTTTTGGGCTACAGATATGTCTGTTTGTAGATCCAGGGTTCAGTATTTTATGTTTTATTTTGTTATTGTGAGTACATATTTTATCTTTACCAGACTGTATAACTCTTTGCGCTCAAACTTCCCAGGATTGCTGAAACATTTCTAGCTTAAATCCGTACCTTTTGCAAATTGACAAAACAAACACTCAGATTTCCAACTGGTATAACATTGTTTAACATTGTATAATATTCTTTTCATTGTGGCTGTTAGTGTTACATGTCAAGTTGTATGTCAAAATTTTTTTATTTGTGTAGGGAGCCTACTCACCACATTATGTCTACAGTCAGAGTGATGTTCAGAGGGTCATCAGTTATGCCCGGGACCGAGGTATCCGTGTCGTCCCTGAATTTGACACCCCAGGTCACACCCAATCATGGGGCTCTGTTAAGGGCCTTCTGACACCATGCGAGGATAAGTCAGGCAAGCCCACAGGGGACTATGGTCCCATCAACCCAATACTGAATTCCACCTATGCGTTTCTGAAGCCATTCTTTCAGGAGATCTTCAAAGTCTTTCCAGACAGTTTCATTCATGTTGGAGGAGATGAAGTTAGCTTTGACTGTTGGTGAGTTAGCATTTCTGGTGAGGCAAAAGCAGAGAGTAGTTCATGCTTAATTTGACAGCTTTTATGCAGAGCTTTGCAAACAGAAATGATGTCAAAGCCGCATGACACCCAAGACCTTAATACAGGTTTATTACATGTATCTGACTTAATCACCCCCAAGTAAAAACAAACCAACCCAAACCTAACCAAACCAAAACAGACTCAAAACCCAAAACCCAAACCCAAAACCCCAAAACCCAAAACCCAAACCCAAAACTCCAAACCCCAAAACCCAAAAAACAAAACCCAAAACCCAAACCCAAAACTCCAAACCCCAAACCCCAAACCCAAAACCAAAACCCCAAAACCCAAAACCCACAACCCACAACCCAAAACCCCAACCCAAAACCAAAAACCCACAACCCTAAATTCTAGAACCCCAAACTCCAAAACTGAACACCAAACACCAAACAAACATCCTTCCATGATCCTCTCGCAAGAGAGATTCTACTTGCTTAAACATGCTGAAGGGACCAAGCAATACACATTTTACACTGAAGAAGCAGTCAAGTTGTTTTGGGTTCACACTGTAGGTATTGAATCTTTTCATCCTCAACCAAGTAAAAAACTGAATTTATTTCATTGACTGTACTCAGGAAAAGCAACAAAGACATCCAGAACTTCATGGCTAAGATGGGATATGGCCAGAACTACTCCAAACTTGAAGCATACTATGAGAAACGTTTTTTGGGTATTGTGGAGGATCTGTTGGCTAAACCAATTGTGTGGCAGGAGGTGGTAGATAACGGTGTCCAGGTATGTAAACTTTCAGTATTGAGTTTCTGCCAAATCAGAATTTGAGAAATGACAATTAGTTATTAGGTGTTGGGCCTCAGCCCAACACCTATTGTTATTGTAAGAATTTACTATTATTAGGTGTTGGGCCTCAGCCCAACACCTATTGTTATTGTAAGAATTTACTATTTTTTTTATTATTCTTCAAGACACATTCTTCTCCGGAACTGTTTGTCAAAATGAAAACATATATGAACTTCAATTGTCAATACATGAAAGCACAACCAACTGAAGATGTGCTTTTTTGCAATTACGTCATCATGACGTCATCATGGGTCACGTGACGTCACTTCAAAAAATAATCAATTTAATCTTTGAAATTCAATATAAAATCAACCGTCAGAGACCGCAACTTGAATTTTGCGGGAATCGACATGATAATATAAGATCTTCATTTTATCTTGTGCGCGTAAAATCACGTGACCCTTCCTTCCGGTCGAAACCGGAAGTGCCTAATAATTTGAAAGTGGAAAAAGATATGAACTTGCTTTCAACGGTGTTGATGTCTGCCTGGATTGACCTTTCAAAAGAAATTATTGGTGACGTCATGAAGAGTTGGAGCGCCCTCTAGCGGCAGGTTAAAAAACGCGAAAAACGCATTTTCACTTGATGTCTGTGGCGAAGTTTGCGGTAATCGCTTCAAAATTAATGTACATGATGACCATAATGCAGACAACACCTGTGCGCGAAAAAAAATTGATTACGTCATCAGACCGGAAGTTACAATAAAAAGACCTTTAAACCTTCAAAAATTGCTAAAAAATCAACCGTGATAGATATAATCAAGATTTGGCTGTATATAGCACAGTTAAAATAGCTCTTGAACTTTCTGGTAATGACATCACAATGACGTCATCAAGTATCATATTACAAGCAATCGAAGATTACTATATTAAATCTTTGAAAATCAATATAAAATCAACTGCTACAGATTTGATTTTGTTTTTTATGGCAATCGATACAATATTGCAGGGTCTTCATTTTTGGTATGAAGTGCAAAATCACGTGACCCTTCCTTCCGGTCGAAACCGGAAGTGCCTTATTATTTGAAATTGGCAGAAGATGCGAACTTGCTTTCAACGATGTGAGTGTCTGCCTAGGTAGTACTGTACAAACATTTTACAGGTGACGTCATCAAATGTTAGAGCGCCCTCTGGCGGCATGTTGAAAAATTCAAACATGGATTTAAACATGCTATTTTGAGTTGATGTGTGTGGCAAAGTCTGCGGTAATCCATGGCCCAACACCGTGTGGTTGTTAATACAACCTCTAGTTTTTTTTATTATTCTTCTAGACACATTCTTCTCCGGAACTGTTTGTCAAAATGAAAACATATATGAACTTCAATTGTCAATACATGAATGCACAACCCACTGAAGATGTGCTTTTTTGCAATTACGTCATCATGACGTCATCATGGGTCACTTGACATCACTTCAAAAAATAATAAATTTAATCTTTGAAATTCAATATAAAATCAACCGTGAGAGACCGGAACTTGAATTTTGCGGGAATCGACATGATAATACATGCTCTTCCTTTTATCCTGTGTGCGTAAAATCACATGACCCTTCCTTCCGGTCGAAACCGGAAGTGCCTAATAATTTGAAAGTGGAAAAAGATATGAACTTGCTTTTAACGGTGTTTGTGTCTTTCTGGATTGACCTTTCAAAAAAAATAATGGGTGACGTCATGAAGAGTTGGAGCGCCCTCTAGCGGCAGGTTAAAAAACGCGAAAAACGCATTTTCACTTGATGTCTGTGGCGAAGTTTGCGGTAATCGCTTCAAAATTAATGTACATGATGACCATAATGCAGACAACACCTGTGCGCGAAAAAAAATTGATTACGTCATCAGACCGGAAGTTACAATAAAAAGACCTTTAAACCTTCAAAAATTGCTAAAAAATCAACCGTGATAGATATAATCAAGATTTGGCTAACTATAGCACAGTTAAAATAGCTCTTGAACTTTCTGGTAATGACGTCACAATGACGTCATCAAGTATCATATTACAAGCAATCAAAGATTTCTAGATTTAATCTTTGAAAATCAATATAAAATCAACTGCTACAGATTTGATTTTGTTTTTTATGGCAATCGATACAATATTGCAGGGTCTTCATTTTTGGTATTAAGTGCAAAATCACTTGACCCTTCCTTCCGGTCGAAACCGGAAGTGCCTTATTATTTGAAATATGCAGAAGATGCGAACTTGCTTTCAAAGATGTGAGTGTCTGCCTAGGCAGTACTGTACAAAAATTTTACAGGTGACGTCATCAAATGTTAGAGCGCCCTCTGGCGGCATGTTGAAAAATTCAAACATGGATTTAAACATGCATATTTTGAGTTGATGTGTGTGGCAAAGTCTGCGGTAATCCATGGCCCAACACCGTGTGGTTGTTCATACAACCTCTAGTTTTTACTTTGTTTCAAGATTTAAAAGTCCTCGTTATTGAATTTTTGGTGTTCAAACTGAAACTCAAAATCTAACTTTGTTGTTCTGTTCATGTACCTAAACATATTTTTCTCCTAATTTGGGAGACATTAAGAGTGGCCTAGGTACAAGTCATCTTTGCTTTCATTAAGTGGCAAATCACATGTGTCTTAAACTCAGTAGTTTGTGTTTTAGGTGTATTTAAAAGAATGTTTTTATTCAACATTTTCTGATTTTTTTCTCATTAGAAGTAGCAGAACGACCTTATGTGAAACTTTTCAGTTGTGACTATAATTTGCACATCAATTTCAAGTTCTAAAACTCTTCTTTACACCCCCTGTTGAAATAATTGATACCAATTCTAGTGTATATTGCTTTCCACAGTTGAAAAATGAAACATTTGTGCAAATATGGAAGCTGCTAGGTTTCACAGCTGCTATGTCGAGGGTGACCAGCCTCGGTTATAGGGCTCTACTGTCTGCCCCCTGGTACCTCAACTATTACATTGGGGGTCCTTATCTGCAGCTGTGGAAACTTATGTACCTTGTGGAGCCTCTTGATTTTGAAGGTTTGCTGTGATTTGTTTATGTGCAAACAAATTGCAACCAGCAGTCCCTTCATTGATTGTCATTTTGTGCTGTAAACATTGACATACATGCATACCGTGTGTGTCTTCCTCCTAATTGGTTTGTTTAATAGGTAATAAATTCTTATTCAACATTTAGGCCTTGTTCTAGCCTTTGCTTAATTCACATTGTGTACATGAACATTTCACTAGCCCAGGTGAAGTTTTACTTGCTTGTTGGAATCACATTTTTATAAGAAGTAGGTATTTCTTTTTTCATTGGCCCACTCAACTGGCTTTTTCAGAAAACGTAGTTGCCTCAAGGAAGTCGTTTCTTCTGATGTTGCATTTTCACCTTCATAAAGTCAACCATGTCGAATACGGTCTTGGCAAAGCTTGGTTTGTTCGGCTCTGGTTTTGTCTTCACTTCCACTAATTATCTATTTGTAATCATAATGATTCACTGAGGTAAAATGTCTTATTATATGACATCTTACAGAAGTAAAAATACTGTATAGCTATCAGTAATCAAGAGCACCTCGTTCTAGCTTGATAGTGACATGTTCTGATCTAAAAGAAATGGGCCAAAAGATGGTCATCGTTGGAGAAGATCATTTTTTTCCCCTTCATTTTCTCTGTAACTGTACAACATTATCTGGGTTTTTAATAACCCTTATCCTTAGAACAGGGTAAGTAAATAATCCAACACACCAAATGTTGGCGATCTCAAGAGAAAGTGCCTCTTTAAGGATGTCTTGGCTGCCTGCTACACTTTTCCACCCGTTACAGACTAATTAAAAACAAACCCAAAAACCCACTCAGCAGAAATACAGAAATGCACAGCATTTTTGCCGTCAACTTGGGATCTTTATCATGCATGTTATATATTGATTCTGAGTGTGTATATATAACCAACCAATAGGAGGGCTCACTGATAGACTGAATTCCATCCCCTCTTTTGCAGTCATTAATGATAAGACAAATGACCAGGCTTCTCTGTTGTCATTGGTATATCTTTATAAATTCTGAAACTGATGAACAGCACATGTTGACTACATGTATATTCCATACTAACAGGGTGCGTTCCATCTGACACTAAAAATGTTTATCATCATTTCCACAGGATGGACAATATGTGGCAAGAACGATGGCAGTTGTTAGCAACAAAATGAATATGGTCCTTTCAAGTTGTTTGCTTGTTTTCCAAAATAACTGGCTTATTTGCCATGCTTCAGTTGGTATTGAAATTAAAATTCATAAAATGGATATCAATGGCTAAATTTTAGAACTTCGTCTTTCATAGTTTCATACAGTGACACTCTTTTTGGATGACATTATCATCATTCCACGAGGGATTGACATTCCACAGGGGCCTCCCAATAACATTAATGGGTGAGCGGCTTAGCGGAGTCCATCATTTACCCTTACCTTACACAAGCGGATGCTTTTTTTCTACTCAAAAAAGGTAAATCTTGAAACAGTGGTGCATGTCTGGAAACAGCCTTGGCAATCAGAACTGCATAATGTGACCAAGAAGGGCTACAAGGCATTGTTGTCCACCCCCTGGTACCTGAACCTAGCAGGCAATCCATATGGCCAACCATGGAGGCAGATTTATGATATTGAACCCTTGAAATTTACTGGTAATAATGTTCACAGTAATTGACAGTTGCATGTGTTCTACTGATGGTGGAGGCTGACTTACATGACTAACCCTATGTATGTGCATGCTCTAATATGTCTCTGTGTCTTAGCTTGAATTGAAACACTCAATTGCCAGAAACAAACTGCATAAAGATTAACAATTAATGTTGTTACCCTGTCAAAGCTCATTAGGCTTCACGCAGTGAAATTATGTGTTGTAATAGTACTAATGGGTGAAATATGGGGCTGCATAGGAGAGATCGATGGCCCTACATCTGACCGTTTTACAAGTCACCTTTTGCACATGATGGTCTA